TTAGACTTCCCCTCAAGAGATGAATGTTGCCGACCTCTTGCTTCTCTAGTTATACCAACTATAGTAACGACCGAAGGATAGCAATACACAGCAGTCTGAGGAGCCATTAACAAACCTCAACCAAAACGCCACTCTATAGCCACAAATAATGGTCAGAACAGCACCTAACTTCATCAACAGTACATATAGGGTCCTAGCCACAGCACTAGCTACCAAACATCTTCTTAACTCTGCATAATTTCTTTAGCAAAGAGACTAAACAAAACTCACCTAATTTGTAGGGAGAGCTCAGACAGGTCCATCACCTAGTGCAGCGGGGTAACGCAGCTCAAGTGAGAACATTGATGATTATTACTTCATGGAAATGCAATAAGATCAAGACGCTAAGGCAGAAGAACTACCGCGTCTGCAGTGCAAAGTGATTAATATAGTGATTATTACTTAGAGGAAATAATTCAGAAATGATCATAAATGTTCTGCCTTGAGCTACATCACTCTGCAGCAGTCCGTCATGGACTGGCCTGAGGTTTTGCTACAAACAAAGTGGCTGCTGTAAGAGAGGAGGTGAGTTGTGTTTCGTCTCTTTGCTAAAGAAATTATGCGGAGTTAAGAAGATGTTTGGTAGCCAGTGCTGTGGCTAGGATCCTACATGTACCGTTGATGAAGTTAGATGCTGTTCTAAGCGCATCTGCATTTGCATGGTGTTTACCTGGCTTGTACACCATTTTGTACTCAAAGGTGCTCAATGTCACAGCCTATCTTTGCACTCTTAGGCCACTTTTAGACGGAAACGGTCTCCATAGAAAACGGAAAAGTGCCGTTTCGTTTGTTAGTTTTTATGCTGTGTTTACACAAAAACGCAATGTGGTTGAAAACGCTGTAATGTGCATGCCAGGTCGCTAGGTGGCGTGTGTCGGTGTGACTGCGCTCCCATATAGACCAACAGCGCATACGTAGAACAACTTCCGTTCTACTTCCTAGAACATTACTTTAATTAACATTAGCACATTAATTATTTATGCAAATAATTCAGACACCTCCTCTGCTGAGCAGTATGATCCGTGAGGATTCTGTACAGGTCGAAATTGAGCTCCTGTCCGTTCAATAATAATGACAGCGCGACTCGAATGTCTTTGGCTGTATTGGGACAAAGGAAAAAGTGCCTAGAAAGTGAATTTCATTCCACTTTAGTAGGGCAACATAAACTGTGATTCATAAAATAGCTCTATTGATAGTAAGTACTAAAAAAAATATCTACTCATGCCATCCAGTCGATTTTTAGTAATCAGTGTTTCAGTGTCGAACTATTTCCTTTCTGCGGCGTAGTGATACTTGCACACGCGCAATCGAATATACAAAGGGGTGAAGCGATTTTTGTCACATGGACCAATAAGACCGAGTCTCGTTGCCATAGTATCAGAACAACACAAACATGGCGATGAGCACATCTAGCAGCGAGACAAGCGAAGAGGAAGAAAAGAACTGGAAAAAACGAAAACAGTCTTCAAAAGCTTCTCCACAGGCTGAGACAAAAGACCTTGCAGAAACTTATAAACATTGCGTTGATATTGACTTTGACAATGTTCCTGATGACGCTGGGTTTCACATGACATGCTACCAGTGATTTATTTGCAAAAGGCGTTTGAGAAACAAGGACGTGATGCAGCCGCGGGTCAGTCAAATCCTTCAGCCAGCATCGCCAATGCATCCACGTCCACGGCATCTGAAACTCCGCGAAAGAAACTTTGCTCGAGGTCATATGCTGTATTGCGACAAAGGAAAAAGTGCCTAGAAAGTGAATTTCGTTCCACTATGCTGGTGCTACTTGTTCGATGAATTTTTTTGCATAGACAATACCCTTCTGGACTTTGGGTTAAAATATCTACTCAGACTATCTGTCTGACTTTTGTCACCAGCCAGAAATGTACATATATGTGAGTAACCCAAAAAACAATTATATGGTGCTGCTGTTTTTGCTTGTAGAAACTACTATGTTGATTCTGGCAGGACAAAATCTTTCTCAAATGTCATAAATACATCTACCTAACATCTGAAACAGTTATTGGTGCCTTAGTAAACACATAAGTGAATTCAGATTATGAAATGTAGCAAATTTCTTGAAGAAAACATCTCAACTCAAGTGATTTGCACCCAGCACAATGAAATATATACAGTAAATTTAGCTAAAAGCTTATGTTTCATCCATAAAAATGACACAACCTACTGTGTAATAAAAGCAATAAAAAATAAACAGCTCAAATTGGCCATAAATGGCTGAAAGTCAATCAAATTGCTACCTCGTCCCCCAAAATTGGGATAATGGAAAAAATGTAACAAGACAAAAATAAATGCACACAAGGTCTGAATTAATTCCAAATATGGTATAAAACATTTATTCAAGTATCACAGTGTCAAAACATCTGACATTTATCAATCCCTCCAGAATATGAAAATAAAGATCAAAACACAAATGCAGACAAATGTAGAACAAATATAAAACTAGGGCCCCGTTGGGGCACTGGCGGGCCCGAGCCGTGTCGCACCGCCCCCAGCGCGACCGCCTACCCCTCCCGATCGCGTCACACTCAAGGTCCAAAGATGGTGTGCGCACTTGTCTGTGGTCATTTACCATTATAATGAATGGGAGGCGCAGTTTCTACCAAAACGCTCGCTGCAGACAAACTACATGTCCTTTTTGAAAAAAGTCTGGACCATGAGTGAGGTCACAAACACAGCTAGTATATATCCAAATGGCAAGTTGCTCCTCCTTTCGGTTTTGCCGAGAGAGCGATGCGTTTGAGCCATTGAGCGATGGGCAGGAAAAACTTGACTTTTTCTCCTGCCATGGGGGGGCGCTCTTTTGGGGAGAAAAAATTCCTTCACAAATGTGTTGATGGCTGGACATTGCATCATCCTAGAAAACTTGGAGGCCAGTGAGGACAAAAATAAAAAGTTATAAGACTTTTAAATATGTGGATATTTGGGTCCTCTTTGGCGCCCCCTAGAACGTAGACCGTGGGGTGCAGCGGCATGATTTTTACAACTTTGAATGGCCATGGGGTGTAGATTGGCCTGAGCAAATTTGGTGTCAGTGGGACGAAAGCCTTAGGAGGAGTTAGCCACATTCCAATGTGTGCGAATCGGCAAAAAATGAAAAATAGCCGTTTAGCCGTACATTTTACAGATACGCGCGCATTGACTTTTTCGTAGATCTTATTGAGATACACGTGTGTGTCAAATTTTTTGTCAATATGACAAAGCGTGCAGGCGTGAATCTCAACAATGTGTATTTCACCTTAGGGGACAAGAAAAAATTGACTTTTTTGTCCTGCCATGGGGGGGCGCTCTTTTGGGGAGTAAAAATTCCTTCACAAATGTGTTGATGGCTGGACATTGCATCATCCTAGAAAACTTGGAGGCCAGTGAGGACAAAAAAAAAAGTTATAAAACTTTTAAGAATGTGGATTTTTGGGTTATTTTTGGCGCCCCCTAGAACCTAAACCATGGGGTGCAGCATCATGATGTGTACAACTTTGAATGGCCATGGAGTGTAGATTGGCCTGAGCAAATGTGGAAACGAAAGCCTTCGGAGGAGTTAGCGAAATTCCAATGTGTGCGGATCTGCAAAAAATGCGAAATAACCCTTTAACCGTACATTTGACAGATACGCCCGCGCTGACTTTTTTGTAGATCTTATTGAGATACATGTGTGTGTCAATTTTTGTGTCAATATGACAAAGCGTACAGGCGTGACAGTCAATAGTGTGAATTTTCACCTTAGGGGGCGCTATGGAGCCATTTTGCTTTTGATTGTTTGGGCGACTTCAGAATATCGAATTTTTCACCAGGCCCGGTCGTCCTGCCAAATTTCATGAGTTTTCGCCAGTGGGAAGTGGGCCATTTTCCCCTTCAAAGGGGAGGAAAAATAAGACTAGGACCCCGTTGGGGCACTGGCGGGCCCGAGCCGTGTCCCCCCCCCCCCCCCCCCAACGTGCTGCCTTCCCGTCCCATTTGTGTCCTTTGGCCATCGCCCTCTCTGGTAACGCCCATCACTGCAAAGACCCTTTTCCTTCATCGGCGTTTGCTGTTCTTCCTGCCTAGCCTATTGGATATCACTGTCACCTACACAGGACAGTCATTACCTTTCTATTAATACTTTGTGTTTTAATTTCACATTAATTTCCATATTGTATAAACGACTGGAAAAAACTTGAGCCCCTGCCCCTGTATAATCATGTGCATGTCTCTGTTCTAGCTCCAAGGTGAATCTTCACTGCTCATGTTCTCCTCAGAAGCACTCACCTCACTCCCCTCAGGTTACTGTACACATGCACCAACTGCCTGCTTCAGGTTTGGATGGAGCTTCATGGTTGTCTTTTGGAGAAATGACCAGTCAAGTTGTGTTTGAAATTTGATTTTTTTCAGGGGCAAAAGGAGCCTCTGCATTCTTGTCAAATATGTAAATAGCATGTTTTTGCAGGTGCTAAAAACCAGACTCTGAGTGTGTGTGTGTGTGTGTGTGTGTGTGTGTGTGTGTGTGTGTGTGTGCGTGTGTGTGTGTCTGTGTGTGCGTTCAAGTCACATGACATATTTAACCGGATGTAGCTGCAAGACGGAGCCTCGTTGACTCTCCGTTTCAACTTATCTCAAAAGTGAGGACCTCAACCTATATACCAGTTTTTAAATTGTGTTGATAGGCCAAATAAAACCAGAGTTATGATAAATTATGTCCGCGATACTTTTTTTCTGCTTATTTTGATCACGTTCGGCGCTCGATCGCGCTGTATGAGACAGGAAAACATAGCATGCAGACATTAGCGACAGGTCTTAAAGGCGGAAAAGGCTTGCCAAAAGAAAAAAAAAACACACCACAACATCTCTCCTATTGGTGGAAAACTTCACCACAACAACCAATCCAAAATTATATGGTGACTGATTGACAAGGGGCGGGCGCTTACGTTCTTCCTGCAACATGAGAAGGGAGGGAGGGACTCTCAGCAGGGATGCAGTCTGGGACACGTAGTTGCAAACCTAGCGACTTTGTTGTTAGATTCAATGACTTTTCAGACCCCCTAACGACTTTTTTTTAGAAAGAAAGGGACTTTTATCGACTTCTTCTGGAGTTTAGAGACTCTGACATGAAGCAGGCTTTCCTTACTGAGGAGTTAGCAACGCTGCTAAGGGTGCAGAGCCACACATGCGCTCAGAGCTCTGCATGGGAGACTGAAGCTGACAGAGCTGCAGCAGTTAGCAGGTTTCACCCTCAGAGACCACCAGGGGTTCATGTTGAGGCATTTTAATTTTTTTTTTTTTTTTTGTGCCATAGACACTGTCAGCACAATCTGCAGTTACACTAACAAAAATGCTGCAAAAAACAAAGAATTATGGAAAAATTACACATGGACTGACATAGAGGAGGATCTACACAAGTTTTTTACATCATGTTTTACATCATGCATCATTTACATCATGCTTTTTTGTAGTGGCATAAATAAAAAGTGACATTTGTGAGACTATACAGTGTTTTGTAAATAATTTTACAAAGAACGCCTGGGCCATTGCCTGCATTTTGATATAAATAGAGGTAAATCACTATGTTCTTTGTTAAAAATTTGCATATGTTTTGAAGTTTACAATTTTTATTTGAAGTTTAAGTTTTAAAAACAGTTCATCACACATATTTGTGGTTTTCACAGTAAAAATGTTACTTTTTTCCACTCGGATTTTATGTTTTGTGTGTGAATTTGGGTCCATTGTGTAAATTCAGTATGTCAACATGATAAAATAACTGTAAATTCGCACAGGTGAGGTTGTGCTGAAAAAAATGATACCAGGCAAGGCACGTGATTGTCAAATTTTGTGTCAATATGACGAAGCGTATAGGCGTGAATCTCAACAATATGTATTTTCACCTTAGGGGACAAGAAAAAAATGGACTTTTTTCTCCTGCCATGGGGGGGCGCTCTTTTGGGGAGTAAAAATTCCTTCACAAATGTGTTGATGGCTGGACATTGCATCATCCTAGAAAACTTGGAGGCCAGTGAGGACAAAAATAAAAAGTTATAAGACTTTTAAATATGTGGATTTTAGGGTTATCTTTGGCGCCCCCTAGAACCTAAACCGTGGGGTGCAGCGTCATGATTTGAATAACTTTTAATGGCCATGGGGTGTAGATTGGCCTGAGCAAATGTGGTGCCGGTGGAACGAAAGCCTTAGGAGGAGTTAGCCACATTCCAATGTGTGCAGATCGGCAAAAAATGCGGAATAACCCTTTAACCGTACATTTGACAGATACGCGCGCGTTGACTTTTTCGAAGATCTTATTGAAATACACGTGTATGTAAAATTTTGTGTCAATACGACAAAACATACAGGCGTAGCACTCAACAATGTGAATTTTCACCTTAGTGGACAAGAAAAAATGGACTTTTTTCTCCTGCCATGGGGGGGCGCTCTTTTGGCGAGTAAAAATTCCTTCACAAATGTGTTGATGGCTGGACATTGCATCATCCTAGAAAACTTGGAGGCCAGTGGGGACAAAAATAAAAAGTTATAAGACTTTTAAATATGTGGATTTTACGGTTATCTTTGGCGCCCCCTAGAACCTAAACCGTGGGGTGCAGCGTCATGATTTGAATAACTTTTAATGGCCATGGGGTGTAGATTGGCCTGAGCAAATGTGGTGCCGGTGGAACGAAAGCCTTCGGAGGAGTTAGCGAAATTCCAATGTGTGCGGATCGGCAAAAAATGCGAAATAACCCTTTAACCGTACATTTGACAGATACGCCCGCACTGACTTTTTTGTAGATCTTATTGAGATACATGTGTGTGTCAATTTTTGTGTCATTTTGACAAAGCGTACAGGCGTGACAGTCAATAGTGTGAATTTTCACCTTAGGGGGCGCTATGGAGCCATTTTGCATTTTCTTGTTTGGGCGACTTCGGAATATCGAATTTTTCACCAGGCCCGGTCGTCCTGCCAAATTTCATGAGTTTTCGCCAGTGGGAAGTGGGCCATTTTCCAGTTCAAAGGGGAGGAAAAATAATAACTAGGGCCCCGTTGGGGCACTGGCGGGCCCGAGCCGTGTCACGCCGCCCCCAGCGCGACCGCCTCCCCCACCCGATCGCGTCACACTCAAGGTCCAAAGATGGTGTGCGCACTTGTTTGTGGTCATTTACCATTATAATGAACGGGAGGCGCAGTTTCTACCAAAACGCTCGCTGCAGAAAAACTCCATGTCCTATTTGAAAAAAGTCTGGACCATGAGTGAGGGCACAAACACAGCTAAGATATATCCAAATGGCAAGTTGCTCCTCCTTTCGCTTTTGCCGAGAGAGCAGTGCGTTTGAGCCATTGAACGATGAACAGGAAAAACTTGACTTTATTCTCCTGCCATGGGGGGGCGCTCTTTTAAAGAGAAAAAACTCCTTCACAAATGTGTTGATGGCTGGACATTGCATCATCCTAGAAAACATGGAGGCCAGTGAGGACAAAAATAAAAAGTTATAAGACTTTTAAATATGTGGATTTTAGGGTTATATTTGGCGCCCCCTAGAACCTAAACCGTGGGGTGCAGCGTCATGATTTGAATAACTTTTAATGGCCATGGGGTGTAGATTGGCCTGAGCAAATGTGGTGCCGGTGGAACGAAAGCCTTCGGAGGAATTAGCGAAATTCCAATGTGTGCGAATCTGCAAAAAATGCGAAATAACCCTTTAACCGTACATTTTACAGATACGTGGCCATTGACTTTTTCGAAGATCTTATGTAAATACACGTGTATGTAAAATTTTGTGTCAATTCGACAAAACATACAGGCGTAGCACTCAACAATGTGTATTTTCACCTTAGTGGACAAGAAAAAATTGACTTTTTTCTCCTGCCATGGGGGGGCGCTCTTTTGGGGAGTAAAAATTCCTTCACAAATGTGTTGATGGCTGGACATTGCATCATCCTAGAAAACTTGGAGGCCAGTGAGGGCAAAAATAAAAAGTTATAAGACTTTTAAATATGTGGATCTTAGGGTTATCTTTGGCGCCCCCTAGAACCTAAACCGTGGGGTGCAGCGTCATGATTTGAATAACTTTTAATGGCCATGGGGTGTAGATTGGCCTGAGCAAATGTGGTGCCGGTGGAACGAAAGCCTTCGGAGGAGTTAGCGAAATTCCAATGTGTGCGGATCGGCAAAAAATGCGAAATAACCCTTTAACCGTACATTTGACAGATACGCCCGCACTGACTTTTTTGTAGATCTTATTGAGATACATGTGTGTGTCAATTTTTGTGTCAATATGACATGAGAAGGGAGGGAGGGACTCTCAGCAGGGATGCAGTCTGGGACACGTAGTTGCAAACCTAGCGACTTTGTTGTTAGATTCAATTACTTTTCAGACCCCCTAACGACTTTTTTTTAGAAAGAAAGGGACTTTTATCGACTTCTTCTGGAGTTTAGAGACTCTGACATGAAGCAGGCTTTCCTTACTGAGGAGTTAGCAACGCTGCTAAGGGTGCAGAGCCACACATGCGCTCCGAGCTCTGCATGGGAGACTGAAGCTGACAGAGCTGCAGCAGTTAGCAGGTTTCACCCTCAGAGACCACCAGGGGTTCATGTTGAGGCATTTTCAGTTTTTGTTTTTTTTGCCATAGACTGTCAGCACAATCTGCAGTTACACTAACAAAAATGCTGCAAAAAACAAAGAATTATGGAAAAATTACACATGGACTGACATAGAGGAGGATCTACACAAGTTTTTTACATCATGTTTTACATCATGCATCATTTACATCATGTTTTTTTGTAGTGGCATAAATAAAAAGTGACATTTGTGAGACTATACAGTGTTTTGTAAATAATTTTACAAAGAACGCCTGGGCCATTGCCTGCATTTTGATGTAAATAGAGGTAAATTACTATGTTCTTTGTTAAAAATTTGCATATGTTTTGAAGTTTACAATTTTTATTTGAAGTTTAAGTTTTAAAAACAGTTCATCACACATATTTGTGTTTTAATTTCACATTAATTTCCATATTGTATAAATGACTGGAAAAAACTTGAGCCCCTGCCCCTGTATAATCATGTGCACGTCCCTGTTCTAGCTCCAAGGTGAATCTTCACTGCTCATGTTCTCCTCAGAAATAGTCACCTCACTCCCCTCAGGTTACTGTACACATGCACCAACTATCTGCTTCAGGTTTGGATGGAGCTTCATGGTTGTCTTTTGGAGAAATGAACAGTCAAGTTGTGTTTGAAATCTGATTTTTTTCAGGGGCAAAAGGAAGCCTCTGCATTCTTGTCAAATATGTAAACAGCATGTTTTTGCAGGTGCTAAAAAACAGACTCTGAGTGTGTGTGTGTGTGTGTGTGTGTGTGTGTGTGTGTATATGTGTGTGTATCCTGCAGTACTCTGTACTCCTGCAGTGGCCAAAAAGACTTTTAAGAATGTGGATTTTTGGGTCATCTTTGGCGCCCCCTAGAACTGCAGTACTCTGTACTCCTGCAGTGGCCAAAATGACTTTTAAGAATGTGGATTTTTGGGTCATCTTTGGTGCCCCCTAAAACATAAACCGTGGGGTGCAGCGTCATGATTTTTACAACTTTGAATGGCCATGGGGTGTAGATTGCCCTGAGCAAATTTGGTATCGGTGGGACGAAAGCCTTAGGAGGAGATAGCCACATTCCAATGTGTGCGAATCGGCAAAAAATGCGAAATAGCCCTTTAACCGTACATTATACAGATACGCGCTTTTTGACTTTTTCGTAGATCTAATTGAGATACACGTGATTGTCAATTTTTGTGTCAATATGACAAAGCGTTCAGGCATGACACTCAACAATGTGTATTTTCATGTAAGGGGACAAGAAAAAATTGACTTTTTTCTCCTGCCATGGGGGGGCGCTCTTTTGGGGAGTAAAAATTCCTTCACAAATGTGTTGATGGCTGGACATTGCATCATCCTAGAAAACTTGGAGGCCAGTGAGGGCAAAAATAAAAAGTTATAAGACTTTGAAATATGTGGATTTTAGGGTTATCTTTGGCGCCCCCTAGAACCTAAACCGTGGGGTGCAGCGTCATGATTTGAATAACTTTTAATGGCCATGGGGTGTAGATTGGCCTGAGCAAATGTGGTGCCGGTGGAACGAAAGCCTTCGGAGGAGTTAGCGAAATTCCAATGTGTGCGGATCGGCAAAAAATGCGAAATAACCCTTTAACCGTACATTTGACAGATACGCCCGCACTGACTTTTTTGTAGATCTTATTGAGATACATGTGTGTGTCAATTTTTGTGTCATTTTGACAAAGCGTACAGGCGTCAGGTGAATTTTTCACCTTAGGGGGCGCTATGGAGCCATTTTGCATTGTATTGTTTGGGCGACTTCAGAATATCAAATTTTTCACCAAGCCCGGTTGTCCTGCCAAATTTCATGAGTTTTCGCCAGTGGGAAGTGGGCCATTTTCCAGTTCAAAGGGGAGGAAAAAGAAAAAAGAAACAAAGAAAAACCACTTGGGGACTAATAGGGCTCTCGCAGCTGCTTAGCAGCTACGCTCGGGCCCTAACTAGGACCCCGTTGGGGCACTGGCGGGCCCGAGCTGTGTCGCGTCCCCCCCCCAACGCGCTGCCTCCCCGTCCCATTTGTGTCCTCTGGCCATCGCCCTCTCTGGTAACGCCCATCACTGCAAAGACCCTTTTCCTTCATCGGCGTTTGCTGTTCTTCCTGCCAGTGCGTGTTGCTTTCACTTACACTTGCCACAGCCAGCCTCTTGAGTGCCTAGCCTATTGGATATCACTGTCACCTACTCAGGACAGTCATTACCTTTCTATTAATACTTTGTTTTTTAATTTCACATTAATTTCCATATTGTATAAACAACTGGAAAAAACTTGAGCCCCTGCCCCTGTATAATCATGTGCACGTCTCTGTTCTAGCTCTAAGGTGAATCTTCACTGCTCATGTTCTCCTCAGAAGCAGTCACCTCACTCCCCTCAGGTTACTGTACACATGCACCAACTGCCTGCTTCAGGTTTGGATGGAGCTTCATGGTTGTCTTTTGGAGAAATGACCAGTCAAGTTGTGTTTGAAATTTGATTTTTTTCAGGGGCAAAAGGAGCCTCTGCATTCTTGTCAAATATGTAAATAGCATGTTTTTGCAGGTGCTAAAAACCAGACTCTGAGTGTGTGTGTGTGCGTGTGTGCGTGTGTGTGTGTGTGTGTGTGTGTGTGTGTGTGTGTGCGTTCAAGTCACATGACATATTTAACCGGATGTAGCTGCAAGACGGAGCCTCGTTGACTCCGTTTCAACTTATCTCAAAAGTGAGGACCTCAACCTATATACCAGTTTTTAAATTGTGTTGATAGGCCAAATAAAACCAGAGTTATGATAAATTATGTCCGCGATACTTGTTTTCTGCTTATTTTGATCACGTTCGGCGCTCGATCGCGCTGTATGAGACAGGAAAACATAGCATGCAGACATTAGCGACAGGTCTTACAGGCGGAAAAGGCTTGCCAAAGGAAAAAAAAAACACACCACAACATCTCTCCTATTGGTGGAAAACTTCACCACAACAACCAATCCAAAATTATATGGTGACTGATTGACAAGGGGCGGGCGCTTACGTTCTTCCTGCAATATGAGAAGGGAGGGAGGGACTCTCAGCAGGGATGCAGTCTGGGACACGTAGTTGCAAACCTAGCGACTTTGTTGTTAGATTCAATGACTTTTCAGACCCCCTAACGACTTTTTTTTTTAGAAAGAAAGTGACTTTTATCGACTTCTTCTGGAGTTTAGAGACTCTGACATGAAGCAGGCTTTCCTTACTGAGGAGTTAGCAACGCTGCTAAGGGTGCAGAGCCACACATGCGCTCCGAGCTCTGCATGGGAGACTGAAGCTGACAGAGCTGCAGCAGTTAGCAGGTTTCACCCTCAGAGACCACCAGGGGTTCATGTTGAGGCATTTTCAGTTTTTTTTTTTTTGCCATAGACACTGTCAGCACAATCTGCAGTTACACTAACAAAAATGCTGCAAAAACAAAGAATTATGGAAAAATTACACATGGACTGACATAGAGGAGGATCTACACAAGTTTTTTACATCATGTTTTACATCATGCATCATTTACATCATGTTTTTTTGTAGTGGCATAAATAAAAAGTGACATTTGTGAGACTATACAGTGTTTTGTAAATAATTTTACAAAGAACACCTGGGCCATTGCCTGCATTTTGATGTAAATAGAGGTAAATTACTATGTTCTTTGTTAAAAATTTGCATATGTTTTGAAGTTTACAATTTTTATTTGAAGTTTAAGTTTTAAAAACAGTTCATCACACATATTTGTGGTTTTCACAGTAAAAACGTTACTTTTTTCCACTCGGATTTTATGTTTTGTGTGTGAATTTGGGTCCAATGTGTAAATATAGTATGGCAAAATGATAAAATAACTGTAAATTGACACAGGTGAGGTTGTGCTGAAAAAAATGATACCAGGCAAGGCAAGGTAAAAATTTTGTAAGAGGAAATATAAAGGTAAAATCTAAAGTAGTCAAAAACGGCCAATAGTGACTCACAGACTCCACAGACAAGTCCCTTTGGCGCCACTCAGTGGGCAAAACTACTTTGTCTACTGTAATGTATATTTGGGTCATCTTTGGCGCCCCCTAAAACGTAAACCGTGGGGTGCAGCGTCATGATTTTTACAACTTTGAATGGCCATGGAGTGTAGATTGGCCTGAGCAAATTTGGTGTCAGTGGGACGAAAGCCTTAGGAGGAGTTAGCGAAATTCCAATGTGTGCGAATCGGCAAAAAATGCAAAATAGCCCTTTTACCGTACATTATACAGATACGCGCTCTTTGACTTTTTCGTAGATCTAATTGAGATACACATGATTGTCAATTTTTGTGTCATTTTGCCAAAGCGTACAGGCGTGACAGTCAACAATGTGTATTTTCACCTTAGGGGACAAGAAAAAATGGACTTTTTTCTCCTGCCATGGGGGGCGCTCTTTTAGGGAGTAAAAATTCCTTCACAAATGTGTTGATGGCTGGACATTGCATCATCCTAGAAAACTTGGAGGCCAGTGAGGACAAAAATAAAAAGTTATAAGACTTTTAAAAATGTGGATTTTTGGGTTATCTTTGGCGCCCCCTAGAACGTAAACCGTGGGGTGCAGCGTCATGATTTGAATAACTTTTAATGGCCATGGGGTGTAGATTGGCCTGAGCAAATGTGGTGCCGGTGGAACGAAAGCCTTCGGAGGAGTTAGCGAAATTCCAATGTGTGCGAATCGGCAAAAAATGCGGAATAACCCTTTAACCGTACATTTGACAGATACGCGCGCATGGACTTTTTTGTAGATCTTATTGAGATAGATGTGTGTGTCAATTTTTGTGTCATTTTGACAAAGCGTACAGGCGTGACACTCAACAATGTGTATTTTCACCTTAGGGGACAAGAAAAAATGGACTTTTTTCTCCTGCCATGGGGGGGCGCTCTTTTGGGGAGTAAAAATTCCTTCACAAATGTGTTGATGGCTGGACATTGCATCATCCTAGAAAACTTGGAGGCCAGTGAGGGCAAAAATAAAAAGTTATAAGACTTTTAAATATGTGGATTTTAGGGTTATCTTTGGCGCCCCCTAGAACCTAAACCGTGGGGTGCAGCGTCATAATTTGAATAACTTTTAATGGCCATGGGGTGTAGATTGGCCTGAGCAAATGTGGTGCCGGTGGAACGAAAGCCTTCGGAGGAGTTAGCGAAATTCCAATGTGTGCGGATCGGCAAAAAATGCGAAATAACCCTTTAACCGTACATTTGACAGATACGCCCGCACTGACTTTTTTGTAGATCTTATTGAGATACATGTGTGTGTCAAATTTTGTGTCATTTTGACAAAGCGTACAGGCGTGACACTCAATAGTGTGAATTTTCACCTTAGGGGGCGCTATGGAGCCATTTTGCATTTTCTTGTTTGGGCGACTTCGGAATATCAAATTTTTCACCAGGCCCGGTCGTCCTGCCAAATTTCATGAGTTTTCGCCAGTGGGAAGTGGGCCATTTTCCAGTTCAAAGGGGAGGAAAAAGAAAAAAGAAACAAAGAAAAACCCCTTGGGGAATAATAGGGCTCTCGCAGCTGCTTAGCAGCTACGCTCGGGCCCTAAAAAGAAGGAAACTACAGGAACAAGAGGGCTCTCGCAGCTGCTTAGCAGCTACGCTCGGGCCCTAACTAGGACCCCGTTGGGGCACTGGCGGGCCCGAGCCGTGTCCCCCCCCCCAACGCGCTGCCTCCCCGTCCCATTTGTGTCCTCTGGCCATCGCCCTCTCTGGTAACGCCCATCACTGCAAAGACCCTTTTCCTTCATCGGCGTTTGCTGTTCTTCCTGCCAGTGCGTGTTGCTTTCACTTACACTTGCCACAGCCAGCCTCGTGAGTGCCTAGCCTATTCGATATCACTGTCACCTACACAGGACAGTCATTACCTTTCTATTAATACTTTGTGTTTTAATTTCACATTAATTTCCATATTGTATAAACGACTGGAAAAAACTTGAGCCCCTGCCCCTGTATAATCATGTGCATGTCTCTGTTCTAGCTCCAAGGTGAATCTTCACTGCTCATGTTCTCCTCAGAAGCACTCACCTCACTCCCCTCAGGTTACTGTACACATGCACCAACTGCCTGCTTCAGGTTTGGATGGAGCTTCATGGTTGTCTTTTGGAGAAATGACCAGTCAAGTTGTGTTTGAAATTTGATTTTTTTCAGGGGCAAAAGGAGCCTCTGCATTCTTGTCAAATATGTAAATAGCATGTTTTTGCAGGTGCTAAAAACCAGACTCTGAGTGTGTGTGTGTGTGTGTGTGTGTGTGTGTGTGTGTGTGTGCGTGTGTGTGTGTCTGTGTGTGCGTTCAAGTCACATGACATATTTAACCGGATGTAGCTGCAAGACGGAGCCTCGTTGACTCTCCGTTTCAACTTATCTCAAAAGTGAAGACCTCAACCTATATACCAGTTTTTAAAATGTGTTGATAGGCCAAATAAAACCAGAGTTATGATAAATTATGTCCGCGATACTTTTTTTCTGCTTATTTTGATCACGTTCGGCGCTCGATCGCGCTGTATGAGACAGGAAAACATAGCATGCAGACATTAGCGACAGGTCTTACAGGCGGAAAAGGCTTGCCAAAAGAAAAAAAAAACACACCACAACATCTCTCCTATTGGTGGAAAACTTCACCACAACAACCAATCCAAAATTATATGGTGACTGATTGACAAGGGGCGGGCGCTTACGTTCTTCCTGCAACATGAGAAGGGAGGGAGGGACTCTCAGCAGGGATGCAGTCTGGGACACGTAGTTGCAAACCTAGCGACTTTGTTGTTAGATTCAATGACTTTTCAGACCCCCTAACGACTTTTTTTTAGAAAGAAAGGGACTTTTATCGACTTCTTCTGGAGTTTAGAGACTCTGACATGAAGCAGGCTTTCCTTACTGAGGAGTTAGCAACGCTGCTAAGGGTGCAGAGCCACACATGCGCTCAGAGCTCTGCATGGGAGACTGAAGCTGACAGAGCTGCAGCAGTTAGCAGGTTTCACCCTCAGAGACCACCAGGGGTTCATGTTGAGGCATTTTAATTTTATTTTTTTTTGTGCCATAGACACTGTCAGCACAATCTGCAGTTACACTAACAAAAATGCTGCAAAAAACAAAGAATTATGGAAAAATTACACATGGACTGACATAGAGGAGGATCTACACAAGTTTTTTACATCATGTTTTACATCATGCATCATTTACATCATGTTTTTTTGTAGTGGCATAAATAAAAAGTGACATTTGTGAGACTATACAGTGTTTTGTAAATAATTTTACAAAGAACGCCTGGGCCATTGCCTGCATTTTGATGAAAATAGAGGTAAATCACTATGTTCTTTGTTAAAAATTTGCATATGTTTTGAAGTTTACAATTTTTATTTGAAGTTTAAGTTTTAAAAACAGTTCATCACACATATTTGTGGTTTTCACAGTAAAAATGTTACTTTTTTCCACTCGGATTTTATGTTTTGTGTGTGAATTTGGGTCCATTGTGTAAATTCAGTATGTCAACATGATAAAATAACTGTAAATTCGCACAGGTGAGGTTGTGCTGAAAAAAATGATACCAGGCAAGGCACGTGATTGTCAAATTTTGTGTCAATATGACAAAGCGTATAGGCGTGAATCTCAACAATATGTATTTTCACCTTAGGGGACAAGAAAAAATTGACTTTTTTCTCCTGCCATGGGGGGGCGCTCTTTTGGGGAGTAAAAATTCCTTCACAAATGTGTTGATGGCTGGACATTGCATCATCCTAGAAAACTTGGAGGCCAGTGAGGACAAAAATAAAAAGTTATAAGACTTTGAAATATGTGGATTTTAGGGTTATCTTTGGCGCCCCCTAGAACCTAAACCGTGGGGTGCAGCGTCATGATTTGAATAACTTTTAATGGCCATGGGGTGTAGATTGTCCTGAGCAAATGTGGTGCCGGTGGAACGAAAGCCTTAGGAGGAGTTAGCCACATTCCAATGTGTGCGGATCGGCAAAAAATGCGGAATAACCCTTTAACCGTACATTTGACAGATACGCGCGCATTGACTTTTTCGTAGATCTTATTGAGTTACATGTGTGTGTCAATTTTTGTGTCATTTTGACAAAGCGTATAGGCGTGACACTCAACAATGTTTTTTTTCACCTTAGGGGACAAGAAAAAATGGACTTTTTTCTCCTGCCATGGGGGGGCGCTCTTTTGGGGAGTAAAAATTCCTTCACAAATGTGTTGATGGCTGGACATTGCATCATCCTAGAAAACTTGGAGGCCAGTGAGGACAAAAATAAAAAGTTATAAGACTTTTAAATATGTGGATTTAAGTGTTATCTTTGGCGCCCCCTAGAACCTAAACCTTGGGGTGCAGCGTCATGATTTTGATAACTTTTAATGGCCACGGGGTGTAGATTGGCCTGAGCAAATGTGGTGCCGGTGGAACGAAAGCCTTCGGAGGAGTTAGCGAAATTCCAATGTGTGCGGATCGGCAAAAAATGCGAAATAACCCTTTAACCGTACATTTGACAGATACGGCCGCACTGACTTTTTTGTAGATCTTATTGAGATACATATGTGTGTCAATTTTTGTGTCAATATGACAAAGCGTACAGGCGTGACAGTCAATAGTGTGAATTTCCACCTTAGGGGGCGCTATGGAGCCATTTTGCATTTTATTGTTTGGGCGACTTCAGAATATCGAATTTTTCACCAGGCCCGGTCGTCCTGCCAAATTTCATGAGTTTTCGCCAGTGGGAAGTGGGCCATTTTCCAGTTCAAAGGGGAGGAAAAAGAAGAAACTAGGGCCCTGTTGGGGCACTGGCGGGCCCGAGCCGTGTCGCGCCACCCCCAGCGCGACCGCCTACCCCTCCCGATCGCGTCACACTCAAGGTCCAAAGATGGTGTGCGCACTTGTCTGTGGTCATTTACCATTATAATGAATGGGAGGCGCAGTTTCTACCAAAACGCTCGCTGCAGACAAACTCCATGTCCTTTTTGAAAAAAGTCTGGACCATGAGTGAGGGCACAAACACAGCTAGTATATATCCAAATGGCAAGTTGCTCCTCCTTTCGGTTTTGCCGAGAGAGCGATGCGTTTGAGCCATTGAGCGATGGGCAGGAAAAACTGGACTTTTTCTCCTGCCATGGGGGGGCGCTCTTTTGGGGAGAAAAAATTCCTTCACAAATGTGTTGATGGCTGGACATTGCATCATCCTAGAAAACTTGGAGGCCAGTGAGGACAAAAATAAAAAGTTATGACTTTTAAAAATGTGGATATTTGGGTCCTCTTTGGCACCCCCTAGAACGTAAACCGTGGGGTGCAGCGTCATGATTTGTACAACTTTGAATGGCCATGGGGTGTAGATTGACCTGAGCAAATTTGAAGCCGATGGGACAAAAGCTTTAGGAGGAGTTAACCACATTCCTATGTGAAATAACCCTTTAACCGTACATTTGACAGATACTTTTTCTCCTGCCATGGGGGGGGAGAATGTGGATTCTTTTAAGAATGTGGATTTTTTGGTCATCTTTGGCGCCCCCTAGAACGTAAACCGTGGGGTGCAGCGTCATGATTTTTACAACTTTGAATGGCCATGGGGTGTAGATTGGCCTGAGCAAATTTGGTTTCAGTGGGACGAAAGCCTTAGGAGGAGTTAGCCACATTCCAATGTGTGCGAATCGGCAAAAAATGCAAAATCGCCCTCTAACCGTACATTTGACAGATACGCACCCATTGACTTTTTCGTAGATCTTATTGAGATACACGTGATTGTCAAATTTTGTGTCAATATGACAAAGCGTACAGGTGTCACACTCAACAATGTGAATTTTCACCTTACGGGACAAGAAAAAATTGACTTTTTTCTCCTGCCATGGGGGGGCGCTCTTTTGAGGAGTAAAAATTCCTTCACAAATGTGTTGATGGCTGGACATTGCATCATCCTAGAAAACTTGGAGGCCAGTGAGGACAAAAATAAAAAGTTATAAGACTTTGAAATATGTGGATTTTAGGGTTATCTTTGGCGCCCCCTAGAACCTAAACCGTGGGGTGCAGCGTCATGATTTGAATAACTTTTAATGGCCATGGGGTGTAGATTGGCCTGAGCAAATGTGGTGCCGGTGGAACGCCAGCCTTAGGAGGAGTTAGCGAAATTCCAATGTGTGCGGATCAGCAAAAAATGCGGAATAACCCTTTAACCGTACATTTGACAGATACGCGCGCATTGACTTTTTCGTAGATCTTATTGAGATACATGTGTGTGTCAAATTTTGTGTCAATATGACAAAGCGTACAGGCGTGACACTCAACAATGTGTATTTTCACCTTAGGGGACAAGAAAAAATTGACTTTTTTCTCCTGCCATGGGGGGGCGCTCTTTTGGGGAGTAAAAATTCCTTCACAAATGTGTTGATGGCTGGACATTGCATCATCCTAGAAAACTTGGAGGCCAGTGAGGGCAAAAATAAAAAGTTATAAGACTTTTAAATATGTGGATTTTAGGGTTATCTTTGGCGCCCCCTAGAACCTAAACCGTGGGGTGCAGCGTCATGATTTGAATAACTTTTAATGGCCATGGGGTGTAGATTGGCCTGAGCAAATGTGGTGCCGGTGGAAAGAAAGCCTTCGGAGGAGTTAGCGAAATTCCAATGTGTGCGGATCGGCAAAAAATGCGGAATAACCCTTTAACCGTACATTTGACAGATACGCCCGCACTGACTTTTTTGTAGATCTTATTGAGATACATATGTGTGTCAATTTTTGTGTCATTTTGACAAAGCGTAGAGGCGTGACAGTCAATAGTGTGAATTTTCACCTTAGGGGGCGCTATGGAGCCATTTTGCATTTTCTTGTTTGGGCGACTTCGGAATATCAAATTTTTCACCAGGCCCGGTCATCCTGCCAAATTTCATGAGTTTTCGCCAGTGGGAAGTGGGCCATTTTCCAGTTCAAAGGGGAGGAAAAAGAAGAAACTAGGACCCCGTTGGGGCACTGGCGGGCCCGAGCCGTGTCGCATATCCCCCCCCCCCCCCAACATGCTGCCTCCCCGTCCCATTTGTGTCCTCTGGCCATCGCCCTCTCTGGTAACGCCCATCACTGCAAAGACCCTTTTCCTTCATCGGCGTTTGCTGTTCTTCCTGCCAGTGCGTGTTGCTTTCACTTACACTTGCCACAGCCAGCCTCGTGAGTGCCTAGCCTATTGGATATCACTGTCACCTACACAGGACAGTCATTACCTTTCTATTAATACTTTGTTTTTTAATTTCACATTAATTTCCATATTGTATAAACGACTGGAAAAAACTTGAGCCCCTGCCCCTGTATAATCATGTGCATGTCTCTGTTCTAGCTCCAAGGTGAATCTTCACTGCTCATGTTCTCCTCAGAAGCACTCACCTCACTCCCCTCAGGTTACTGTACACATGCACCAACTGCCTGCTTCAGGTTTGGATGGAGCTTCATGGTTGTCTTTTGGAGAAATGACCAGTCAAGTTGTGTTTGAAATTTGATTTTTTTCAGGGGCAAAAGGAGCCTCTGCATTCTTGTCAAATATGTAAATAGCATGTTTTTGCAGGTGCTAAAAACCAGACTCTGAGTGTGTGTGTGTGTGTGTGTGTGTGTGCGTGTGTGTGTGTCTGTGTGTGCGTTCAAGTCACATGACATATTTAACCGGATGTAGCAGCAAGACGGAGCCTCGTTGACTCTCCGTTTCAACTTATCTCAAAAGTGAGGACCTCAACCTATATACCAGTTTTTAAATTGTGTTGATAGGCCAAATAAAACCAGAGTTATGATCAATTATGTCCGCGATACTTTTTTTCTGCTTATTTTGATCACGTTCGGCGCTCGATCGCGCTGTATGAGACAGGAAAACATAGCATGCAGACATTAGCGACAGCTCTTACAGGCGGAAAAGGCTTGCCAAAAGAAAAAAAAAACACACCACAACATCTCTCCTATTGGTGGAAAACTTCACCACAACAACCAATCCAAAATTATATGGTGACTGATTGACAAGGGGCGGGCGCTTACGTTCTTCCTGCAACATGAGAAGGGAGGGAGGGACTCTCAGCAGGGATGCAGTCTGGGACACGTAGTTGCAAACCTAGCGACTTTGTTGTTAGATTCAATGACTTTTCAGACCCCCTAACGACTTTTTTTTAGAAAGAAAGGGACTTTTATCGACTTCTTCTGGAGTTTAGAGACTCTGACATGAAGCAGGCTTTCCTTACTGAGGAGTTAGCAACGCTGCTAAGGGTGCAGAGCCACACATGCGCTCAGAGCTCTGCATGGGAGACTGAAGCTGACAGAGCTGCAGCAGTTAGCAGGTTTCACCCTCAGAGACCACCAGGGGTTCATGTTGAGGCATTTTAATTTTTTTTTTTTTGTGCCATAGACACTGTCAGCACAATCTGCAGTTACACTAACAAAAATGCTGCAAAAAACAAAGAATTATGGAAAAATTACACATGGACTGACATACAGGAGGATCTACACAAGTTTTTTACATCATGTTTTACATCATGCATCATTTACATCATGTTTTTTTGTAGTGGCATAAATAAAAAGTGACATTTGTGAGACTATACAGTGTTTTGTAAATAATTTTACAAAGAACGCCTGGGCCATTGCCTGCATTTTGATGTAAATAGAGGTAAATCACTATGTTCTTTGTTAAAAATTTGCATATGTTTTGAAGTTTACAATTTTTATTTGAAGTTTAAGTTTTAAAAACAGTTCATCACACATATTTGTGGTTTTCACAGTAAAAATGTTACTTTTTTCCACTCGGATTTTATGTTTTGTGTGTGAATTTGGGTCCATTGTGTAAATTCAGTATGTCAACATGATAAAATAACTGTAAATTCGCACAGGTGAGGTTGTGCTGAAAAAAATGATACCAGGCAAGGCACGTGATTGTCAAATTTTGTGTCAATATGACAAAGCGTATAGGCGTGAATCTCAACAATATGTATTTTCACCTTAGGGGACAAGAAAAAATGGACTTTTTTCTCCTGCCATGGGGGGGCGCTCTTTTGGGGAGTAAAAATTCCTTCACAAATGTGTTGATGGCTGGACATTGCATCATCCTAGAAAACTTGGAGGCCAGTGAGGACAAAAATAAAAAGTTATAAGACTTTTAAATATGTGGATTTTAGGGTTATCTTTGGCGCCCCCTAGAACCTAAACCGTGGGGTGCAGCGTCATGATTTTGATAACTTTTTATGGCCATGGGGTGTAGATTGGCCTGAGCAAATGTGGTGCCGGTGGAACGAAAGCCTTAGGAGGAGTTAGCCACATTCCAATGTGTGCGGATCGGCAAAAAATGCGGAATAACCCTTTAACCGTACATTTGACAGATACGCGCGCATTGACTTTTTCGTAGATCTTATTGAGTTACATGTGTGTGTCAATTTTTGTGTCATTTTGACAAAGCGTATAGGCGTGACACTCAACAATGTGTATTTTCACCTTAGGGGACAAGAAAAAATGGACTTTTTTCTCCTGCCATGGGGGGGCGCTCTTTTGGGGAGTAAAAATTCCTTCACAAATGTGTTGATGGCTGGACATTGCATCATCCTAGAAAACTTGGAGGCCAGTGAGGACAAAAATAAAAAGTTATAAGACTTTTAAATATGTGGATTTTAGTGTTATCTTTGGCGCCCCCTAGAACCTAAACCTTGGGGTGCAGCGTCATGATTTTGATAACTTTTAATGGCCACGGGGTGTAGATTGGCCTGAGCAAATGTGGTGCCGGTGGAACGAAAGCCTTCGGAGGAGTTAGCGAAATTCCAATGTGTGCAGATCGGCAAAAAATGTGAAATAACCCTTTAACCGTAATTTTGACAGATACGGCCGCACTGACTTTTTTGTAGATCTTATTGAGATACATGTGTGTGTCAATTTTTGTGTCATTTTGACAAAGCGTACAGTCGTGACAGTGAATAGTGTGAATTTTCACCTTAGGGGGCGCTATGGAGCCATTTTGCATTTTATTGTTTTGGGCGACTTCAGAATATCAAATTTTTCACCAGGCCCGGTCGTCCTGCCAAATTTCATGAGTTTTCGCCAGTGGGAAGTGGGCCATTTTCCAGTTCAAAGGGGAGGAAAAAGAAAAAAGAAAGAAAGAAACAAAGAAAAACCACTTGGGGAATAATAGGGCCTACGCCCGGCTGCTCTGCAGCTGGCTCGGGCCCTAACTAGGGCCCCGGTGGGGCACTGTCGGGCCCTAGCCGCGTCGCGCCGCCCCCAGCGCGACCGCCTCCCCCTCCCGATCGCGTCACACTCAAGGTCCAAAGATTGTGTGCGCACTTGTCTGTGGTCATTTCCCATTATAATGAATGGGAGGCGCAGTTTCTACCAAAACGCTCGCTGCAGACAAACTACATGTCCTATTTGAAAAAAGTCTGGACCATGAGTGAGGGCACAAACACAGCTAGTATATATCCAAATGGCAAGTTGCTCCTCCTTTCGGTTTTGCAGAGAGAGCGATGCGTTTGAGCCATTGAGCGATGGGCAGGAAAAACTTGACTTTTTCTCCTGCCATGGGGGGGCGCTCTTTTGGGGAGAAAAAATTCCTTCACAAATGTGTTGATGGCTGGACATTGCATCATCCTAGAAAACTTGGAGGCCAGTGAGGACAAAAATAAAAAGTTATAAGACTTTTAAAAATGTGGATATTTGGGTCCTCTTTGGCGCCCCCTAGAACGTAAACTGTGGGGTGCAGCGTCATGAGTTGTACAACTTTGAATGGCCATGGGGTGTAGATTGACCTGAGCAAATTTGAAGCCGATGGGACAAAAGATTTAGGAGGAGTTAGCGAAATTCCAATGTGTGCGGATCGGCAAAAAATGCGAAATAACCCTTTAACCGTACATTTGACAGATACGCCCGCACTGACTTTTTTGTAGATCTTATTGAGATACATGTGTGTGTCAAATTTTGTGTCATTTTGACAAAGCGTAAAGGCGTGACAGTCAACAATGTGTATTTTCGCCTTAGGAGACAAGAAAAAATGGACTTTTTTCTCCTGCCATGGGGGGGCGCTCTTTTGGCGAGTAAAAATTCCTTCACAAATGTGTTGATGGCTGGACATTGCATCATCCTAGAGAACTTGGAGGCCAGTGAGGACAAAAATAAAAAGTTATAAGACTTTTAAGACTGTGGATTTTTGGGTTATCTTTGGCGCCCCCTAGAACGTAAACCGTGGGGTGCAGCGTCATGATTTGTACAACTTTTAATGGCCATGGGGTGTAGATTGGCCTCAGCAAATGTGGTGCCTTTGGAACGAAAGCCTTCGGAGGAGTTAGCGAAATTCCAATGTGTGCGGATCGGCAAAAAATGCGAAATAGCCCTTTCACCGTACATTTGACAGATACGCCCGCACTGACTTTTTTGTAGATCTTATTGAGATACATGTGTGTGTCAATTTTTGTGTCAATATGACAAAGCGTAAAGGCGTGACAGTCAATAGTGTGAATTTTCGCCTTAGGAGACAAGAAAAAATGGACTTTTTTCTCCTGCCATGGGGGGGCGCTCTTTTGGGGAGTAAAAATTCCTTCACAAATGTGTTGATGGCTGGACATTGCATCATCCTAGAAAACTTGGAGGCCAGTGAGGACAAAAATAAAAAGTTATACGACTTTTAAGAATGTGGATTTCTGGGTTATCTTTGGCGCCCCCTAGAACGTAAACCGTGGGATGCAGCGTCATGATTTGTACAACTTTTAATGGCCATGGGGTGTAGATTGGCCTGAGCAAATTTGGTGCCGGTGGAACGAAAGCCTTCGGAGGAGTTAGCGAAATTCCAATGTGTGCGGATCGGCAAAAAATGCGAAATAGCCCTTTAACCGTACATTTGACAGATACGCCCGCACTGACTTTTTTGTAGATCTTATTGAGATACACGTGTGTGTCAAATTTTGTGTCATTTTGACAAAGCGTACAGGCGTGACACTCAATCATGTGAATTTTTCACCTTAGGGGGCGCTATGGAGCCATTTTGCATTTGATTTTTTGGGCGACTTCAGAATATCGAATTTTTCACCAGGCCCGGTCGTCCTGCCAAATTTCATGACTTTTCACCAGTGGGAAGTGGGCCATTTTCCAGTTCAAAGGGGCAGAAAAATAATAAGAAGAAGACTAGGGCCCCGTTGGGGCACTGGCGGGCCCGAGCTGTGTCGCGCCCCCCCCCCCCACCAATGCGCTGCCTCCCCGTCCCATTCGCGTCCTCTGGCCATCGTCCTCTCTGGTAACGCCCATCACTGCAAAGACCCTTTTCCTTCATCGGCGTTTGCTGTTCTTCCTGCCAGTGCGTGTTGCTTTCACTTACACTTGCCACAGCCAGCCTCGTGAGTGCCTAGCCTATTGGATATCACTGTCACCTACACAGGACAGTCATTACCTTTCTATTAATACTTTGTTTTTTAATTTCACATTAATTTCCATATTGTATAAACGACTGGAAAAAACTTGAGCCCCTGCCCCTGTATAATCATGTGCACGTCCCTGTTCTCGCTCCAAGGTGAATCTTCACTGCTCATGTTCTCCTCAGAAGCACTCACCTCACTCCCCTCAGGTAACTGTACACATGCACCAACTGCCTGCTTCAGGTTTGGATGGAGCTTCATGGTTGTCTTTTGGAGAAATGACCAGTCAAGTTGTGTTTGAAATTTGATTTTTTTCAGGGGCAAAAGGAGCCTCTGCATTGTTGTCAAATATGTAAATAGCATGTTTTTGCAGGTGCTAAAAAACAGACTCTGAGTGTGTGTGTGTGTGTGTGTGTGTGTGTGCGTGTGTGTGTGTGTCTGTGTTTGTGTGTGTCTGTGTGTGTGTATCCTGCAGTACTCTGTACTCCTGCAGTGGCCAAAACGACTTTTAAGAATGTGGATATTTGGGTCATCTTTGGCGCCCCCTAGAACGTAAACCGTGGGGTGCAGCGTCATGATTTTTACAACTTTGAATGGCCATGGGGTGTAGATTGGCCTGAGCAAATTTGGTGTCAGTGGGAAGAAAGCCTTAGGAGGAGTTAGCCACATTCCAATGTGTGCGAATCGGCAAAAAATGCGAAATAGCCCTTTAACCGTACATTTGACAGATACGTGCCCATTGACTTTTTCGTAGATCTTATTGAGATACACGTGATTGTCAAATTTTGTGTCAATATGACAAAGCGTATAGGCGTGACACTCAACAATGTGTATTTTCACCTTAGGGGACAAGAAAAAATTGACTTTTTTCTCCTGCCATGGGGGGGCGCTCTTTTGGGGAGTAAAACTTCCTTCACAAATGTGTTGATGGCTGGACATTGCATCATCCTAGAGAACTTGGAGGCCAGTGAGGACAAAAATAAAAAGTTATAAGACTTTTAAGACTGTGGATTTTTGGGTTATCTTTGGCGCCCCCTAGAACGTAAACTGTGGGGTGCAGCGTCATGATTTGTACAACTTTTAATGGCCATGGGGTGTAGATTGGCCTGAGCAAATGTGGTGCCGGTGGAACGAATGCCTTCGGAGGAGTTAGCGAAATTCCAATGTGTGCAGATCGGCAAAAAATGCGAAATAACCCTTTAACTGTACATTTCACAGATGCGCCCGCGCTGACTTTTTCGTAGAACGTATTGAGATACACGTGTGTGTCAATTTTTGTGTCAATATGACAAAGCGTACAGGCGTGACAGTCAATAGTGTGAATTTTCGCCTTAGGGGGCGCTATGGAGCCATTTTGCATTTTATTGTTTGGGCGACTTCAGAATATCGAATTTTTCACCAGGCCCGGTCGTCCTGCCAAATTTCATGAGTTTTCGCCAGTGGGAAGTCGGCCATTTTCCAGTTTAAAGCGGAGGAAAAATAATAATAATAACAAAAGAAGAATCCATCAGGAACAAGAGGGCTCTCGCAGCTGCTTAGCAGCTACGCTCGGGCCCTAAAGAAGAAAGAAGAATCCATCAGGAATAATAGGGCTCTCGCAGCTGCTTAGCAGCTACGCTCGGGCCCTAACTAGGGCCCCGGTGGGGCACTGTCGGGCCCGAGCCGCGTCGTGCCGCCCCCAGCGTGACCGCCTACCCCTCCCGATCGCGTCACACTCAAGGTCCAAAGATGGTGTGCGCACTTGTCTGTGGTCATTTCCCATTATAATGAATGGGAGGCGCAGTTTCTACCAAAACACTCGCTGCAGACAAACTTCATGTCCTATTTGAAAAAAGTCTGGACCATGAGTGAGGGCACAAACACAGCTGGGATATATCCAAATGGCAGGTTGCTCCTCCTTACGGTGTTGCCTGGAGAGCGATGCGATTGAGCCATTGAGCGATGGGCAGGAAAAACTTGACTTTTTCTCCTGCCATGGGGGGGGGGGGAGAATGTGGATTCTTTTAAGAATGTGGATTTTTTGGTCATCTTTGGCGCCCCCTAGAACGTAAACCGTGGGGTGCAGCGTCATGATTTTTACAACTTTGAATGGCCATGGGGTGTAGATTGGCCTGAGCAAATTTGGTGTCAGTGGGACGAAAGCCTTAGGAGGAGTTAGCCACATTCCAATGTGTGCGAATCGGCAAAAAATGCAAAATAGCCCTCTAACCGTACATTTGACAGATACGCACCCATTGACTTTTTCGTAGATCTTATTGAGATACACGTGATTGTCAAATTTTGTGTCAATATGACAAAGCGTACAGGTGTCACACTCAACAATGTGAATTTTCACCTTACGGGACAAGAAAAAATGGACTTTTTTCTCCTGCCATGGGGGGGCGCTCTTTTGGGGAGTAAAAATTCCTTCACAAATGTGTTGATGGCTGGACATTGCATTATCCTAGAAAACTTGGAGGCCAGTGAGGACAAAAATAAAAAGTTATAAGACTTTGAAATATGTGGATTTTAGGGTTATCTTTGGCGCCCCCTAGAACCTAAACCGTGGGGTGCAGCGTCATGATTTGAATAACTTTTAATGGCCATGGGGTGTAGATTGGCCTGAGCAAATGTGGTGCCGGTGGAACGCCAGCCTTAGGAGGAGTTAGCGAAATTCCAATGTGTGCGGATCAGCAAAAAATGCGGAATAACCCTTTAACCGTACATTTGACAGATACGCGCGCATTGACTTTTTCGTAGATCTTATTGAGATACACGTGATTGTCAAATTTTGTGTCAATATGACAAAGCGTACAGGCGTGACACTCAACAATGTGTATTTTCACCTTAGGGGACAAGAAAAAATGGACTTTTTTCTCCGGCCATGGGGGGGCGCTCTTTTGGGGAGTAAAAATTCCTTCACAAATGTGTTGATGGCTGGACATTGCATCATCCTAGAAAACTTGGAGGCCAGTGAGGGCAAAAATAAAAAGTTATAAGACTTTGAAATATGTGGATTTTAGGGTTATCTTTGGCGCCCCCTAGAACCTAAACCGTGGGGTGCAGCGTCATGATTTGAATAACTTTTAATGGGCATGGGGTGTAGATTGGCCTGAGCAAATGTGGTGCCGGTGGAACGAAAGCCTTCGGAGGAGTTAGCGAAATTCCAATGTGTGCGGATCGGCAAAAAATGCGGAATAACCCTTTAACCGTACATTTGACAGATACGCCCGCACTGACTTTTTTGTAGATCTTATTGAGATACATGTGTGTGTCAATTTTTGTGTCATTTTGACAAAGCGTAAAGGCGTGACAGTCAATAGTGTGAATTTTCACCTTAGGGGGCGCTATGGAGCCATTTTGCATTTTCTTGTTTGGGCGACTTCGGAATATCAAATTTTTCACCAGGCCCGGTCATCCTGCCAAATTTCATGAGTTTTCGCCAGTGGGAAGTGGGCCATTTTCCAGTTCAAAGGGGAGGAAAAAGAAGAAAGAAAGAAACAAAGAAAAACCTCTTGGGGAATAATAGGGCTCTCGCAGCTGCTTAGCAGCTACGCTCGGGCCCTAATAACTAGGGCCCCGTTGGGGCACTGGCGGGCCCGAGCCGCGTTGCGCCGCCCCCAGTGCGACCGCCTCCCTCTCCCGATCGCGTCACACTCAAGGTCCAAAGATGGTGTGCGCACTTGTCTGTGGTCATTTCCCATTATAATGAATGGGAGGCGCAGTTTCTACCAAAACACTCGCTGCAGACAAACTACATGTCCTATTTGAAAAAAGTCTGGACCATGAGTGAGGGCACAAACACAGCTAGGATATATCCAAACGGCAAGTTGCTCCTCGTTACGGTGTTGCCGGGAGAGCGATGCGATTGAGCCATTGAGTGATGGGCAGGAAAAACTTGACTGTTTCTCCTGCCATGGGGGATGGGGGATGGGGGATGGGGGGGGGGGGGGGGGATGTGGATTCTTTTAAGAATGTGGATATTTGGGTCATCTTTGGCGCCCCCTAGAACGTAAACCGTGGGGTGCAGCGTCATGATTTTTAAAACTTTGAATGGCCATGGGGTGTAGATTGGCCTGAGCAAATTTGGTGTCAGTGGGACGAAAGCCTTAGGAGGAGTTAGCCACATTCCAATGTGTGCTAATCAGCAAAAAATGCAAAATAGCCCTTTAACCGTACATTTTACAGATACGCGCGCATTGACTTTTTCGTAGATCTTATTGAGATACATGTGTGTGTCAAATTTTGTGTCAATATGACAAAGCATACAGGTATGACAGTCAACAATGTGTATTTTCACCTTATGGGACAAGAAAAAATGGACTTTTTTCTCCTGCCATGGGGGGGCGCTCTTTTGGGGAGTAAAAATTCCTTCACTAATGTGTTGATGGCTGGACATTGCATCATCCTAGAAAACTTGGAGGCCAGGGAGGACAAAAATAAAAAGTTATAAGACTTTTAAATATGTGGATTTTAGGGTTATCTTTGGCGCCCCCTAGAACCTAAACCGTGGGGTGCAGCGTCATGATTTGAATAACTTTTAATGGCCATGGGGTGTAGATTGGCCTGAGCAAATGTGGTGCCGGTGGAACGAAAGCCTTCGGAGGAGTTAGCGAAATTCCAATGTGTGCGGATCGGCAAAAAATGCGCAATAACCCTTTAACCGTACATTTGACAGATACGCCCGCACTGACTTTTTTGTAGATCTTATTGAGATACATGTGTGTGTCAATTTTTGTGTCATTTTGACAAAGCGTACAGGCGTCAGGTGAATTTTTCACCTTAGGGGGCGCTATGGAGCCATTTTGCATTGTATTGTTTGGGCGACTTGTGCGCACTTGTCTGTGGTCATTTCCCATTATAATGAATGGGAGGCGCAGTTCCTGTCAGCACAATCTGCAGTTACACTAACAAAAATGCTGCAAAAAACAAAGAATTATGGAAAAATTACACATGGACTGACATAGAGGAGGAGCTACACAAGTTTTTTACATCATGTTTTACATCATGCATCATTTACATCGTTTTTTTGTAGTGGCATAAATAAAAAGTGACATTTGTGAGACTATACAGTGTTTTGTAAATAAATTTACAAAGAACGCCTGGGCCATTGCCTGCATTTTGATGAAAATAGAGGTAAATCACTATGTTCTTTGTTAAAAATTTGCATATGTTTTGAAGTTTACAATTTTTATTTGAAGTTTAAGTTTTAAAAACAGTTCATCACACATATTTGTGGTTTTCACAGTAAAAATGTTACTTTTTTCCACTCTGATTTTATGTTTTGTGTGTGAATTTGGGTCCATTGTGTAAATTCAGTATGTCAACATGATAAAATAACTGTAAATTCGCACAGGTGAGGTTGTGCTGAAAAAAATGATACCAGGCAAGGCACGTGATTGTCAAATTTTGTGTCAATATGACAAAGCTATGACCTTCACAGATGTGTTGATGGCTGCACATTGCATCATCCTAGAAAACTTGGAGGCCAGTGAGGACAAAAATAAAAAGTTAAAAGACTTTTAAAAATGTGGATATTTGGGTCATCTTTTAACTTTTTCTGTAGCATCAGTAGCATCAGATTTAATAGAAAGCTTCCTTTGGCGCCCCTCAGTGGCCATAAGTACTTTGTCTGCTGTTAATAGTCAATTCCATTTGGCGCCACTCAGTGGCCAAAACAACTTTTAGGAATGGGGATTTTTGGGTCATCTTTGGCGCCCCCTAGAACGTAAACCGTGGGGTTCAGCGTCATGATTTTTACAACTTTGAATGGCCATGGGGTGTAGATTGGCCTGAGCATATTTGGTGTCAGTGGGACGAAAGCCTTAGGAGGAGTTAGCCACATTCCAATGTGTGCGAATCGGCAAAAAATGCAAAATAGCCCTTTAACCGTACATTTTACAGATACGTGCCCATTGACTTTTTCGTAGATCTTATTGAGATACATGAGTGTGTCAAATTTTGTGTCATTTTGACAAAGCGTATAGGTGTGACACTCAACAATGTGTATTTTCACCTTAGGGGACAAGAAAAAATGGACTTTTTTCTCCTGCCATGGGGGGGCGCTCTTTTGGGGAGTAAAAATTCCTTCACAAATGTGTTGATGGCTGGACATTGCATCATCCTAGAAAACTTGGAGGCCAGTGAGGACAAAAAGAAAAAGTTATAAGACTTTTAAGAACGTGGATTTTTGGGTTATCTTTGGCGCCCCCTAGAACCTAAACCGTGGGGTGCAGCGTCATGATTTGTACAACTTTTAATGGCCATGGGGTGTAGATTGACCTGAGCAAATTTGGTGCCGGTGGAACGAAAGCCTTCAGAGGAGTTAGCGAAATTCCAATGTGTGCGGATGGGCAAAAAATGCGAAATAAATGTTTAACCGTACATTTGACAGATACGCCCGCGCAGACTTTTTCGTAGATCTTATTCAGATACACGTGTGTGTCAAATTTTGTGTCATTTTGACAAAGCGTACAGGCATCAGGTGAATTTTTCACCTTAGGGGGCGCTATGGAGCCATTTTGCATTTTATTGTTTGGGCGACTTCAGAATATCGAATTTTTCACCAGGCCCGGTCGTCCTGCCAAATTTCATGAGTTTTCGCCAGTGGGAAGTGGGCCATTTTCCAGTTTAAAGCGGAGGAAAAATAATAACGAAACTAGGGCCCCGTTGGGGCACTGGCGGGCCCGAGCTGTGTCGCGCCGCCCCCAACACGACCGCCTCTCCCTCCCGATCGCGTCACACTCAAGGTCCAAAGATGGTGTGCGCACTTGTCTGTGGTCATTTACATTATAATGAATTGGAGGCGCAGTTTCTACCAAAACGCTCGCTGCAGACAAACTACATGTCCTATTTGAAAAAAGTCTGGACCATGAGTGAGGGCACAAACACAGCTAGGATATATCCAAATGGCAAGTTGCTCCTCCTTTCGGTTTTGCTGAGAGAGCGATGTGTTTGAGCCATTGAGCGATGGGCAGGAAAAACTTGACTTTTTCTCCTGCCATGGGGGGGCACTCTTTTAGAGAGAAAAAATTCCTTCACAAATGTGTTGATGGCTGGACATTGCATCATCCTAGAAAACTTGGAAGCCAGTGAGGACAAAAATGAAAAGTTATAAGACTTTAAAGAATGTGGATTTTTGGGTTATCTTTGGCGCCCCCAAGAATGTAAACCGTGGGGTGCAGCGTCATGATTTGTACAAATTTTAATGGCCATGGGGTGTAGATTGGCCTGAGCAAATTTGGTGTCAGTGGGACGAAAGCCTTAGGAGGAGTAAGCCACATTCCAATGTGTGCGAATCGACCAAAAATGCGTAATAGCCCTTTAACCGTACATTTTACAGATACGTGCGCATTGACTTTTTCGTAGATCTTATTGAGATACACGTGATTGTCAAATTTTGTGTCAATATGACAAAGCGTACAGGCGTGACACTCAACAATGTGTATTTTCACCTAATGGGACAAGAAAAAATGGACTTTTTTCTCCTGCCATGGGGGGGCGCTCTTTTGGGGAGTAAAAATTCCTTCACAAATGTGTTGATGGCTGGACATTGCATCATCCTAGAGAACTTGGAGGCCAGTGAGGACAAAAATAAAAAGTTATAAGACTTTTAAGAATGTGGATTTTTGGGTTATATTTGGCGCCCCCTAGAACGTAAACCGTGGGGTGCAGCGTCATGATTTGTACAACTTTTAATGGCCATGGGGTGTAGATTGGCCTGAGCAAATGTGGTGCCGGTGGAACGAAAGCCTTCGGAGGAGTTAGCGAAATTCCAATGTGTGCGGATCGGCAAAAAATGCGAAATAGCCCTTTAACCGTACATTTGACAGATACGCCCGCGCTGACTTTTTTGTAGATCTTATTGAGATACACGTGTGTGTCAAATTTTGTGTCATTTTGACAAAGCGTACAGGCATGACACTCAATCATGTGAATTTTTCACCTTAGGGGGCGCTATGGAGCCATTTTGCTTTTGATTGTTTGGGCGACTTCAGAATATCGAATTTTTCACCAGGCCCGGTCGTCCTGCCAAATTTCCTGAGTTTTCGCCAGTGGGAAGTGGGCCATTTTCCTGTTCAAAGGGGCAGAAAAATAATAATAACTAGGGCCCCGGTGGGGCACTGTCGGGCCCGAGCCGCGTTGCGCCGCCCCCAGCGCGACCGCCTCCCCCTCCCGATCGCGTCACACTCAAGGTCCAAAGATGGTGTGCGCACTTGTCTGTGGTCATTTCCCATTATAATGAATGGGAGGCGCAGTTTCTACCAAAACACTCGCTGCAGACAAACTACATGTCCTATTTGAAAAAAGTCTGGACCATGAGTGAGGGCACAAACACAGCTAGGATATATCCAAACGGCAAGTTGCTCCTCGTTACGGTGTTGCCGGGAGAGTGATGCGATTGAGCCATTGAGTGATGGGCAGGAAAAACTTGACTGTTTCTCCTGCCATGGGGGTTGGGGGATGGGGGGGGGGGGGGGGGGGATGTGGATTCTTTTAAGAATGTGGATATTTGGGTCATCTTTGGCGCCCCCTAGAACGTAAACCGTGGGGTGCAGCGTCATGATTTTTACAACTTTGAATGGCCATGGGGTGTAGATTGGCCTGAGCAAATGTGGTGCCGGTGGAACGAAAGCCTTAGGAGGAGTTAGCCACATTCCAATGTGTGCGAATCGGCAAAAAATGCAAAATAGCCCTTTAACCGTACATTTTACAGATACGCGCGCATTGACTTTTTCGTAGATCTTATTGAGATACATGTGATTGTCAAATTTTGTGTCAATATGACAAAGCGTACAGGTATGACAGTCAACAATGTGTTTTTTCACCTTATGGGACAAGAAAAAATTGACTTTTTTCTCCTGCCATGGGGGGGCGCTCTTTTGGGGAGTAAAAATTCCTTCACAAATGTGTTGATGGCTGGACATTGCATCATCCTAGAAAACTTGGAGGCCAGTGAGGACAAAAATAAAAAGTTATAAGACTTTGAAATATGTGGATTTTAGGGTTATCTTTGGCGCCCCCTAGAACCTAAACCGTGGGGTGCAGCGTCATGATTTGAATAACTTTTAATGGCCATGGGGTGTAGATTGGCCTGAGCAAATGTGGTGCCGGTGGAACGAAAGCCTTAGGAGGAGTTAGCCACATTCCAATGTGTGCGGATCGGCAAAAAATGCGGAATAACCCTTTAACCGTACATTTGACAGATACGCGCGCATTGACTTTTTCGTAGATCTTATTGAGTTACATGTGTGTGTCAATTTTTGTGTCATTTTGACAAAGCGTATAGGCGTGACACTCAACAGTGTGTATTTTCACCTTAGGGGACAAGAAAAAATGGACTTTTTTCTCCTGCCATGGGGGGCGCTCTTTTGGGGAGTAAAAATTCCTTCACAAATGTGTTGATGGCTGGACATTGCATCATCCTAGAAAACTTGGAGGCCAGTGAGGACAAAAATAAAAAGTTATAAGACTTTTAAATATGTGGATTTTAGTGTTATCTTTGGCGCCCCCTAGAACCTAAACCTTGGGGTGCAGCGTCATGATTTTGATAACTTTTAATGGCCACGGGGTGTAGATTGGCCTGAGCAAATGTGGTGCCGGTGGAACGAAAGCCTTCGGAGGAGTTAGCGAAATTCCAATGTGTGCGGATCGGCAAAAAATGCGAAATAACCCTTTAACCGTAATTTTGACAGATACGGCCGCACTGACTTTTTTGTAGATCTTATTGAGATACATATGTGTGTCAATTTTTGTGTCAATATGACAAAGCGTACAGGCGTGACAGTCAATAGTGTGAATTTCCACCTTAGGGGGCGCTATGGAGCCATTTTGCATTTTATTGTTTGGGCGACTTCAGAATATCGAATTTTTCACCAGGCCCGGTCGTCCTGCCAAATTTCATGAGTTTTCGCCAGTGGGAAGTGGGCCATTTTCCAGTTCAAAGGGGAGGAAAAAGAAGAAAGAAAGAACTAGGACCCCGTTGGGGCACTGGCGGGCCCGAGCTGTGTCGCGTCCCCCCCCCCCCCCAACGTGCTGCCTCCCCGTCCCATTTGTGTCCTCTGGCCATCGCCCTCTCTGGTAACGCCCATCACTGCAAAGACCCTTTTCCTTCATCGGCGTTTGCTGTTCTTCCTGCCAGTGCGTGTTGCTTTCACTTACACTTGCCACAGCCAGCCTCGTGAGTGCCTAGCCTATTCGATATCACTGTCACCTACACAGGACAGTCATTACCTTTCTATTACTACTTTGTGTTTTAATTTCACATTAATTTCCATATTGTATAAACGACTGGAAAAAACTTGAGCCCCTGCCCCTGTATAATCATGTGCATGTCTCTGTTCTAGCACCAAGGTGAATCTTCACTGCTCATGTTCTCCTCAGAAGCACTCACCTCACTCCCCTCAGGTTATTGTACACATGCACCAACTGCCTGCTTCAGGTTTGGATGGAGCTTCATGGTTGTCTTTTGGAGAAATGACCAGTCAAGTTGTGTTTGAAATTTGATTTTTTTCAGGGGCAAAAGGAGCCTCTGCATTCTTGTCAAATATGTAAATAGCATGTTTTTGCAGGTGCTAAAAACCAGACTCTGTGTGTGTGTGTGTGTGTGTGTGTGTGTGTGTGTGTGTGTGTGTGTGTGTGTGTGTGTGTGTGTGTGTGTGCGTGTGTGTGTGTCTGTGTGTGCGTTCAAGTCACATGACATATTTAACCGGATGTAGCTGCAAGACGGAGCCTCGTTGACTCTCCGTTTCAACTTATCTCAAAAGTGAGGACCTCAACCTATATACCAGTTTTTAAATTGTGTTGATAGGCCAAATAAAACCAGAGTTATGATAAATTATGTCCGCGATACTTTTTTTCTGCTTATTTTGATCACGTTCGGCGCTCGATCGCGCTGTATGAGACAGGAAAACATAGCATGCAGACATTAGCGACAGGTCTTACAGGCGGAAAAGGCTTGCCAAAAGAAAAAAAAACACACCACAACATCTCTCCTATTGGTGGAAAACTTCACCACAACAACCAATCCAAAATTATATGGTGACTGAATGACAAGGGGCGGGCGCTTACGTTCTTCCTGCAACATGAGAAGGGAGGGAGGGACTCTCAGCAGGGATGCAGTCTGGGACACGTAGTTGCAAACCTAGCGACTTTGTTGTTAGATTCAATGACTTTTCAGACCCCCTAACGACTTTTTTTTAGAAAGAAAGGGACTTTTATCGACTTCTTCTGGAGTTTGGAGACTCTGACATGAAGCAGGCTTTCCTTACTGAGGAGTTAGCAACGCTGCTAAGGGTGCAGAGCCACACATGCGCTCAGAGCTCTGCATGGGAGACTGAAGCTGACAGAGCTGCAGCAGTTAGCAGGTTTCACCCTCAGAGACCACCAGGGGTTCATGTTGAGGAATTTTAATTTTTTTCTTTTTTGTGCCATAGACACTGTCAGCACAATCTGCAGTTACACTAACAAAAATGCTGCAAAAAACAAAGAATTATGGAAAAATTACACATGGACTGACATAGAGGAGGATCTACACAAGTTTTTTACATCATGTTTTACATCATGCATCATTTACATCATGTTTTTTTGTAGTGGCATAAATAAAAAGTGACATTTGTGAGACTATACAGTGTTTTGTAAATAATTTTACAAAGAACGCCTGGGCCATAGCCTGCATTTTGATGTAAATAGAGGTAAATCACTATGTTCTTTGTTAAAAATTTGCATATGTTTTGAAGTTTACAATTTTTATTTGAAGTTTAAGTTTTAAAAACAGTTCATCACACCTATTTGTGGTTTTCACAGTAAAAATGTTACTTTTTTCCACTCGGATTTTATGTTTTTTGTGTGAATTTGGGTCCATTGTGTAAATTCAGTATGTCAACATGATAAAATAACTGTAAATTCGCACAGGTGAGGTTGTGCTGAAAAAAATGATACCAGGCAAGGCACGTGATTGTCAAATTTTGTGTCAATATGACAAAGCGTATAGGCGTGAATCTCAACAATATGTATTTTCACCTTAGGGGACAAGAAAAAATGGACTTTTTTCTCCTGCCATGGGGGGGCGCTCTTTTGGGGAGTAAAAATTCCTTCACAAATGTGTTGATGGCTGGACATTGCATCATCCTAGAAAACTTGGAGGCCAGTGAGGACAAAAATAAAAAGTTATAAGACTTTTAAATATGTGGATTTTAGGGTTGTCTTTGGCGCCCCCTAGAACCTAAACCGTGGGGTGCAGCGTCATGATTTTGATAACTTTTAATGGCCATGGGGTGTAGATTGGCCTGAGCAAATGTGGTGCCGGTGGACAGAAAGCCTTCGGAGGAGTTAGCGAAATTCCAATGTGTGCGGATCGGCAAAAAATGCGGAATAACCCTTTAACCGTACATTTGACAGATATGCGCGCATTGACTTTTTCGTAGATCTTATTGAGTTACATGTGTGTGTCAATTTTTGTGTCATTTTGACAAAGCGTATAGGCGTGACACTCAACAATGTGTATTTTCACCTTAGGGGACAAGAAAAAATGGACTTTTTTCTCCTGCCATGGGGGGGCGCTCTTTTGGGGAGTAAAAATTCCTTCACAAATGTGTTGATGGCTGGACATTGCATCATCCTAGAAAACTTGGAGGCCAGTGAGGACAAAAATAAAAAGTTATAAGACTTTTAAATATGTGGATTTTAGTGTTATCTTTGGCGCCCCCTAGAACCTAAACCTTGGGGTGCAGCGTCATGATTTTGATAACTTTTAATGGCCACGGGGTGTAGATTGGCCTGAGCAAATGTGGTGCCGCTGGAACGAAAGCCTTCGGAGGAGTTAGCGAAATTCCAATGTGTGCAGATCGGCAAAAAATGCGAAATAACCCTTTAACCGTAATTTTGACAGATACGGCCGCACTGACTTTTTTGTAGATCTTATTGAGATACATGTGTGTGTCAATTTTTGTGTCATTTTGACAAAGCGTACAGTCGTGACAGTGAATAGTGTGAATTTTCACCTTAGGGGGCGCTATGGAGCCATTTTGCATTTTATTGTTTTGGCGACTTCAGAATATCAAATTTTTCACCAGGCCCGGTCGTCCTGCCAAATTTCATGAGTTTTCGCCAGTGGGAAGTGGGCCATTTTCCAGTTCAAAGGGGAGGAAAAAGAAAAAAGAAAGAAAGAAACAAAGAAAAACCTCTTGGGGAATAATAGGGCCTACGCCCGGCTGCTCTGCAGCTGGCTCGGGCCCTAAAGAAAGAAACAAAGAAAAACCACTTGGGGAATAATAGGGCTCTCGCAGCTGCTTAGCAGCTACGCTCGGGCCCTAATAAGAAGACTAGGGCCCCGTTGGGGCACTGGCGGGCCCGAGCTGTGTCGCCCCCCCCCCCCCCCCCCCCCCCCGCAACGCGCTGCCTCCCCGTCCCATTCGCGTCCTCTGGCCATCGTCCTCTCTGGTAACGCCCATCACTGCAAAGACCCTTTTCCTTCATCGGCGTTTGCTGTTCTTCCTGCCAGTGCGTGTTGCTTTCACTTACACTTGCCACAGCCAGCCTCGTGAGTGCCTAGCCTATTGGATATCACTGTCACCTACACAGGACAGTCATTACCTTTCTATTAATACTTTGTTTTTTAATTTCACATTAATTTCCATATTGTATAAACGACTGGAAAAACTTGAGCCCCTGCCCCTGTATAATCATGTGCACGTCCCTGTTCTCGCTCCAAGGTGAATCTTCACTGCTCATGTTCTCCTCAGAAGCAGTCACCTCACTCCCCTCAGGTTACTGTACACATGCACCAACTGCCTGCTTCAGGTTTGGATGGAGCTTCATGGTTGTCTTTTGGAGAAATGACCAGTCAAGTTGTGTTAGAAATTTGATTTTTTTCAGGGGCAAAAGGAAGCCTCTGCATTGTTGTCAAATATGTAAATAGCATGTTTTTGCAGGTGCTAAAAAACAGACTCTGAGTGTGTGTGTGTGTGTGTGTGTGTGTGTGTGTGTGTGTGTGTGTGTGTGTGTGTGTGTGTGTGTCTGTGTGTGTGTGTGTCTGTGTGTGTGTATCCTGCAGTACTCTGTACTCCTGCAGTGGCCAAAACGACTTTTAAGAATGTGGATATTTGGGTCATCTTTGGCGCCCCCTAGAACGTAAACCATGGGGTGCAGCGGCATGATTTTTACAACTTTGAATGGCCATGGGGTGTAGATTGGCCTGAGCAAATTTGATGTCAGTGGGACGAAAGCCTTAGGAGGAGTTAGCCACATTCCAATGTGTGCGAATCGGCAAAAAATGCAAAATAGCCCTTTAGCCGTACATTTTACAGATACGCGCCCATTGACTTTTTCGTAGATCTTATTCAGATACACGTGTGTGTCAAATTTTTTGTCAATACTACAAAGGGTACAGGCGTGACACTCAACAATGTGTATTTTCACCTTAGGGGACAAGAAAAAATGGACTTTTTTGTCCTGCCATGGGGGGGCGCTCTTTTGGGGAGTAAAAATTCCTTCACAAATGTGTTGATGGCTGGACATTGCATCATCCTAGAAAACTTGGAGGCCAGTGAGGACAAAAAAAAAAAATTATAAAACTTTTAAGAATGTGGATTTTTGCATTATTTTTGGCGCCCCCTAGAACCTAAACCGTGGGGTGCAGCATCATGATTTGTACAACTTTTAATGGCCATGGGGTGTAGATTGACCTGAGCAAATGTGGTGCCGGTGGAACGAAAGCCTTCGGAGGAGTTAGCGAAATTCCAATGTGTGCGGATCTGCAAAAAATGCAAAATAACCCTTTAACCGTACATTTGACAGATACGCCCGCACTGACTTTTTTGTAGATCTTATTGAGATACATGTGTGTGTCAATTTTTGTGTCAATATGACAAAGCGTACAGGCGTGACAGTCAATTGTGTGAATTTTCACCTTAGGGGGCGCTATGGAGCCATTTTGCATTTTATTGTTTGGACGACTTCAGAATATCGAATTTTTCACCAGGCCCGGTCGTCCTGCCAAATTTCCTGAGTTTTCGCCAGTGGGAAGTGGGCCATTTTCCAGTTTAAAGCGGAGGAAAAATAATAACTAGGGCCCCGGTGGGGCACTGTCGGGCCCGAGCCACGTCGCGCCGCCCCCAGCGCGACCGCCTCCCCCTCCCAATCGCGTCACACTCAAGGTCCAAAGATGGTGTGCGCACTTGTCTGTGGTCATTTCCCATTATAATGAATGGGAGGCGCAGTTTCTACCAAAACGGTCGCTGCAGACAAACTACATGTCCTATTTGAAAAAAGTCTGGACCATGAGTGATGGCACAAACACAGCTAGGATATATCCAAATGGCAAGTTGCTCCTCCTTACGGTGTTGCTGGGAGAGCGATGCGATTGAGCCATTGACCGATGGGCAGGGTTAACTTGACTTTTTCTCCTGCCTTGGGGGTGGGGGGGGGGGGGGGCGATGTGGATTCTTTTAAAAATGTGGATATTTGGGTCCTCTTTGGCGCCCCCTAGAACGTAAACCGTGGGGTGCAGCGTCATGATTTTTACAACTTTGAATGGCCATGGAGTTTAGATTGGCCTGAGCAAATTTGGTGTCAGTGGGACGAAAGCCTTAGGAGGAGTTAGCCACATTCCAATGTGTGCGAAACGGCAAAAAATGCGAAATAGCCCTTTAACCGTACATTTTACTGATACGCGCGCATTGACTCTTTCGTAGATCTTATTGAGATACACGTGATTGTCAAATTTTGTGTCAATATGACGAAGCGTACAGGCGTGACATTCAACAATGTGTATTTTCGCCTTAGGGGACTAGAAAAAATTGACTTTTTTCTCCTGCCATGGGGGGGCGCTCTTTTGGCGAGTAAAAATTCCTTCACAAATGTGTTGATGGCTGGACATTGCATCATCCTAGAAAACTTGGAGGCCAGTGAGGACAAAAATAAAAAGTTATAAGACTTTTAAGAATGTGGATTTTTGGGTTATTTTTGGCGCCCCCTAGAACGTAAACCGTGGGGTGCAGCATCATGATTTGTACAACTTTTAATGGCCATGGGGTGTAGATTGGCCTGAGCAAATTTGGTGCCGGTGGAACGAAAGCCTTCGGAGGAGTTAGCGAAATTCCAATGTGTGCGGATCGGCAAAAAATGCGAAATAGCCCTTTAACCGTACATTTGACAGATACGCCCGCACTGACTTTTTTGTAGATCTTATTGAGATACACATGTGTGTCAAATTTTGTGTCATTTTGACAAAGGGTACAGGCGTCAGGTGAGTTTTCACCATAGGGGGCGCTATGGAGCCATTTTTCATTTTTTTGTTTGGGCGACTTCAGAATATCAAATTTTTCACCAGGCCCGGTCGTCCTGCCAAATTTCCTGAGTTTTCGCCAGTGGGAAGTGGGCCATTTTCCAGTTTAAAGCGGAGGAAAAATAACGAAAGAAGAATCCATCAGGAACAAGAGGGCTCTCGCAGCTGCTTAGCAGCTACGCTCGGGCCCTAATAATAACAAAAGAAGAATCCATCAGGAACAAGAGGGCTCTCGCAGCTGCTTAGCAGCTACGCTCGGGCCCTAAAGAAGAAAGAAGAATCCATCAGGAACAATAGGGCTCTCGCAGCTGCTTAGCAGCTACGCTCGGGCCCTAAGAAGAATCCATCAGGAACAAGAGGGCTCTCGCAACTGCTTAGCAGCTACGCTCGGGCCCTAAAGAAAGAAAGAAAGAAAGAACTAGGGCCCCGGTGGGGCACTGGCGGGCCCGAGCCGTGTCGCGCCGCCCCCAGCGCGACCGCCTACCCCTCCCGATCGCGTCACACTCAAGGTCCAAAGATGGTGTGCGCACTTGTCTGTGGTCATTGACCATTATAATGAATGAAAGGCGCAGTTTCTACCAAAACGCTCGCTGCAGACAAACTCCATGTCCTTTTTGGAAAAAGTCTGGACCATGAGTGAGGGCACAAACACAGCAAGTATATATCCAAATGGCAAGTTGCTCCTCCTTTCGGTTTTGCCGAGAGAGCGATCCGTTTGAGCCATTGAGCGATGGGCAGGAAAAACTTGACTTTTTCTCCTGCCATGGGAGGGCGCTCTTTTGGGGAGAAAAAATTCCTTCACAAATGTGTTGATGGCGTGACATTGCATCATCCTAGAAAACTTGGAGGCCAGTGAGGACAAAAATAAAAAGTTATAAGACTTTTAAATATGTGGATATTTGGGTCCTCTTTGGCGCCCCCTAGAACGTAGACCGTGGGGTGCAGCGGCATGATTTTTACAACTTTGAATGGCCATGGGGTGTAGATTGGCCTGAGCAAATTTGGTGTCAGTGGGACGAAAGCCTTAGGAGGAGTTAGCCACATTCCAATGTGTGCGAATCGGCAAAAAATGAAAAATAGCCGTTTAGCCGTACATTTTACAGATACGCGCGCATTCACTTTTTCGTAGATCTTATTGAGATACACGTGTGTGTCAAATTTTTTGTCAATATGACAAAGCGTACAGGCGTGACATTCAACAATGTGTATTTTCGCCTTAGGGGACAAGAAAAAATTGACTTTTTTGTCCTGCCATGGGGGGGCGCTCTTTTGGGGAGTAAAAATTCCTTCACAAATGTGTTGATGGCTGGACATTGCATCATCCTAGAAAACTTGGAGGCCAGTGAGGACAAAAATAAAAAGTTATAAAACTTTTAAGAATGTGGATTTTTGGGTTATTTTTGGCGCCCCCTAGAACGTAAACCGTGGGATGCAGCGTCATGATTTGTACAACTTTGAATTGCCATGGGGTGTAGATTGGCCTGAGCAAATTTGGTGTCAGTGGAACGAAAGCCTTAGGAGGAGTTAGCGAAATTCCAATGTGTGCGAATCTGGCAAAAAATGCGAAATAGCCCTTTAACTGTACATTTTACAGATACGCGCACATTGACTTTTTCGTAGATCTTATTGAGATACACATGATTGTCAAATTTTGTGTCAATATGACAAAGCGTACAGGCGTGACACTCAACAATGTGTATATTCGCCTTTGGGGACAAGAAAAAATGGACTTTTTTTTCTCCTGCCATGGGGGGGCGCTCTTTTGGCGAGTAAAAATTCCTTCACAAATGTGTTAATTGCTGGACATTGCATCATCCTAGAGAACTTGGAGGCCAGTGAGGACAAAAATAAAAAGTTATAAGACTTTTAAGACTGTGGATTTTTGGGTTATCTTTGGCGCCCCCTAGAACGTAAACCGTGGGGTGCAGCGTCATGATTTGAATAACTTTTAATGGCCATGGGGTGTAGATTGGCCTGAGCAAATGTGCTGCCGGTGGAACGAAAGCCTTCGGAGGAGTTAGCGAAATTCCAATGTGTGCGGATCGGCAAAAAATGCGAAATAACCCTTTAACCGTACATTTGACAGACACGCCCGCGCTGACTTTTTTGTAGATCTTATTGTGATACATGTGTGTGTCAATTTTTGTGTCAAAATGACAAAGCGTACAGGCGTGACAGTCAATAGTGTGAATTTTCACCTTAGGGGGTGCTATGGAGCCATTTTGCATTTTATTGTTTGGGCGACTTCAGAATATCGAATTTTTCACCAGGCCCGGTCGTCCTGTCAAATTTCATGAGTTTTCGCCAGTGGGAAGTGGGCCATTTTCCCCTTCAAAGGGGAGGAAAAATAAGAAGAACTAGGGCCCCGTTGGGGCACTGGCGGGCCCGAGCCGTGTCGCGCCGCCCCCAGCGCGACCGCCTACCCCTCCCGATCGCGTCACACTCAAGGTCCAAAGATGGTGTGCGCACTTGTCTGTGGTCATTTACCATTATAATGAATGGGAGGTGCAGTTTCTACCAAAACGCTCGCTGCAGACAAACTCCATGTCCTTTTTGAAAAGATTCTGGACCAGGAGTGAGGGCACAAACACAGCTAGTATATATCCAAATGGCAAGTTGCTCCTCCTTTCGGTTTTGCCGAGAGAGCGATGCGTTTGAGCCATTGAGCGATGGGCAGGAAAAACTTGACTTTTTCTCCTGCCATGGGGGGGGCGCTCTTATGGGGAGAAAAAATTCCTTCACAAATGTGTTGATGACTGAACATTGCATCATCCTAGAAAACTTGGAGGCCAGTGAGGACAAAAATAAAGTTATAAGACTTTTAAAAATGTGGATATTTGGGTCCTCTTTGGCGCCCCCTAGAACGTAAACCGTGGGGTGCAGCGTCATGATTTTTACAACTTTTAATGGCCATGGGGTGTAGATTGGCCTGAGCAAATTTGGTGTCAGTGGAACGAAAGCCTTAGGAGGAGTTAGCCACATTCCAATGTGTGCGAATGGGCAAAAAATGCGAAATAGCCCTTTAACCGTACATTTTACAGACACGCCCGCGCTGACTTTTTTGTAGATCTTATTGTGATACATGTGTGTGTCAATTTTTGTGTCAAAATGACAAAGCGTACAGGCGTGACAGTCAATAGTGTGAATTTTCACCTTAGGGGGTGCTATGGAGCCATTTTGCATTTTATTGTTTGGGCGACTTCAGAATATCGAATTTTTCACCAGGCCCGGTCGTCCTGTCAAATTTCATGAGTTTTCGCCAGTGGGAAGTGGGCCTTTTTTGGCGAGTAAAAATTCCTTCACAAATGTGTTAATTGCTGGACATTGCATCATCCTAGAGAACTTGGAGGCCAGTGAGGACAAAAATAAAAAGTTATAAGACTTTTAAGACTGTGGATTTTTGGGTTATCTTTGGCGCCCCCTAGAACCTAAACCATGGGGTGCAGCATCATGATTTGTACAACTTTGAATGGCCATGGTAGATTGGCCTAGATTGGCCTGAGCAAATGTGGTGCCGGTGGAACGAAAGCCTTCGGAGGAGTTAGCAAAATTCCAATGTGTGCGGATCTGCAAAAAATGCGAAATAACCCTTTAACCGTACATTTGACAGATACGCCCGCACTGACTTTTTTGTAGATCTTATTGAGATACATGTGTGTGTCAATTTTTGTGTCAATATGACAAAGCGTACAGGCGTGACAGTCAATAGTGTGAATTTTCACCTTAGGGGGCGCTATGGAGCCATTTTGCATTTTATTGTTTGGGCGACTTCAGAATATCGAATTTTTCACCAGGCCCGGTCGTCCTGCCAAATTTCCTGAGTTTTCGCCAGTGGGAAGTGGGCCATTTTCCAGTTTAAAGCGGAGGAAAAATAATAACTAGGACCCCGTTGGGGCACTGTCGGGCCCGAGCCGCGTCGCGCCGCCCCCAGCGCGACCGCCTCCCCCTCCCAATCGCGTCACACTCAAGGTCCAAAGATGGTGTGCGCACTTGTCTGTGGTCATTTCCCATTATAATGAATGGGAGGCGCAGTTTCTACCAAAACACTCGCTGCAGACAAACTTCATGTCCTATTTGAAAAAAGTCTGGACCATGAGTGAGGGCACAAACACAGCTATGATATATCGAAATGGCAGGTTGCTCCTCCTTACGGTGTTGCCTGGAGAGCGATGCGATTGAGCCATTGAGCGATGGGCAGGGTTAACTTGACTTTTTCTCCTGCCTTGGGTGGGGGGGGGATGTGGATTCCTTTAAGAATGTGGATTTTTGGGTCATCTTTGGCGCCCCCTAGAACGTAAACCGTTGGGTGCAGCGTCATGATTTTTACAACTTTGAATGGCCATGGGGTGTAGATTGGCCTGAGCAAATTTGGTGTCAGTGGGACGAAAGCCTTAGGAGGAGTTAGCCACATTCCAATGTGTGCGAATCGGCAAAAAATGCAAAATAGCCCTTTAACCGTACATTTGACAGATACGCGCGCATTGACTTTTTTGTAGATCTTATTGAGATACATATGTGTGTCAATTTTTGTGTCAATATGATAAAGCGTACAGGCGTGACAGTCAATAGTGTGAATTTCCACCTTAGGGGACAAGAAAAAATTTACTTTTTTCTCCTGCCATGGGGGGGCGCTCTTTTGGGGAGTAAAAATTCCTTCACAAATGTGTTGATGGCTGGACATTGCATCATCCTAGAAAACTTGGAGGCCAGTGAGGACAAAAATAAAAAGTTATAAGACTTTTAAATATGTGGATTTTACGGTTATCTTTGGCGCCCCCTAGAACCTAAACCGTGGGGTGCAGCGTCATGATTTGAATAACTTTTAATGGCCATGGGGTGTAGATTGGCCTGAGCAAATGTGGTGCCGGTGGAACGAAAGCCTTCGGAGGAGTTAGCGAAATTCCAATGTGTGCGGATCGGCAAAAAATGCGGAATAACCCTTTAACCGTACATTTGACAGATACGCGCGCATTGACTTTTTCGTAGATCTTATTGAGATACATGTGTGTGTCAATTTTTGTGTCATTTTGCCAAAGCGTACAGGTGTTACACTCAACAATGTGTATTTTCACCTTAGGGGACAAGAAAAAATGGACTTTTTTCTCCTGCCATGGGGGGGGGGGCGCTCTTTTGGGGAGTAAAAATTTCTTCACAAATGTGTTGATGGCTGGACATTGCATCATCCTAAAAAACTTGGAGGCCAGTATGGAAAAAAATAAAAAGTTATAAGACTTTTAAGAATGTGGATTTTTGGGTTATATTTGGTGCCCCCTAGAACCCAAACCGTGGGGTGCAGCAAGATGATTTGTACAACTTTGAATGGCCATGGGGTGTAGATTGGCCTGAGCAAATTTGGTGCCGGTGGAAAGATAGCCTTCGGAGGAGTTACCGAAATTCCAATGTGTGCGGATCGGCAAAAAATGCAAAATAGCCCTTTAACCGTACATTTGACAGATACATGCCCTTTGACTTTTTCGTAGATCTTATTGAGATACACGTGATTGTCAAATTTTTTGTCAATATGACAAAGCATACAGGCGTGACACTCGACAATGTGTATTTTCACCTTAGGAGACAAGAAAAAATGGACCTTTTTCTCCTGCCATTGGGGGGCGCTCTTTTGGGGAGTAAAAATTCCTTCACAAATGTGTTGATGGCTGGACATTGCATCATCCTAGAAAACTTGGAGGCCAGTGAGGACAAAAGTAAAAAGTTATAAAACTTTTAAGAATGTGGATTTTTGGGTTATCTTTGGCGCCCCCTAGAACGTAAACCGTGGGGTGCAGCGTCATGATTTGTACAACTTTTAATGGCCATGGGGGGTAGATTGGCCTGCGCAAATGTGGTGCCGGTCGAACGAAAGCCTTCGGAGGAGTTAGCGAAATTCCAATGTGTGCAGATCTGCAAAAAATGCAAAATAACCCATTAACAGTACATTTGACAGATACGCCCGCACTGACTTTTTTGTAGATCTTATTGAGATACATGTGTGTGTCAATTTTTGTGTCAATATGACAAAGCTTACAGCCGTCATGTGAATTTTCACCTTAGGGGGCGCTATGGAGCCATTTTGCATTTTATTGTTTGGGCGACTTCAGAATATCGAATTTTTCACCAGGCCCGGTCGTCCTGCCAAATTTCCTGAGTTTTCGCCAGTGGGAAGTGGGCCATTTTCCAGTTTAAAGCGGAGGAAAAATAATAACGAAAGAAGGAAACATGCAGGAACAAGAGGGCTCTCGCAGCTGCTTAGCAGCTACGCTCGGGCCCTAACTAGGACCCCGTTGGGGCACTGTCGGGCCCGAGCCGTGTCGCGCCGCCCCCAGTGCGACCGCCTCCCCCTCCCGATCGCGTCACACTCAAGATCCAAAGATTGTGTGCGCACTTGTCTGTGGTCATTTCCTATTATAATGAATGGGAGGCGCAGTTTCTACCAAAACACTCGCTGCAGACAAACTTCATGTCCTATTTGAAAAAAGTCTGGACCATGAGTGAGGGCACAAACACAGCTATGATATATCGAAATGGCAGGTTGCTCCTCCTTACGGTGTTGCCTGGAGAGAGATGCGATTGAGCCATTGAGCGATGGGCAGGAAAAACTTAACTTTTTCTCCTGCCATATGGGGGGGGGGGGGGGGATGTGGATTCTTTGAAGAATGTGGATTTTTGGGTTATCTTTGGCGACCCCTAGAACGTAAACCGTGGGGTGCAGCGTCATGATTTTTACAACTTTGAATGGCCATGGGGTGTAGATTGGCCTGAGTAAATTTGGTGTCAGTGGGACGAAAGCCTTAGGAGGAGTTAGCCACATTCCAATGTGTGCGAATCGGCAAAAAATGCAAAATAGCCCTTTAACCGTACATTTGACAGATACGCGCGAATCGACTCTTTTGTAGATCTTATTGAGATACATATGTGTGTCAATTTTTGTGTCAATATGATAAAGCGTACAGGCGTGACAGTCAATAGTGTGAATTTCCACCTTAGGGGACAAGAAAAAATTGGCTTTTTTTTCCTGCCATGGGGGGGCGCTCTTTTGGGCAGTAAAAATTCCTTCACAAATGTGTTGATGGCTGGACATTGCATCATCCTAGAAAACTTGGAGGCCAGTGAGGACAAAAATAAAAAGTTATAAGACTTTTAAATATGTGGATTTTAGGGTTATCTTTGGCGCCCCCTAGAACCTAAACCGTGGGATGCAGCGTCATGATTTGAATAACTTTTAATGGCCATGGGGTGTAGATTGGCCTGAGCAAATGTGGTACCGGTGGAATGAAAGCCTTCGGAGGAGTTAGCGAAATTCCAATGTGTGCGGATCGGCAAAAAATGCGGAATAACCCTTTAACCGTACATTTGACAGATACGCGCGCATTGACTTTTTCGTAGATCTTATTGAGATACATGTGTGTGTCAATTTTTGTGTCATTTTGCCAAAGCGTACAGGTGTTACACTCAACAATGTGTATTTTCACCTTAGGGGACAAGAAAAAATGGACTTTTTTCTCCTGCCATGGGGGGGCGCTCTTTTGGGGAGTAAAAATTCCTTCACAAATGTGTTGATGGCTGGACATTGCATCATCCTAGAAAACTTGGAGGCCAGTGAGGGCAAAAATAAAAAGTTATAAGACTTTTAAATATGTGGATCTTAGGGTTATCTTTGGCGCCCCCTAGAACCTAAACCGTGGGGTGCAGCGTCATGATTTGAATAACTTTTAATGGCCATGGGGTGTAGATTGGCCTGAGCAAATGTGGTGCCGGTGGAACGAAAGCCTTCGGAGGAGTTAGCGAAATTCCAATGTGTGCGGATCGGCAAAAAATGCGAAATAACCCTTTAACCGTACATTTGACAGATACGCCCGCACTGACTTTTTTGTAGATCTTATTGAGATACATGTGTGTGTCAATTTTTGTGTCATTTTGACAAAGCGTACAGGCGTGACACTCAATAGTGTGAATTTTCACCTTAGGGGGCGCTATGGAGCCATTTTGCATTTTCTTGTTTGGGCGACTTCGGAATATCAAATTTTTCACCAGGCCCGGTCGTCCTGCCAAATTTCATGATTTTTCGCCAGTGGGAAGTGGGCCATTTTCCAGTTCAAAGGGGAGGAAAAATAATAATAACAAAAGAAGGAAACTACAGGAACAAGAGGGCTCTCGCAGCTGCTTAGCAGCTACGCTCGGGCCCTAACTAGGACCCCGTTGGGGCACTGGCGGGCCCGAGCTGTGTCGCGCCCCCCCCCCCAACGCGCTGCCTCCCCGTCCCATTTGTGTCCTCTGGCCATCGCCCTCTCTGGTAACGCCCATCACTGCAAAGACCCTTTTCCTTCATCGGCGTTTGCTGTTCTTCCTGCCAGTGCGTGTTGCTTTCACTTACACTTGCCACAGCCAGCCTCGTGAGTGCCTAGCCTATTGGATATCACTGTCACCTACACAGGACAGTCATTACCTTTCTATTAATACTTTGTTTTTTAATTTCACATTAATTTCCATATTGTATAAACAACTGGAAAAAACTTGAGCCCCTGCCCCTGTATAATCATGTGCACGTCTCTGTTCTAGCTCTAAGGTGAATCTTCACTGCTCATGTTCTCCTCAGAAGCAGTCACCTCACTCCCCTCAGGTTACTGTACACATGCACCAACTGCCTGCTTCAGGTTTGGATGGAGCTTCATGGTTGTCTTTTGGAGAAATGACCAGTCAAGTTGTGTTTGAAATTTGATTTTTTTCAGGGGCAAAAGGAGCCTCTGCATTCTTGTCAAATATGTAAATAGCATGTTTTTGCAGGTGCTAAAAACCAGACTCTGAGTGTGTGTGTGTGCGTGTGTGTGTGTGTCTGTCTGTGTGTGTGTGTGTGTGTGTGTGTGTGTGTGTGTGTGTGTGTGTGTGTGTGTGTGTGTGTGTGCGTTCAAGTCACATGACATATTTAACCGGATGTAGCTGCAAGACGGAGCCTCGTTGACTCTCCGTTTCAATTTATCTCAAAAGTGAGGACCTCAACCTATATACCAGTTTTTAAATTGTGTTGATAGGCCAAATAAAACCAGAGTTATGATAAATTATGTCCACGATACTTGTTTTCTGCTTATTTTGATCACGTTCGGCGCTCGATCGCGCTGTATGAGACAGGAAAACATAGCATGCAGACATTAGCGACAGGTCTTACAGGCGGAAAAGGCTTGCCAAAGGAAAAAAAAAACACACCACAACATCTCTCCTATTGGTGGAAAACTTCACCACAACAACCAATCCAAAATTATATGGTGACTGATTGACAAGGGGCGGGAACTTACGTTCTTCCTGCAATATGAGAAGGGAGGGAGGGACTCTCAGCAGGGATGCAGTCTGGGACACGTAGTTGCAAACCTAGCGACTTTGTTGTTAGATTCAATGACTTTTCAGACCCCCTAACGACTTTTTTTTAGAAAGAAAGTGACTTTTATCGACTTCTTCTGGAGTTTAGAGACTCTGACATGAAGCAGGCTTTCCTTACTGAGGAGTTAGCAACGCTGCTAAGGGTGCAGAGCCACACATGCGCTCAGAGCTCTGCATGGGAGACTGAAACTGACAGAGCTGCAGCAGTTAGCAGGTTTCACCCTCAGAGACCACCAGGGGTTCATGTTGAGGCATTTTCAGTTTTTTTTTTTTTTTTTTGCCATAGACACTGTCAGCACAATCTGCAGTTACACTAACAAAAATGCTGCAAAAAACAAAGAATTATGGAAAAATTACACATGGACTAACATAGAGGAGGATCTACACAAGTTTTTTACATCATGTTTTACATCATGCATCATTTACATCATGTTTTTTTGTAGTGGCATAAATAAAAAGTGACATTTGTGAGACTATACAGTGTTTTGTAAATAATTTTACAAAGAACACCTGGGCCATTGCTTGCATTTTGATGTCAATAGAGGTAAATTACTATGTTCTTTGTTAAAAATTTGCATATGTTTTGAAGTTTACAATTTTTATTTGAAGTTTAAGTTTTAAAAACAGTTCATCACACATATTTGTGGTTTTCACAGTAAAAACGTTACTTTTTTCCACTCGGATTTTATGTTTTGTGTGTGAATTTGGGTCCAATGTGTAAATATAGTATGTCAAAATGATAAAATAACTGTAAATTGACACAGGTGAGGTTGTGCTGAAAAAAATGATACCAGGCAAGGCAAGGTAAAAATTTTGTAAGAGGAAATATAAAGGTAAAATCTAAAGTAGTCAAAAACGGCCAATAGTGACTCACAGACTCCACAGACAAGTCCCTTTGGCGCCACTCAGTGGGCAAAACTACTTTGTCTACTGTAATGTATATTTGGGTCATCTTTGGCGCCCCCTAAAACGTAAACCGTGGGGTGCAGCGTCATGATTTTTACAACTTTGAATGGCCATGGAGTGTAGATTGGCCTGAGCAAATTTGGTGTCAGTGGGACGAAAGCCTTAGGAGGAGTTAGCGAAATTCCAATGTGTGCGAATCGGCAAAAAATGCAAAATAGCCTTTTTACCGTACATTATACAGATACGCGCTTCTTGACTTTTTCGTAGATCTAATTGAGATACACATGATTGTCAATTTTTGTGTCATTTTGCCAAAGCGTACAGGCGTGACAGTCAACAATGTGTATTTTCACCTTAGGGGACAAGAAAAAATGGACTTTTTTCTCCTGCCATGGGGGGGCGCTCTTTTGGGGAGTAAAAATTCCTTCACAAATGTGTTGATGGCTGGACATTGCATCATCCTAGAAAACTTGGAGGCCAGTGAGGACAAAAATAAAAAGTTATAAGACTTTTAAAAATGTGGATTTTTGGGTTATCTTTGGCGCCCCCTAGAACCTAAACCGTGGGGTGCAGCGTCATGATTTGAATAACTTTTAATGGCCATGGGGTGTAATTTGGCCTGAGCAAATGTGGTGCCGGTGGAACGAAAGCCTTCGGAGTAGTTAGCGAAATTCCAATGTGTGCGAATCGGCAAAAAATGCGGAATAACCCTTTAACCGTACATTAGACAGATACGCGCGCATGGACTTTTTTGTAGATCTTATTGAGATACATGTGTGTGTCAATTTTTGTGTCATTTTGACAAAGCGTACAGGCGTGACACTCAACAATGTGTATTTTCACCTTAGGGGACAAGAAAAAAATGGACTTTTTTCTCCTGCCATGGGGGGGCGCTCTTTTGGGGAGTAAAAATTCCTTCACAAATGTGTTGATGGCTGGACATTGCATCATCCTAGAAAACTTGGAGGCCAGTGAGGGCAAAAATAAAAAGTTATAAGACTTTTAAAAATGTGGATTTTAAGGTTATCTTTGGCGCCCCCTAGAACCTAAACCGTGGGGTGCAGCGTCATGATTTGAATAACTTTTAATGGCCATGGGGTGTAGATTGGCCTGAGCAAATGTGGTGCCGGTGGAACGAAAGCCTTCGGAGGAGTTAGCGAAATTCCAATGTGTGCGGATCGGCAAAAAATGCGCAATAACCCTTTAACCGTACATTTGACAGATACGCCCGCACTGACTTTTTTGTAGATCTTATTGAGATACATGTGTGTGTCAATTTTTGTGTCATTTTGACAAAGCGTACAGGCGTGACAGTCAATAGTGTGAATTTTCACCTTAGGGGGCGCTATGGAGCCATTTTGCATTTTCTTGTTTGGGCGACTTCGGAATATCAAATTTTTCACCAGGCCCGGTCGTCCTGCCAAATTTCCTGAGTTTTCGCCAGTGGGAAGTGGGCCATTTTCCAGTTCAAAGGGGAGGAAAAAGAAGAAAGAAAGAAACAAAGAAAAACCCCTACAGGAATAACAGGGCCTACGCCCGGCTGCTCTGCAGCTGGCTCGGGCCCTAATAAGAAGAAGAAGACTAGGGCCCCGTTGGGGCACTGGCGGGCCCGAGCCGTGTCGCACCCCCCCCCCCCCAACGCGCTGCCTCCCCGTCACATTCATGTCCTCTGGCCATCGCCCTCTCTGGTAACGCCCATCACTGCAAAGACCCTTTTCCTTCATCGGCGTTTGCTGTTCTTCCTGCCAGTGCGTGTTGCTTTCACTTACACTTGCCACAGCCAGCCTCGTGAGTGCCTAGCCTATTGGATATCACTGTCACCTACACAGGACAGTCATACTTTGTTTTTTAATTTCACATTAATTTCCATATTGTATAAACGACTGGAAAAAACTTGAGCCCCTGCCCCTGTATTATCATGTGCACGTCCCTGTTCTAGCTCCAAGGTGAATCTTCACTGCTCATGTTCTCCTCAGAAGCAGTCACCTCACTCCCCTCAGGTTACTGTACACATGCACCAACTGCCTGCTTCAGGTTTGGATGGAGCTTCATGGTTGTCTTTTGGAGAAATGAGCAGTCAAGTTGTGTTTGAAATTTGATTTTTTTCAGGGGCAAAAGGAAGCCTCTGCATTCTTGTCAAATATGTAAATAGCATGTTTTTGCAGGTGCTAAAAAACAGACTCTGAGTGTGTGTGTGTGTGTGTGTGTGTGTGTGTGTGTGTGTGTGTGTGTGTGTGTGTGTGTATCCTGCAGTACTCTGAGAAGAATAATAAGCATATTTCTGAGGGGAATTTTGAAGATTCATCTGAGAGTTAGGTTTGATTCGATTCGATTGACGCTCCCCACGTTCAAGTCACATGACATATTTAACCGGATGTAGCTGCAAGACGGAGCCTCGTTAACTCTCCGTTTCAACTTATCTCAAAAGTGAGGACCTCAAACTATATACCAGTTTTTAAATTGTGTTGATAGGCCAAATAAAACCAGAGTTATGATAAATTATGTCCGCGATACTTTTTTTCTGCTTATTTTTATCACGTTCGGCGCTCGATCGCGCTGTATGAGACAGGAAAACATAGCATGCACACATTAGCGACAGGTCTTACAGGCGGAAAAGGCTTGCCAAAAGAAAAAAAAACACACCACAACATCTCTCCTATTGGTGGAAAACTTCACCACAACAACCAATCCAAAATTATATGGTGACTGATTGACAAGGGGCGGGCGCTTACGTTCTTCCTGCAATATGAGAAGGGAGGGAGGGACTCTCAGCAGGGATGCAGTCTGGGACACGTAGTTGCAAACCTAGCGACTTTGTTGTTAGATTCAATTACTTTTCAGACCCCCTAACGACTTTTTTAGAAAGAAAGGGACTTTTATCGACTTCTTCTGGAGTTTAGAGACTCTGACATGAAGCAGGCTTTCCTTACTGAGGAGTTAGCAACGCTGCTAAGGGTGCAGAGCCACACATGCGCTCCGAGCTCTGCATGGGAGACTGAAGCTGACAGAGCTGCAGCAGTTAGCAGGTTTCACCCTCAGAGACCACCAGGGGTTCATGTTGAGGCATTTTCAGTTTTTGTTTTTTTTGCCATAGACTGTCAGCACAATCTGCAGTTACACTAACAAAAATGCTGCAAAAAACAAAGAATTATGGAAAAATTACACATGGACTGACATAGAGGAGGATCTACACAAGTTTTTTACATCATGTTTTACATCATGCATCATTTACATCATTCATCATTTTTTGTAGTGGCATAAATAAAAAGTGACATTTGTGAGACTATACAGTGTTTTGTAAATAATTTTACAAAGAACGCCTGGGCCATTGCCTGCATTTTGATGTAAATAGAGGTAAATTACTATGTTCTTTGTTAAAAATTTGCATATGTTTTGAAGTTTACAATTTTTATTTGAAGTTTAAGTTTTAAAAACAGTTCATCACACATATTTGTGGTTTAATTTCACATTAATTTCCATATTGTATAAATGACTGGAAAAAACTTGAGCCCCTGCCCCTGTATAATCATGTGCACGTCCCTGTTCTAGCTCCAAGGTGAATCTTCACTGCTCATGTTCTCCTCAGAAATAGTCACCTCACTCCCCTCAGGTTACTGTACACATGCACCAACTGCCTGCTTCAGGTTTGGATGGAGCTTCATGGTTGTCTTTTGGAGAAATGAACAGTCAAGTTGTGTTTGAAATATGATTTTTTTCAGCGGCAAAAGGAAGCCTCTGCATTCTTGTCAAATATGTAAACAGCATGTTTTTGCAGGTGCTAAAAAACAGACTCTGAGTGTGTGTGTGTGTGTGTGTGTGTGTGTGTGTGTGTGTGTGTGTGTGTGTGTGTATATGTGTGTGTATCCTGCAGTACTCTGTACTCCTGCAGTGGCCAAAAAGACTTTTAAGAATGTGGATTTTTGGGTCATCTTTGGCGCCCCCTAGAACTGCAGTACTCTGTACTCCTGCAGTGGCCAAAATGACTTTTAAGAATGTGGATTTTTTGGTCATCTTTGGCGCACCCTAGAACGTAAACCGTGGGGTGCAGCGTCATGATTTTTACAACTTTGAATGGGCATGGGGTGTAGATTGCCCTGAGCAAATTTGGTATCGGTGGGACGAAAGCCTTAGGAGGAGATAGCCACATTCCAATGTGTGCGAATCGGCAAAAAATGCGAAATAGCCCTTTAACCGTACATTATACAGATACGCGCCTTTTGACTTTTTCGTAGATCTAATTGAGATACACATGATTGTCAATTTTTGTGTCAATATGACAAAGCGTTCAGGCGTGACACTCAACAATGTGTATTTTCATGTAAGGGGACAAGAAAAAATTGACTTTTTTCTCCTTCCATGGGGGGGCGCTCTTTTGGGGAGTAAAAATTCCTTCACAAATGTGTTGATGGCTGGACATTGCATCATCCTAGAAAACTTGGAGGGCAGTGAGGACAAAAATAAAAAGTTATAAGACTTTTAAGAATGTGGATTTTGGGTTATCTTTGGCGCCCCCTAGAACGTAAACCGTGGGGTGCAGCGTCATGATTTGTACAACTTTTAATGGCCATGGGGGGTAGATTGGCCTGCGCAAATGTGGTGCCGGTCGAACGAAAGCCTTCGGAGGAGTTAGCGAAATTCCAATGTGTGCAGATCTGCAAAAAATGCAAAATAACCCATTAACCGTACATTTGACAGATACGCCCGCACTGACTTTTTTGTAGATCTTATTGAGATACATGTGTGTGTCAATTTTTGTGTCAATATGACAAAGCGTACAGCCGTCATGTGAATTTTCACCTTAGGGGGCGCTATGGAGCCATTTTGCATTTTATTGTTTGGGCGACTTCAGAATATCGAATTTTTCACCAGGCCCGGTCGTCCTGCCAAATTTCCTGAGTTTTCGCCAGTGGGAAGTGGGCCATTTTCCAGTTTAAAGCGGAGGAAAAATAATAACGAAAGAAGGAAACATGCAGGAACAAGAGGGCTCTCGCAGCTGCTTAGCAGCTACGCTCGGGCCCTAAAGAAAGAAAGAAAGAAACAAAGAAAAACCACTTGGGGAATAATAGGGCCTACGCCCGGCTGCTCTGCAGCTGGCTCGGGCCCTAACTAGGACCCCGTTGGGGCACTGGCGGGCCCGAGCCGTGTCGCGTCCCCCCCCCCCAACGTGCTGCCTCCCCGTCCCATTTGTGTCCTCTGGCCATCGCCCTCTCTGGTAACGCCCATCACTGCAAAGACCCTTTTCCTTCATCGGCGTTTGCTGTTCTTCCTGCCAGTGCGTGTTGCTTTCACTTACACTTGCCACAGCCAGCCTCGTGAGTGCCTAGCCTATTGGATATCACTGTCACCTACACAGGACAGTCATTACCTTTCTATTAATACTTTGTGTTTTAATTTCACATTAATTTCCATATTGTATAAACGACTGGAAAAAACTTGAGCCCCTGCCCCTGTATAATCATGTGCATGTCTCTGTTCTAGCTCCAAGGTGAATCTTCACTGCTCATGTTCTCCTCAGAAGCACTCACCTCACTCCCCTCAGGTTACTGTACACATGCACCAACTGCCTGCTTCAGGTTTGGATGGAGCTTCATGGTTGTCTTTTGGAGAAATGACCAATCAAGTTGTGTTTGAAATTTGATTTTTTTCAGGGGCAAAAGGAGCCTCTGCATTCTTGTCAAATATGTAAATAGCATGTTTTTGCAGGTGCTAAAAACCAGACTCTGAGTGTGTGTGTGTGTGTGTGTGTGTGTGTGTGTGTGTGTGTGTGTGTGTGTGTGTGTGTGTGCGTGTGTGTGTGTCTGTGTGTGCGTTCAAGTCACATGACATATTTAACCGGATGTAGCTGCAAGACGGAGCCTCGTTGACTCTCCGTTTCAACTTATCTCAAAAGTGAGGACCTCAACCTATATACCAGTTTTTAAATTGTGTTGATAGGCCAAATAAAACCAGAGTTATGATAAATTATGTCCGCGATACTTTTTTTCTGCTTATTTTGATCACGTTCGGCGCTCGATCGCGCTGTATGAGACAGGAAAACATAGCATGCAGACATTAGCGACAGGTCTTACAGGCGGAAAAGGCTTGCCAAAAGAAAAAAAAAACACACCACAACATCTCTCCTATTGGTGGAAAACTTCACCACAACAACCAATCCAAAATTATATGGTGACTGATTGACAAGGGGCGGGCGCTTACGTTCTTCCTGCAACATGAGAAGGGAGGGAGGGACTCTCAGCAGGGATGCAGTCTGGGACACGTAGTTGCAAACCTAGCGACTTTGTTGTTAGATTCAATGACTTTTCAGACCCCCTAACGACTTTTTTTTGAAAGAAAGAGACTTTTATCGACTTCTTCTGGAGTTTAGAGACTCTGACATGAAGCAGGCTTTCCTTACTGAGGAGTTAGCAACGCTGCTAAGGGTGCAGAGCCACACATGCGCTCAGAGCTCTGCATGGGAGACTGAAGCTGACAGAGCTGCAGCAGTTAGCAGGTTTCACCCTCAGAGACCACCAGGGGTTCATGTTGAGGCATTTTATTTATTTTTTTTTTGTGCCATAGACACTGTCAGCACAATCTGCAGTTACACTAACAAAAATGCTGCAAAAAACAAAGAATTATGGAAAAATTACACATGGACTGACATAGAGGAGGATCTACACAAGTTTTTTACATCATGTTTTACATCATGCATCATTTACATCATGTTTTTTTGTAGTGGCATAAATAAAAAGTGACATTTGTGAGACTATACAGTGTTTTGTAAATAATTTTACAAAGAACGCCTGGGCCATTGCCTGCATTTTGATGTAAATAGAGGTAAATCACTATGTTCTTTGTTAAAAATTTGCATATGTTTTGAAGTTTACAATTTTTATTTGAAGTTTAAGTTTTAAAAACAGTTCATCACACATATTTGTGGTTTTCACAGTAAAAATGTTACTTTTTTCCACTCGGATTTTATGTTTTGTGTGTGAATTTGGGTCCATTGTGTAAATTCAGTATGTCAACATGATAAAATAACTGTAAATTCGCACAGGTGAGGTTGTGCTGAAAAAAATGATACCAGGCAAGGCACGTGATTGTCAAATTTTGTGTCAATATGACAAAGCATATAGGCGTGAATCTCAACAATATGTATTTTCACCTTAAGGGACAAGACAAAAATTGACTTTTTTCTCCTGCCATGGGGGGGCGCTCTTTTGGGGAGTAAAAATTCCTTCACAAATGTGTTGATGGCTGGACATTGCATCAACCTAGAAAACTTGGAGGCCAGTGAGGACAAAAATAAAAAGTTATAAGACTTTTAAATATGTGGATTTTAGGGTTATCTTTGGCGCCCCCTAGAACCTAAACCGTGGGGTGCAGCGTCATGATTTGAATAACTTTTAATGGCCATGGGGTGTAGATTGTCCTGAGCAAATGTGGTGCCGGTGGAACGAAAGCCTTAGGAGGAGTTAGCCACATTCCAATGTGTGCGGATCGGCAAAAAATGCGGAATAACCCTTTAACCGTACATTTGACAGATACGCGCGCATTGACTTTTTCGTAGATCTTATTGAGTTACATGTGTGTGTCAATTTTTGTGTCATTTTGACAAAGCGTATAGGCGTGACACTCAACAATGTGTATTTTCACCTTAGGGGACAAGAAAAAATGGACTTTTTTTCTCCTGCCATGGGGGGGCGCTCTTTTGGGGAGTAAAAATTCCTTCACAAATGTGTTGATGGCTGGACATTGCATCATCCTAGAAAACTTGGAGGCCAGTGAGGACAAAAATAAAAAGTTATAAGACTTTTAAATATGTGGATTTTAGTGTTATCTTTGGCGCCCCCTAGAACCTAAACCTTGGGGTGCAGCGTCATGATTTTGATAACTTTTAATGGCCACGGGGTGTAGATTGGCCTGAGCAAATGTGGTGCCGGTGGAACGAAAGCCTTCGGAGGAGTTAGCGAAATTCCAATGTGTGCGGATCGGCAAAAAATGCGAAATAACCCTTTAACCGTATATTTGACAGATACGCCCGCACTGACTTTTTTGTAGATCTTATTGAGATACATGTGTGTGTCAATTTTTGTGTCATTTTGACAAAGCGTACAGGCGTGACAGTCAATAGTGTGAATTTTCACCTTAGGGGGCGCTATGGAGCCATTTTGCATTTTCTTGTTTGGGCGACTTCGGAATATCAAATTTTTCACCAGGCCCGGTCGTCCTGCCAAATTTCATGAGTTTTCGCCAGTGGGAAGTGGGCCATTTTCCAGTTCAAAGGGGAGGAAAAATAATAATAATAACAAAAGAAGGAAACATGCAGGAACAAGAGGGCTCTCGCAGCTGCTTAGCAGCTACGCTCGGGCCCTAATAATAAATAACAAAAGAAGGAAACATGCAGGAACAAGAGGGCTCTCGCAGCTGCTTAGCAGCTACGCTCGGGCCCTAAGAAAGAAAGAAACAAAGAAAAACCACTTGGGGAATAATAGGGCCTACGCCCGGCTGCTCTGCAGCTGGCTCGGGCCCTAATAAATAATAACAAAAGAAGAATCCATCAGGAACAAGAGGGCTCTCGCAGCTGCTTAGCAGCTACGCTCGGGCCCTAAAGAAAGAAAGAAAGAAAGAAGAAAGAACTAGGACCCCGTTGGGGCACTGGCGGGCCCGAGCCGTGTCGCCCCCCCCCCCCCAACGTGCTGCCTCCCCGTCCCATTTGTGTCCTCTGGCCATCGCCCTCTCTGGTAACGCCCATCACTGCAAAGTCCCTTTTCCTTCATCGGCGTTTGCTGTTCTTCCTGCCAGTGCGTGTTGCTTTCACTTACACTTGCCACAGCCAGCCTCGTGAGTGCCTAGCCTATTCGATATCACTGTCACCTACACAGGACAGTCATTACCTTTCTATTAATACTTTGTGTTTTAATTTCACATTAATTTCCATATTGTATAAACGACTGGAAAAAACTTGAGCCCCTGCCCCTGTATAATCATGTGCATGTCTCTGTTCTAGCTCCAAGGTGAATCTTCACTGCTCATGTTCTCCTCAGAAGCACTCACCTCACTCCCCTCAGGTTACTGTACACATGCACCAACTGCCTGCTTCAGGTTTGGATGGAGCTTCATGGTTGTCTTTTGGAGAAATGACCAGTCAAGTTGTGTTTGAAATTTGATTTTTTTCAGGGGCAAAAGGAGCCTCTGCATTCTTGTCAAATATGTAAATAGCATGTTTTTGCAGGTGCTAAAAACCAGACTCTGAGTGTGTGTGTGTGTGTGTGTGTGTGTGTGTGTGTGCGTGTGTGTGTGTCTGTGTGTGCGTTCAAGTCACATGACATATTTAACCGGATGTAGCTGCAAGACGGAGCCTCGTTGACTCTCCGTTTCAACTTATCTCAAAAGTGAGGACCTCAACCTATATACCAGTTTTTAAATTGTGTTGATAGGCCAAATAAAACCAGAGTTATGATAAATTATGTCCGCGATACTTTTTTTCTGCTTATTTTGATCACGTTCGGCGCTCGATCGCGCTGTATGAGACAGGAAAACATAGCATGCAGACATTAGCGACAGGTCTTACAGGCGGAAAAGGCTTGCCAAAGAAAAAAAAAAACACACCACAACATCTCTCCTATTGGTGGAAAACTTCACCACAACAACCAATCCAAAATTATATGGTGACTGATTGACAAGGGGCGGGCGCTTACGTTCTTCCTGCAACATGAGAAGGGAGGGAGGGACTCTCAGCAGGGATGCAGTCTGGGACACGTAGTTGCAAACCTAGCGACTTTGTTGTTAGATTCAATGACTTTTCAGACCCCCTAACGACTTTTTTTTAGAAAGAAAGGGACTTTTATCGACTTCTTCTGGAGTTTAGAGACTCTGACATGAAGCAGGCTTTCCTTACTGAGGAGTTAGCAACGCTGCTAAGGGTGCAGAGCCACACATGCGCTCAGAGCTCTGCATGGGAGACTGAAGCTGACAGAGCTGCAGCAGTTAGCAGGTTTCACCCTCAGAGACCACCAGGGGTTCATGTTGAGGCATTTTATTTATTTATTTTTTTTGTGCCATAGACACTGTCAGCACAATCTGCAGTTACACTAACAAAAATGCTGCAAAAAACAAAGAATTATGGAAAAATTACACATGGACTGACATAGAGGAGGATCTACACAAGTTTTTTACATCATGTTTTACATCATGCATCATTTACATCATGTTTTTTTGTAGTGGCATAAATAAAAAGTGACATTTGTGAGACTATACAGTGTTTTGTAAATAATTTTACAAAGAACGCCTGGGCCATTGCCTGCATTTTGATGTAAATAGAGGTAAATCACTATGTTCTTTGTTAAAAATTTGCATATGTTTTGAAGTTTACAATTTTTATTTGAAGTTTAAGTTTTAAAAACAGTTCATCACACATATTTGTGGTTTTCACAGTAAAAATGTTACTTTTTTCCACTCGGATTTTATGTTTTGTGTGTGAATTTGGGTCCATTGTGTAAATTCAGTATGTCAACATGATAAAATAACTGTAAATTCGCACAGGTGAGGTTGTGCTGAAAAAAATGATACCAGGCAAGGCACGTGATTGTCAAATTTTGTGTCAATATGACAAAGCATATAGGCGTGAATCTCAACAATATGTATTTTCACCTTAGGGGACAAGAAAAAATGGACTTTTTTCTCCTGCCATGGGGGGGCGCTCTTTTGGGGAGTAAAAATTCCTTCACAAATGTGTTGATGGCTGGACATTGCATCATCCTAGAAAACTTGGAGGCCAGTGAGGACAAAAATAAAAAGTTATAAGACTTTTAAATATGTGGATTTTAGGGTTATCTTTGGCGCCCCCTAGAACCTAAACCGTGGGGTGCAGCGTCATGATTTGAATAACTTTTAATGGCCATGGGGTGTAGATTGTCCTGAGCAAATGTGGTGCCGGTGGAACGAAAGCCTTAGGAGGAGTTAGCCACATTCCAATGTGTGCGGATCGGCAAAAAATGCGGAATAACCCTTTAACCGTACATTTGACAGATACGCGCGCATTGACTTTTTCGTAGATCTTATTGAGTTACATGTGTGTGTCAATTTTTGTGTCATTTTGACAAAGCGTATAGGCGTGACACTCAACAATGTGTATTTTCACCTTAGGGGACAAGAAAAAATGGACTTTTTTCTCCTGCCATGGGGGGGCGCTCTTTTGGGGAGTAAAAATTCCTTCACAAATGTGTTGATGGCTGGACATTGCATCATCCTAGAAAACTTGGAGGCCAGTGAGGACAAAAATAAAAAGTTATAAGACTTTTAAATATGTGGATTTTAGTGTTATCTTTGGCGCCCCCTAGAACCTAAACCTTGGGGTGCAGCGTCATGATTTTGATAACTTTTAATGGCCACGGGGTGTAGATTGGCCTGAGCAAATGTGGTGCCGGTGGAACGAAAGCCTTCGGAGGAGTTAGCGAAATTCCAATGTGTGCGGATCGGCAAAAAATGCGAAATAACCCTTTAACCGTATATTTGACAGATACGCCCGCACTGACTTTTTTGTAGATCTTATTGAGATACATGTGTGTGTCAATTTTTGTGTCATTTTGACAAAGCGTACAGGCGTGACAGTCAATAGTGTGAATTTTCACCTTAGGGGGCGCTATGGAGCCATTTTGCATTTTCTTGTTTGGGCGACTTCGGAATATCAAATTTTTCACCAGGCCCGGTCGTCCTGCCAAATTTCATGAGTTTTCGCCAGTGGGAAGTGGGCCATTTTCCAGTTCAAAGGGGAGGAAAAATAACTAGGACCCCGTTGGGGCACTGGCGGGCCCGAGCCGTGTCGCGTCCCCCCCCCCCCCCAACGTGCTGCCTCCCCGTCCCATTTGTGTCCTCTGGCCATCGCCCTCTCTGGTAACGCCCATCACTGCAAAGACCCTTTTCCTTCATCTGCGTTTGCTGTTCTTCCTGCCAGTGCGTGTTGCTTTCACTTACACTTGCCACAGCCAGCCTCGTGAGTGCCTAGCCTATTGGATATCACTGTCACCTACACAGGACAGTCATTACCTTTCTATTAATACTTTGTGTTTTAATTTCACATTAATTTCCATATTGTATAAACGACTGGAAAAAACTTGAGCCCCTGCCCCTGTATAATCATGTGCATGTCTCTGTTCTAGCTCCAAGGTGAATCTTCACTGCTCATGTTCTCCTCAGAAGCACTCACCTCACTCCCCTCAGGTTACTGTACACATGCACCAACTGCCTGCTTCAGGTTTGGATGGAGCTTCATGGTTGTCTTTTGGAGAAATGAGCAGTCAAGTTGTGTTTGAAATTTGATTTTTTTCAGGGGCAAAAGGAGCCTCTGCATTCTTGTCAAATATGTAAATAGCATGTTTTTGCAGGTGCTAAAAACCAGACTCTGAGTGTGTGTGTGTGTGTGTGTGTGTGTGTGTGTGTGTGTGTGTGTGTGTGTGTGTGTGTGTGTGTGTGTGTGTGCGTGTGTGTGTGTCTGTGTGTGCGTTCAAGTCACATGACATATTTAACCGGATGTAGCTGCAAGACGGAGCCTCGTTGACTCTCCGTTTCAACTTATCTCAAAAGTGAGGACCTCAACCTATATACCAGTTTTTAAATTGTGTTGATAGGCCAAATAAAACCAGAGTTATGATAAATTATGTCCGCGATACTTTTTTTCTGCTTATTTTGATCACGTTCGGCGCTCGATCGCGCTGTATGAGACAGGAAAACATAGCATGCAGACATTAGCGACAGCTCTTACAGGCGGAAAAGGCTTGCCAAAAGAAAAAAAAAACACACCACAACATCTCTCCTATTGGTGGAAAACTTCACCACAACAACCAATCCAAAATTATATGGTGACTGATTGACAAGGGGCGGGCGCTTACGTTCTTCCTGCAACATGAGAAGGGAGGGAGGGACTCTCAGCAGGGATGCAGTCTGGGACACGTAGTTGCAAACCTAGCGACTTTGTTGTTAGATTCAATGACTTTTCAGACCCCCTAACGACTTTTTTTTAGAAAGAAAGGGACTTTTATCGACTTCTTCTGGAGTTTAGAGACTCTGACATGAAGCAGGCTTTCCTTACTGAGGAGTTAGCAACGCTGCTAAGGGTGCAGAGCCACACATGCGCTCAGAGCTCTGCATGGGAGACTGAAGCTGACAGAGCTGCAGCAGTTAGCAGGTTTCAACCTCAGAGACCACCAGGGGTTCATGTTGAGGCATTTTAATTTTTTTTTTTTTTTTGTGCCATAGACACTGTCAGCACAATCTGCAGTTACACTAACAAAAATGCTGCAAAAAACAAAGAATTATGGAAAAATTACACATGGACTGACATAGAGGAGGATCTATACAAGTTTTTTACATCATGTTTTACATCATGCATCATTTACATCATGTTTTTTTGTAGTGGCATAAATAAAAAGTGACATTTGTGAGACTATACAGTGTTTTGTAAATAATTTTACAAAGAACGCCTGGGCCATTGCCTGCATTTTGATGTAAATAGAGGTAAATCACTATGTTCTTTGTTAAAAATTTGCATATGTTTTGAAGTTTACAATTTTTATTTGAAGTTTAAGTTTTAAAAACAGTTCATCACACATATTTGTGGTTTTCACAGTAAAAATGTTACTTTTTTCCACTCGGATTTTATGTTTTGTGTGTGAATTTGGGTCCATTGTGTAAATTCAGTATGTCAACATGATAAAATAACTGTAAATTCGCACAGGTGAGGTTGTGCTGAAAAAAATGATACCAGGCAAGGCACGTGATTGTCAAATTTTGTGTCAATATGACAAAGCATATAGGCGTGAATCTCAACAATATGTATTTTCACCTTAAGGGACAAGACAAAAATTGACTTTTTTCTCCTGCCATGGGGGGGCGCTCTTTTGGGGAGTAAAAATTCCTTCACAAATGTGTTGATGGCTGGACATTGCATCATCCTAGAAAACTTGGAGGCCAGTGAGGACAAAAATAAAAAGTTATAAGACTTTTAAATATGTGGATTTTAGGGTTATCTTTGGCGCCCCCTAGAACCTAAACCGTGGGGTGCAGCGTCATGATTTTGATAACTTTTAATGGCCATGGGGTGTAGATTGGCCTGAGCAAATGTGGTGCCGGTGGAACGAAAGCCTTAGGAGGAGTTAGCGAAATTCCAATGTGTGCGGATCGGCAAAAAATGCGGAATAACCCTTTAACCGTACATTTGACAGATACGGGCGCATTGACTTTTTCGTAGATCTTATTGAGTTACATGTGTGTGTCAATTTTTGTGTCATTTTGACAAAGCGTATAGGCGTGACACTCAACAATGTGTATTTTCACCTTAGGGGACATGAAAAAATGGACTTTTTTCTCCTGCCATGGGGGGGCGCTCTTTTGGGGAGTAAAAATTCCTTCACAAATGTGTTGATGGCTGGACATTGCATCATCCTAGAAAACTTGGAGGCCAGTGAGGACAAAAATAAAAAGTTATAAGACTTTTAAATATGTGGATTTTAGTGTTATCTTTGGCGCCCCCTAGAACCTAAACCTTGGGGTGCAGCGTCATGATTTTGATAACTTTTAATGGCCACGGGGTGTAGATTGGCCTGAGCAAATGTGGTGCCGGTGGAACGAAAGCCTTCGGAGGAGTTAGCGAAATTCCAATGTGTGCGGATCGGCAAAAAATGCGAAATAACCCTTTAACCGTAATTTTGACAGATACGGCCGCACTGACTTTTTTGTAGATCTTATTGAGATACATATGTGTGTCAATTTTTGTGTCAATATGACAAAGCGTACAGGCGTGACAGTCAATAGTGTGAATTTTCACCTTAGGGGGCGCTATGGAGCCATTTTGCATTTTATTGTTTGGGCGACTTCAGAATATCAAATTTTTCACCAGGCCCGGTCATCCTGCCAAATTTCATGAGTTTTCGCCAGTGGGAAGTGGGCCATTTTCCAGTTCAAAGGGGAGGAAAAAGAAAAAAGAAAGAAAGAAACAAAGAAAAACCACTTGGGGAATAATAGGGCCTACGCCCGGCTGCTCTGCAGCTGGCTCGGGCCCTAATAATAATAACAAAAGAAGGAAACATGCAGGAACAAGAGGGCTCTCGCAGCTGCTTAGCAGCTACGCTCGGGCCCTAATAATAAATAACAAAAGAAGGAAACATGCAGGAACAAGAGGGCTCTCGCAGCTGCTTAGCAGCTACGCTCGGGCCCTAAGAAAGAAAGAAACAAAGAAAAACCACTTGGGGAATAATAGGGCCTACGCCCGGCTGCTCTGCAGCTGGCTCGGGCCCTAATAAATAATAACAAAAGAAGAATCCATCAGGAACAAGAGGGCTCTCGCAGCTGCTTAGCAGCTACGCTCGGGCCCTAAAGAAAGAAAGAAAGAAAGAAGAAAGAACTAGGACCCCGTTGGGGCACTGGCGGGCCCGAGCCGTGTCGCCCCACCCCCCCCCCCCCCCCCAACGTGCTGCCTCCCCGTCCCATTTGTGTCCTCTGGCCATCGCCCTCTCTGGTAACGCCCATCACTGCAAAGTCCCTTTTCCTTCATCGGCGTTTGCTGTTCTTCCTGCCAGTGCGTGTTGCTTTCACTTACACTTGCCACAGCCAGCCTCGTGAGTGCCTAGCCTATTGGATATCACTGTCACCTACACAGGACAGTCATTACCTTTCTATTAATACTTTGTGTTTTAATTTCACATTAATTTCCATATTGTAAAAACGACTGGAAAAAACTTGAGCCCCTGCCCCTGTATAATCATGTGCATGTCTCTGTTCTAGCTCCAAGGTGAATCTTCACTGCTCATGTTCTCCTCAGAAGCACTCACCTCACTCCCCTCAGGTTACTGTACACATGCACCAACTGCCTGCTTCAGGTTTGGATGGAGCTTCATGGTTGTCTTTTGGAGAAATGACCAGTCAAGTTGTGTTTGAAATTTGATTTTTTTCAGGGGCAAAAGGAGCCTCTGCATTCTTGTCAAATATGTAAATAGCATGTTTTTGCAGGTGCTAAAAACCAGACTCTGAGTGTGTGTGTGTGTGTGTGTGTGTGTGTGCGTGTGTGTGTGTCTGTGTGTGCGTTCAAGTCACATGACATATTTAACCGGATGTAGCTGCAAGACGGAGCCTCGTTGACTCTCCGTTTCAACTTATCTCAAAAGTGAGGACCTCAACCTATATACCAGTTTTTAAATTGTGTTGATAGGCCAAATAAAACCAGAGTTATGATAAATTATGTCCGCGATACTTTTTTTCTGCTTATTTTGATCACGTTCGGCGCTCGATCGCGCTGTATGAGACAGGAAAACATAGCATGCAGACATTAGCGACAGGTCTTACAGGCGGAAAAGGCTTGCCAAAAGAAAAAAAAACACACCACAACATCTCTCCTATTGGTGTAAAACTTCACCACAACAACCAATCCAAAATTATATGGTGACTGATTGACAAGGGGCGGGCGCTTACGTTCTTCCTGCAACATGAGAAGGGAGGGAGGGACTCTCAGCAGGGATGCAGTCTGGGACACGTAGTTGCAAACCTAGCGACTTTGTTGTTAGATTCAATGACTTTTCAGACCCCCTAACGACTTTTTTTAGAAAGAAAGGGACTTTTATCGACTTCTTCTGGAGTTTAGAGACTCTGACATGAAGCAGGCTTTCCTTACTGAGGAGTTAGCAACGCTGCTAAGGGTGCAGAGCCACACATGCGCTCAGAGCTCTGCATGGGAGACTGAAGCTGACAGAGCTGCAGCAGTTAGCAGGTTTCACCCTCAGAGACCACCAGGGGTTCATGTTGAGGCATTTTAATTTTTTTTTTTTTTGTGCCATAGACACTGTCAGCACAATCTGCAGTTACACTAACAAAAATGCTGCAAAAAACAAAGAATTATGGAAAAATTACACATGGACTGACATAGAGGAGGATCTACACAAGTTTTTTACATCATGTTTTACATCATGCATCATTTACATCATGTTTTTTTGTAGTGGCATAAATAAAAAGTGACATTTGTGAGACTATACAGTGTTTTGTAAATAATTTTACAAAGAACGCCTGGGCCATTGCCTGCATTTTGATGTAAATAGAGGTAAATCACTATGTTCTTTGTTAAAAATTTGCATATGTTTTGAAGTTTACAATTTTTATTTGAAGTTTAAGTTTTAAAAACAGTTCATCACACATATTTGTGGTTTTCACAGTAAAAATGTTACTTTTTTCCACTCGGATTTTATGTTTTGTGTGTGAATTTGGGTCCATTGTGTAAATTCAGTATGTCAACATGATAAAATAACTGTAAATTCGCACAGGTGAGGTTGTGCTGAAAAAAATGATACCAGGCAAGGCACGTGATTGTCAAATTTTGTGTCAATATGACAAAGCGTATAGGCGTGAATCTCAACAATATGTATTTTCACCTTAGGGGACAAGAAAAAATGGACTTTTTTCTCCTGCCATGGGGGGGCGCTCTTTTGGGGAGTAAAAATTCCTTCATAAATGTGTTGATGGCTGGACATTGCATCATCCTAGAAAACTTGGAGGCCAGTGAGGACAAAAATAAAAAGTTATAAGACTTTTAAATATGTGGATTTTAGTGTTATCTTTGGCGCCCCCTAGAACCTAAACCTTGGGGTGCAGCATCATGATTTTGATAACTTTTAATGGCCACGGGGTGTAGATTGGCCTGAGCAAATGTGGTGCCGGTGGAACGAAAGCCTTCGGAGGAGTTAGCGAAATTCCAATGTGTGCGGATCGGAAAAAAATGCGAAATAACCCTTTAACCGTACATTTGACAGATACGGCCGCACTGACTTTTTTGTAGATCTTATTGAGATACATATGTGTGTCAATTTTTGTGTCAATATGACAAAGCGTACAGGCGTGACAGTCAATAGTGTGAATTTCCACCTTAGGGGGCGCTATGGAGCCATTTTGCATTTTATTGTTTGGGCGACTTCAGAATATCGAATTTTTCACCAGGCCCGGTCGTCCTGCCAAATTTCATGAGTTTTCGCCAGTGGGAAGTGGGCCATTTTCCAGTTCAAAGGGGAGGAAAAAGAAGAAAGAAAGAAAGAACTAGGGCCCCGTTGGGGCACTGTCGGGCCCGAGCCGCGTCGCGCCGCCCCCAGCGCGACCGCCTCCCCGTCCCATTCGTGCCCTCTGGCCATCGCCCTCTCTGGTGACGCCCATCACTGCAAAGACCCTTTTCCTTCATCGGTGTTTGCTGTTCTTCCTGCCATTGCGTGTTGCTTTCACTTACACTTGCCACAGCCAGCCTCGTGAGTGCCTGGCCTGGTTTGACCTTTGCTCACCATGATTGTGTGACCTTGGTATCAGCTACTTGGGAAGTTCAACCGTTGTGGCAAAGCTTTGTTTGCGTGCTGTGCTCAACCACCTATTTTCTATGGATGTGTAAGTAAACCACTTTCTTTCTTACACAATGACACACTCATACTTATCACTCACTGCTACTGATGTGCTCTGTTAGTATGCATGCAGGAAACCTGATGAATGAAGAAATGCCCAGACTAGCCAACATCTCAATAAATTATGAGGTATGACATCACTTGAATGGTTTCCTTGGACTATGCTTCCATTATTCTAATTCTGTAATAAAAAGAAATTTTGTCCAAAAGGACTGTTGTTGTTTTTTCTTCTAATAATTAACATATTTAACATAATTAACATTCAATATGCGCTCATTACACACGTGCACACTCTTTGATGATCTGAGAAGCAGAGCTTAAAGGACAGTAGGAGTAGCTGAACAAAGTGTATTTGTAGGAAAGCCGTAAGAGCTATTGAAACGCCGTTTTCGCGGGTTGAAAGGTTAGGGTGTCCACCAAAGGTCAGAGGTCAAATAACATTTGTATCTCAAACTGTGACGTCAAAGTCAAGGTCCAAAGATGGTGTGCGCACCTGTCTTTGGTCATTTCCCATTATAATGAATGGGAGGCACAGTTTCTACCAAAACGCTCGCTGCAGACAAACTACATGTCCTATTTGAAAAAACTCTGGACCATGAGTGAGGGCACAAACACAGCTAGGACATATCCAAATGGCAAGTTGCTCCTCCTTTTGGTTTTAGCGGGAGAGCAATGCGTTTGAGCCATTAAGCGATGGGCTGGAAAAACTTGACTTTTTCTCCTGCCATGGGGGGGGGGGCGCTCTTTTGGGGAGAAAAAATTCCTTCACAGATGTGTTGATGGCTGCACATTGCATCATCCTAGAAAACTTGGAGGCCAGTGAGGACAAAAATAAAAAGTTATAAGACTTTTAAAAATGTGGATATTTGGGTCATCTTTGGCGCCCCCTAGAACCTAAACCGTGGGGTGCAGCGTCATGATTTGTACAACTTTGAATGGCCATGGGGTGTAGATTGGCCTGAGCAAATTTGGTGTCAGTAGAACGAAAGCCTTAGGAGGAGTTAGCCACATTCTAATGTGTGCGAATCGGCAAAAAATGCAAGATAGCCCTTTAACCGTACATTTTACAGATATGTGCCCATTGACTTTTTCGTAGATCTTATTGAGATACACGTGTGTGTCAAATTTTGTGTCAATATGACAAAGCGTATAGGCGTGACACTGAACAATGTGTATTTTCACCTTAGGGGACAAGAAAAAATGGCCTTTTTTGTCCTGCCATGGGGGGGCGCTGTTTTGGGGAGTAAAAATTCCTTCACAAATGTGTTGATGGCTGGACATTGCATCATCCTAGAAAACTTGGAGGCCAATGAGGACAAAAATAAAAAGTTATAAGATTTTTAAGAATGTGGATTTGTGGGTCATCTTTGGCGCCCCCTAGAACGTAAACCGTGGGGTGCAGCGTCATGATTTGTACAACTTTTAATGGCCATGGGGTGTAGATTGGCCTGAGCAAATGTGGTGCCGGTGGAACGAATGCCTTCGGAGGAGTTAGCGAAATTCCAATGTGTGCAGATCTGCAAAAAATGCGAAATAACCCTCTAACCGTACATTTCACAGATGCGCCCGCACTGACTTTTTCGTAGATCTTATTGAGATACACATGTGTGTCAAATTTTGTGTCATTTTGACAAAGCGTACAGGCGTCAGGTGAGTTTTCACCATAGGGGGCGCTATGGAGCCATTTTTCATTTTTTTGTTTGGGCGACTTCAGAATATCGAATTTTTCACCAGGCCCGGTCGTCCTGCCAAATTTCCTGAGTTTTCGCCAGTGGGAAGTGGGCCATTTTCCAGTTTAAAGCGGAGGAAAAATAACGAAAGAAGAATCCATCAGGAACAAGAGGGCTCTCGCAGCTGCTTAGCAGCTACGCTCGGGCCCTAAAGAAAGAAAGAAAGAAAGAAGAAAGAACTAGGACCCCGTTGGGGCACTGGCGGGCCCGAGCCGTGTCGCGTCCCCCCACCCCCCCAACGTGCTGCCTTCCCGTCCCATTTGTGTCCTCTGGCCATCGCCCTCTCTGGTAACGCCCATCACTGCAAAGACCCTTTTCCTTCATCGGCGTTTGCTGTTCTTCCTGCCAGTGCGTGTTGCTTTCACTTACACTTGCCACAGCCAGCCTCGTGAGTGCCTAGCCTATTGGATATCACTGTCACCTACACAGGACAGTCATCACCTTTCTATTAATACTTTGTGTTTTAATTTCACATTAATTTCCATATTGTATAAACGACTGGAAAAAACTTGAGCCCCTGCCCCTGTATAATCATGTGCATGTCTCTGTTCTAGCTCCAAGGTGAATCTTCACTGCTCATGTTCTCCTCAGAAGCACTCACCTCACTCCCCTCAGGTTACTGTACACATGCACCAACTGCCTGCTTCAGGTTTGGATGGAGCTTCATGGTTGTCTTTTGGAGAAATGACCAGTCAAGTTGTGTTTGAAATTTGATTTTTTTCAGGGGCAAAAGGAGCCTCTGCATTCTTGTCAAATATGTAAATAGCATGTTTTTGCAGGTGCTAAAAACCAGACTCTGTGTGTGTGTGTGTGTGTGCGTGTGTGTGTGTGTATGTGTGTGTATCCTGCAGTACTCTGTACTCCTGCAGTGGCCAAAAAGACTTTTAAGAATGTGGATTTTTGGGTCATCTTTGGCGCCCCCTAGAACTGCAGTACTCTGTACTCCTGCAGTGGCCAAAATGACTTTTAAGAATGTGGATTTTTGGGTCATCTTTGGTGCCCCCTAGAACGTAAACCGTGGGGTGCAGCGTCATGATTTTTACAACTTTGAATGGGCATGGGGTGTAGATTGCCCTGAGCAAATTTGGTATCGGTGGGACGAAAGCCTTAGGAGGAGATAGCCACATTCCAATGTGTGCGAATCGGCAAAAAATGCGAAATAGCCCTTTAACCGTACATTATACAGATACGACCTTTTTGACTTTTTTGTAGATCTAATTGAGATACACGTGATTGTCAATTTTTGTGTCAATATGACAAAGCGTTCAGGCATGACACTCAACAATGTGTATTTTCATGTATGGGGACAAGAAAAAATTGACTTTTTTCTCCTGCCATGGGGGGGCGCTCTTTTGGGGAGTAAAAATTCCTTCACAAATGTGTTGATGGCTGGACATTGCATCATCCTAGAAAACTTGGAGGGCAGTGAGGACAAAAATAAAAAGTTATAAGACTTTTAAGAATGTGGATTTTGGGTTATCTTTGGCGCCCCCTAGAACGTAAACCGTGGGGTGCAGCGTCATGATTTGTACAACTTTTAATGGCCATGGGGGGTAGATTGGCCTGCGCAAATGTGGTGCCGGTCGAACGAAAGCCTTCGGAGGAGTTAGCGAAATTCCAATGTGTGCAGATCTGCAAAAAATGCAAAATAACCCATTAACCATACATTTGACAGATACGCCCGCACTGACTTTTTTGTAGATCTTATTGAGATACATGTGTGTGTCAATTTTTGTGTCAATATGACAAAGCGTACAGCCGTCATGTGAATTTTCACCTTAGGGGGCGCTATGGAGCCATTTTGCATTTTATTGTTTGGGCTACTTCAGAATATCGAATTTTTCACCAGGCCCGGTCGTCCTGCCAAATTTCCTGAGTTTTCGCCAGTGGGAAGTGGGCCATTTTCCAGTTTAAAGCGGAGGAAAAATAATAACACTAGGGCCCCGGTGGGGCACTGTCGGGCCCGAGCCGCGTCGCGCCGCCCCCAGCGCGACCGCCTCCCCCTCCCGATCGCGTCACACTCAAGGTCCAAAGATGGTGTGCGCACTTGTCTGTGGTCATTTCCCATTATAATGAATGGGAGGCGCAGTTTCTACCAAAACGCTCGCTGCAGACAAACTACATGTCCTATTTGAAAAAAGTCTGGACCATGAGTGAGGGCACAAACACAGCTAGTATATATCCAAATGGCAAGTTGCTCCTCCTTTCGGTTTTGCAGAGAGAGCGATGCGTTTGAGCCATTGAGCGATGGGCAGGAAAAACTTGACTTTTTCTCCTGCCATGGGGGGCGCTCTTTTGGGGAGAAAAAATTCCTTCACAAATGTGTTGATGGCTGGACATTGCATCATCCTAGAAAACTTGGAGGCCAGTGAGGACAAAAATAAAAAGTTATAAGACTTTTAAAAATGTGGATATTTGGGTCCTCTTTGGCGCCCCCTAGAACGTAAACTGTGGGGTGCAGCGTCATGATTTGTACAACTTTGAATGGCCATGGGGTGTAGATTGACCTGAGCAAATTTGAAGCCGATGGGACAAAAGATTTAGGAGGAGTTAGCGAAATTCCAATGTGTGCGGATCGGCAAAAAATGCGAAATAACCCTTTAACCGTACATTTGACAGATACGCCCGCACTGACTTTTTTGTAGATCTTATTGAGATACATGTGTGTGTCAAATTTTGTGTCATTTTGACAAAGCGTAAAGGCGTGACAGTCAACAATGTGTATTTTCGCCTTAGGAGACAAGAAAAAATGGACTTTTTTCTCCTGCCATGGGGGGGCGCTCTTTTGGCGAGTAAAAATTCCTTCACAAATGTGTTGATGGCTGGACATTGCATCATCCTAGAGAACTTGGAGGCCAGTGAGGACAAAAATAAAAAGTTATAAGACTTTTAAGACTGTGGATTTTTGGGTTATCTTTGGCGCCCCCTAGAACGTAAACCGTGGGGTGCAGCGTCATGATTTGTACAACTTTTAATGGCCATGGGGTGTAGATTGGCCTCAGCAAATGTGGTGCCTTTGGAACGAAAGCCTTCGGAGGAGTTAGCGAAATTCCAATGTGTGCGGATCGGCAAAAAATGCGAAATAGCCCTTTCACCGTACATTTGACAGATACGCCCGCACTGACTTTTTTGTAGATCTTATTGAGATACATGTGTGTGTCAATTTTTGTGTCAATATGACAAAGCGTAAAGGCGTGACAGTCAATAGTGTGAATTTTCGCCTTAGGAGACAAGAAAAAATGGACTTTTTTCTCCTGCCATGGGGGGCGCTCTTTTGGGGAGTAAAAATTCCTTCACAAATGTGTTGATGGCTGGACATTGCATCATCCTAGAAAACTTGGAGGCCAGTGAGGACAAAAATAAAAAGTTATACGACTTTTAAGAATGTGGATTTCTGGGTTATCTTTGGCGCCCCCTAGAACGTAAACCGTGGGATGCAGCGTCATGATTTGTACAACTTTTAATGGCCATGGGGTGTAGATTGGCCTGAGCAAATTTGGTGCCGGTGGAACGAAAGCCTTCGGAGGAGTTAGCGAAATTCCAATGTGTGCGGATCGGCAAAAAATGCGAAATAGCCCTTTAACCGTACATTTGACAGATACGCCCGCACTGACTTTTTTGTAGATCTTATTGAGATACACGTGTGTGTCAAATTTTGTGTCATTTTGACAAAGCGTACAGGCGTGACACTCAATCATGTGAATTTTTCACCTTAGGGGGCGCTATGGAGCCATTTTGCATTTGATTTTTTGGGCGACTTCAGAATATCAAATTTTTCACCAGGCCCGGTCGTCCTGCCAAATTTCATGACTTTTCACCAGTGGGAAGTGGGCCATTTTCCAGTTCAAAGGGGCAGAAAAATAATAAGAAGAAGAAGAAGAAAGAAGAATCCATCAGGAATAATAGGGCTCTCGCAGCTGCTTAGCAGCTACGCTCGGGCCCTAACTAGGACCCCGTTGGGGCACTGGCGGGCCCGAGCCGTGTCGCGTCCCCCCCCCCACGTGCTGCCTCCCCGTCCCATTTGTGTCCTCTGGCCATCGCCCTCTCTGGTAACGCCCATCACTGCAAAGACCCTTTTCCTTCATCGGCGTTTGCTGTTCTTCCTGCCAGTGCGTGTTGCTTTCACTTACACTTGCCACAGCCAGCCTCGTGAGTGCCTAGCCTATTGGATATCACTGTCACCTACACAGGACAGTCATTACCTTTCTATTAATACTTTGTGTTTTAATTTCACATTAATTTCCATATTGTATAAACGACTGGAAAAAACTTGAGCCCCTGCCCCTGTATAATCATGTGCATGTCTCTGTTCTAGCTCCAAGGTGAATCTTCACTGCTCATGTTCTCCTCAGAAGCACTCACCTCACTCCCCTCAGGTTACTGTACACATGCACCAACTGCCTGCTTCAGGTTTGGATGGAGCTTCATGGTTGTCTTTTGGAGAAATGACCAGTCAAGTTGTGTTTGAAATTTGATTTTTTTCAGGGGCAAAAGGAGCCTCTGCATTCTTGTCAAATATGTAAATAGCATGTTTTTGCAGGTGCTAAAAACCAGACTCTGAGTGTGTGTGTGTGTGTGTGTGTGTGTGTGTGTGTGCGTGTGTGTGTCTGTGTGTGCGTTCAAGTCACATGACATATTTAACCGGATGTAGCTGCAAGACGGAGCCTCGTTGACTCTCCGTTTCAACTTATCTCAAAAGTGAGGACCTCAACCTATATACCAGTTTTTAAATTGTGTTGATAGGCCAAATAAAACCAGAGTTATGATAAATTATGTCCGCGATACTTTTTTTCTGCTTATTTTGATCACGTTCGGCACTCGATCGCGCTGTATGAGACAGGAAAACATAGCATGCAGACATTAGCGACAGCTCTTACAGGCGGAAAAGGCTTGCCAAAAGAAAAAAAAACACACCACAACATCTCTCCTATTGGTGGAAAACTTCACCACAACAACCAATCCAAAATTATATGGTGACTGATTGACAAGGGGCGGGCGCTTACGTTCTTCCTGCAACATGAGAAGGGAGGGAGGGACTCTCAGCAGGGATGCAGTCTGGGACACGTAGTTGCAAACCTAGCGACTTTGTTGTTAGATTCAATGACTTTTCAGACCCCCTAACGACTTTTTTTTAGAAATAAAGGGACTTTTATCGACTTCTGGAGTTTAGAGACTCTGACATGAAGCAGGCTTTCCTTACTGAGGAGTTAGCAACGCTGCTAAGGGTGCAGAGCCACACATGCGCTCAGAGCTCTGCATGGGAGACTGAAGCTGACAGAGCTGCAGCAGTTAGCAGGTTTCACCCTCAGAGACCACCAGGGGTTCATGTTGAGGCATTTTAATTTTTTTTTTTTTTGTGCCATAGACACTGTCAGCACAATCTGCAGTTACACTAACAAAAATGCTGCAAAAAACAAAGAATTATGGAAAAATTACACATGGACTGACATACAGGAGGATCTACACAAGTTTTTTACATCATGTTTTACATCATGCATCATTTACATCATGTTTTTTTGTAGTGGCATAAATAAAAAGTGACATTTGTGAGACTATACAGTGTTTTGTAAATAATTTTACAAAGAACGCCTGGGCCATTGCCTGCATTTTGATGTAAATAGAGGTAAATCACTATGTTCTTTGTTAAAAATTTGCATATGTTTTGAAGTTTACAATTTTTATTTGAAGTTTAAGTTTTAAAAACAGTTCATCACACATATTTGTGGTTTTCACAGTAAAAATGTTACTTTTTTCCACTCGGATTTTATGTTTTGTGTGTGAATTTGGGTCCATTGTGTAAATTCAGTATGTCAACATGATAAAATAACTGTAAATTCGCACAGGTGAGGTTGTGCTGAAAAAAATGATACCAGGCAAGGCACGTGATTGTCAAATTTTGTGTCAATATGACAAAGCGTATAGGCGTGAATCTCAACAATATGTATTTTCACCTTAGGGGACAAGAAAAAATGGACTTTTTTCTCCTGCCATGGGGGGGCGCTCTTTTGGGGAGTAAAACTTCCTTCACAAATGTGTTGATGGCTGGACATTGCATCATCCTAGAAAACTTGGAGGCCAGTGAGGACAAAAATAAAAAGTTATAAGACTTTTAAATATGTGAATTTTAGGGTTATCTTTGGCGCCCCCTAGAACCTAAACCGTGGGGTGCAGCGTCATGATTTTGATAACTTTTAATGGCCATGGGGTGTAGATTGGCCTGAGCAAATGTAGTGCCGGTGGAACGAAAGCCTTAGGAGGAGTTAGCCACATTCCAATGTGTGCGGATCGGCAAAAAATGCGGAATAACCCTTTAACCGTACATTTGACAGATACGCGCGCATTGACTTTTTCGTAGATCTTATTGAGATACATGTGTGTGTCAATTTTTGTGTCATTTTGACAAAGCGTATAGGCGTGACACTCAACAATGTGTATTTTCACCTTAGGGGACAAGAAAAAATGGACTTTTTTCTCCTGCCATGGGGGGGCGCTCTTTTGGGGAGTAAAAATTCCTTCACAAATGTGTTGATGGCTGGACATTGCATCATCCTAGAAAACTTGGAGGCCAGTGAGGACAAAAATAAAAAGTTATAAGACTTTTAAATATGTGGATTTTAGTGTTATCTTTGGCGCCCCCTAGAACCTAAACCTTGGGGTGCAGCGTCATGATTTTGATAACTTTTAATGGCCACGGGGTGTAGATTGGCCTGAGCAAATGTGGTGCCGGTGGAACGAAAGCCTTCGGAGGAGTTAGCGAAATTCCAATGTGTGCAGATCGGCAAAAAATGCGAAATAACCCTTTAACCGTAATTTTGACAGATACGGCCGCACTGACTTTTTTGTAGATCTTATTGAGATACATGTGTGTGTCAATTTTTGTGTCATTTTGACAAAGCGTACAGTCGTGACAGTGAATAGTGTGAATTTTCACCTTAGGGGGCGCTATGGAGCCATTTTGCATTTTATTGTTTTGGCGACTTCAGAATATCAAATTTTTCACCAGGCCCGGTCGTCCTGCCAAATTTCATGAGTTTTCGCCAGTGGGAAGTGGGCCATTTTCCAGTTCAAAGGGGAGGAAAAAGAAAAAAGAAAGAAAGAAACAAAGAAAAACCACTTGGGGAATAATAGGGCCTACGCCCGGCTGCTCTGCAGCTGGCTCGGGCCCTAAAAAGAAGGAAACATGCAGGAACAAGAGGGCTCTCGCAGCTGCTTAGCAGCTACGCTCGGGCCCTAAAGAAACAAAGAAAAACCACTTGGGGAATAATAGGGCTCTCGCAGCTGCTTAGCAGCTACGCTCGGGCCCTAACTAGGGCCCCGTTGGGGCACTGGCGGGCCAGAGCCGCGTCGCGCCGCCCCCAGCGCGACCGCCTCCCCGTCCCATTCGTGCCCTCTGGCCATCGCCCTCTCTGGTGACGCCCATCACTGCAAAGACCCTTTTCCTTCATCGGTGTTTGCTGTTCTTCCTGCCATTGCGTGTTGCTTTCACTTACACTTGCCACAGCCAGCCTCGTGAGTGCCTGGCCTGGTTTGACCTTTGCTCACCATGATTGTGTGACCTTGGTATCAGCTACTTGGGAAGTTCAACCGTTGTGGCAAAGCTTTGTTTGCGGCCGGATGTAGCTGCAAGACGGAGCCTCGTTGACTCTCCGTTTCAATTTATCTCAAAAGTGAGGACCTCAACCTATATACCAGTTTTTAAATTGTGTTGATAGGCCAAATAAAACCAGAGTTATGATAAATTATGTCTGCGATACTTTTTTTCTGCTTATTTTGATCACGTTCGGCGCTCGATCGCGCTGTATGAGACAGGAAAACATAGCATGCAGACATTAGCGACAGCTCTTACAGGCGGAAAAGGCTTGCCAAAAGAAAAAAAAAAAACACACCACAACATCTCCTATTGGTGGAAAACTTCACCACAACAACCAATCCAAAATTATATGGTGACTGATTGACAAGGGGCGGGCGCTTACGTTCTTCCTGCAACATGAGAAGGGATGGAGGGACTCTCAGCAGGGATGCAGTCTGGGACACGTAGTTGCAAACCTAGCGACTTTGTTGTTAGATTAAATGACTTTTCAGACCCCCTAACGACTTTTTTTTTGAAAGAAAGGGACTTTTATCGACTTCTTCTGGAGTTTAGAGACTCTGACATGAAGCAGGCTTTCCTTACTGAGGAGTTAGCAACGCTGCTAAGGGTGCAGAGCCACACATGCGCTCTGAGCTCTGCAGGGGAGACTGAAGCTGACAGAGCTGCAGCAGTTAGCAGGTTTCACCCTCAGAGACCACCAGGGGTTCATGTTGAGGCATTTTCAGTTTGTTTTATTGTTTTTGTGCCATAGACACTGTCAGCACAATCTGCAGTTACACTAACAAAAATGCTGGACAAAACAAAGAATTATGGAAAAATTACACATGGACTAACATAGAGGAGGATCTACACAAGTTTTTTACATCATGTTTTACATCATGCATCATTTACATCATGTTTTTTTTGTAGTGGCATGAATAAAAAGTGACATTTGTGAGACTATACAGTGTTTTGTAAATAATTTTACAAAGAACGCCTGGGCCATTGCCTGCATTTTGATGTAAATAGAGGTAAATTACTATGTTCTTTGTTAAAAATTTGCATATGTTTTGAAGTTTAAAATTTTTATTTGATGTTTAAGTTTTAAAAACAGTTCATCACACATATTTGTGGTTTTCAGAGTAAAAATGTTACTTTTTTCCACTCGGATATTATGTTTTGTGTGTGAATTTGGGTCCATTGTGTAAAAACAGTATGTGAAAATGATAAAATAACTGTAAATTCGCACAGGTGAGGTTGTGCTGAAAAAAATGATACCAGGCAAGGCAAGGTAAAAAAATTTTAAGAGGAAATATAAAGGGTAAAATCTAAAGTAGTCAAAAACGGCCAATAGTGACTCCCAGTCTCCATAGACAAGTCCCTTTGGCGCCACTCAGTGGGCAAAACTACTTTGTCTGCTGTAATGTATATTTGGGTCATCTTTGGCGCCCCCTAGAACGTAAACCGTGGGGTGCAGCGTCATGATTTTTACAACTTTGAATGGCCATGGGGTGTAGATTGGCCTGAGCAAATTTGGTGTCAGTGGGACGAAAGCCTTAGGAGGAGTTAGCCACATTCCAATGTGTGCGAATCGGCAAAAAATGCAAAATAGCCCTTTTACCGTACATTATACACATACGCGCTCTTTGACTTTTTCATAGATGTTATTGAGATACACGTGATTGTCAAATTTTGTGTCAATCTGACAAAGCGTTCAGGCATGACACTCAACAATGTGTGTTTTCACCTTAGGGGACAAGAAAAAATGGACTTTTTTCTCCTGCCATGGGGGGGCGCTCTTTTGGGGAGTAAAAATTCCTTCACAAATGTGTTGATGGCTGTACATTGCATCATCCTAGAAAACTTGGAGGCCAGTGAGGACAAAAATAAAAAGTTATAAGACTTTTAAGAATGTGGATTTTTGGGTTATCTTTGGCGCCCCCTAGAACCTAAACCGTGGGGTGCAGCGTCATGATTTGTACAACTTTTAATGGCCATGGGGTGTAGATTGACCTGAGCAAATTTGGTGCCGGTGGAACGAAAGCCTTCGGAGGAGTTAGCAAAATTCCAGTGTGTGCGGATCGGCAAAAAATGCGAAATAGCCCTTTAACCGTACATTTGAAAGATACGCGCTCTTTGACTTTTTCGTAGATCTTATTGAGATACACGTGATTGTCAAATTCTGTGTCAATATGACAAAGCGTTCAGGCGTGACACTCTACAATGTGTATTTTCATGTTAGGGGACAAGAAAAAATGGACTTTTTTCACCTGCCATGGGGGGGCGCTCTTTTGGGGAGTAAAAATTCCTTCACAAATGTGTTGATGGCTGTACATTGCATCATCCTAGAAAACTTGGAGGTCAGTGAGGACAAAAATAAAAAGTTATAAGACTTTTAAGAATGTGGATTTTTGGGTTATCTTTGGCGCCCCCTAGAACCTAAACCGTGGGGTGCAGCGTCATGATTTGTACAACTTTTAATGGCCATGGGGTGTAGATTGACCTGAGCAAATTTGGTGCCGGTGGAACGAAAGCCTTCGGAGTAGTTAGCGAAATTCCAATGTGTGCGGATCAGCAAAAAATGCGAAATAGCCCTTTAACCGTACATTATGCAGATACGCGCTCTTTGACTTTTTCGTAGATCTTATTGAGATACACGTGATTGTCCAATTCTGTGTCAATATGACAAAGCGTTCAGGCATGACACTCTACAATGTGTATTTTCATGTTAGGGGACAAGAAAAAATGGACTTTTTTCACCTGCCATGGGGGGGCGCTCTTTTGGGGAGTAAAAATTCCTTCACAAATGTGTTGATGGCTGGACATTGCATCATCCTAGAAAACTTGGAGGCCAGTGAGGACAAAAATAAAAAGTTATAAGACTTTTAAGAATGTGGATTTTTGGGTTATCTTTGGCGCCCCCTAGAACGTAAACCGTGGGGTGCAGCGTCATGATTTGTACAACTTTTGATGGCCATGGGGTGTAGATTGGCCTGAGCAAATTTGGTGCCAGTGGAACGAAAGCCTTCGGAGGAGTTAGCGAAATTCCAATGAGTGCGGATCGGCAAAAAATGCGAAATAGCCCTTTAACGGTACATTTGACAGATACGCCCGCACTGACTTTTTTGTATGTCTTATTGAGATACACATGTGTGTCAAATTTTGTGTCATTTTGACAAAGCGTACAGGCGTCAGGTGAGTTTTCACCATAGGGGGCGCTATGGAGCCATTTTTCATTTTTTTGTTTGGGCGACTTCAGAATATCGAATTTTTCACCAGGCCCGGTCTTCCTGCCAAATTTCCTGAGTTTTCACCAGTGGGAAGTGGGCCATTTTCCAGTTTAAAGCGGAGGAAAAATAACTAGGACCCCGTTGGGGCACTGGCGGGCCCGAGCCGTGTCGCGTCCCCCCACCCCCCCAACGTGCTGCCTTCCCGTCCCATTTGTGTCCTCTGGCCATCGCCCTCTCTGGTAACGCCCATCACTGCAAAGACCCTTTTCCTTCATCGGCGTTTGCTGTTCTTCCTGCCAGTGCGTGTTGCTTTCACTTACACTTGCCACAGCCAGCCTCGTGAGTGCCTAGCCTATTGGATATCACTGTCACCTACACAGGACAGTCATCACCTTTCTATTAATACTTTGTGTTTTAATTTCACATTAATTTCCATATTGTATAAACGACTGGAAAAAACTTGAGCCCCTGCCCCTGTATAATCATGTGCATGTCTCTGTTCTAGCTCCAAGGTGAATCTTCACTGCTCATGTTCTCCTCAGAAGCACTCACCTCACTCCCCTCAGGTTACTGTACACATGCACCAACTGCCTGCTTCAGGTTTGGATGGAGCTTCATGGTTGTCTTTTGGAGAAATGACCAGTCAAGTTGTGTTTGAAATTTGATTTTTTTCAGGGGCAAAAGGAGCCTCTGCATTCTTGTCAAATATGTAAATAGCATGTTTTTGCAGGTGCTAAAAACCAGACTCTGTGTGTGTGTGTGTGTGTGCGTGTGTGTGTGTGTGTGTGTATGTGTGTGTATCCTGCAGTACTCTGTACTCCTGCAGTGGCCAAAAAGACTTTTAAGAATGTGGATTTTTGGGTCATCTTTGGCGCCCCCTAGAACTGCAGTACTCTGTACTCCTGCAGTGGCCAAAATGACTTTTAAGAATGTGGATTTTTGGGTCATCTTTGGTGCCCCCTAGAACGTAAACCGTGGGGTGCAGCGTCATGATTTTTACAACTTTGAATGGGCATGGGGTGTAGATTGCCCTGAGCAAATTTGGTATCGGTGGGACGAAAGCCTTAGGAGGAGATAGCCACATTCCAATGTGTGCGAATCGGCAAAAAATGCGAAATAGCCCTTTAACCGTACATTATACAGATACGACCTTTTTGACTTTTTTGTAGATCTTATTGAGATACACGTGATTGTCAATTTTTGTGTCAATATGACAAAGCGTTCAGGCATGACACTCAACAATGTGTATTTTCATGTATGGGGACAAGAAAAAATTGACTTTTTTCTCCTGCCATGGGGGCGCTCTTTTGGGGAGTAAAAATTCCTTCACAAATGTGTTGATGGCTGGACATTGCATCATCCTAGAAAACTTGGAGGGCAGTGAGGACAAAAATAAAAAGTTATAAGACTTTTAAGAATGTGGATTTTGGGTTATCTTTGGCGCCCCCTAGAACGTAAACCGTGGGGTGCAGCGTCATGATTTGTACAACTTTTAATGGCCATGGGGGGTAGATTGGCCTGCGCAAATGTGGTGCCGGTCGAACGAAAGCCTTCGGAGGAGTTAGCGAAATTCCAATGTGTGCAGATCTGCAAAAAATGCAAAATAACCCATTAACCGTACATTTGACAGATACGCCCGCACTGACTTTTTTGTAGATCTTATTGAGATACATGTGTGTGTCAATTTTTGTGTCAATATGACAAAGCGTACAGCCGTCATGTGAATTTTCACCTTAGGGGGCGCTATGGAGCCATTTTGCATTTTATTGTTTGGGCGACTTCAGAATATCGAATTTTTCACCAGGCCCGGTCGTCCTGCCAAATTTCCTGAGTTTTCGCCAGTGGGAAGTGGGCCATTTTCCAGTTTAAAGCGGAGGAAAAATAATAACGAAAGAAGGAAACATGCAGGAACAAGAGGGCTCTCGCAGCTGCTTAGCAGCTACGCTCGGGCCCTAACGAAAGAAGGAAAAACATGCAGGAACAAGAGGACTCTCGCAGCTGCTTAGCAGCTACGCTCGGGCCCTAATAACGAAAGAAGGAAACATGCAGGAACAAGAGGGCTCTCGCAGCTGCTTAGCAGCTACGCTCAGGCCCTAAAAACTCATCAGGAACAACAGGGCTCTCGCAGCCTCAACGCCCATCACTGTAAAGACCCTTTTCCTTCATCGGCGTTTGCTGTTCTTCCTGCCATTGCGTGTTGCTGTCACTTTCTGTTGCCGCAGCCAGTGTCGTGAGTGCATGGCCTGGTTTGAGCTTTGCTCACCATGATTGTGTGACCTTGGTATTGGCTACTTGGGAAGTTCCAGTGTTGTGGCAAAGCTTTGTTTGCGTGCTATGTTTAACCAGTTATTTTCTATGGATGTGTAAGTAAACCACTTTCTGTTCATACATAATGACACAGTCATAGTTATCATTCACTGCTATTGATGTGCTCTGTTACTATGCATGCAGGAAACCTGATGAATGAAGAAATGTGCAGACTAGCCAACATATTCATAAATTAAGAGGTATGACATCACTTGAATGGTTCCATTGGACTATGCTTCCATTTTTCTAATTTTGTAGTAAAAAGAAATGTTGTCCAAAAAGACTGTTGTTGTTATTTCTTCTAATAATGAATATAGTAAATCTAATTAACATTCAATATGCGCTCATTACACATATGGTCAGTTTGATGATCTGTGAAGTAGAGCGTCAGAGACAGTAGGAGTAGCTGATCTGTATCTCAAACTGTGATGTCACAGTCAAGGGTTGTGTTTCATTTTAGAGATTGCAGTGGGCTAAGTGCACTTCTGCATTGTTGAATGGTTCATTGAAGTGTGCATGACGTCATGAGTGTGCTTATGGTGTCCCATTTGGCAAGAGATGCTAAGAAATGTTAAGCGTGTTTAGCATCTTTCAAGTGTGCATTTATGTATGCTTTAGTTTTGTTTGAATTTCAGAAGGCTGGACTTGCTTGGAGACACAGTGTGGCTTAAAAGAAAGTACAAGAAATCCAAAAACAGCATTGAGTCAGCTCAGGCTATCTGAGAGCATGATGTCTGAGCTCACTCAAATCTGTAAACCAAACAGTAATGAGTTAGAGACAAATGATATGCTCTGATTCAACAATTAAAAACATTAGAAATAAGAAAGGTGACACATGTACAGCAGAGGAGTAGGACGTCATTTATGTTTTTTATTCTTTTAAGATTTAGAGATTAAGGTTGTAAATTTAGGAGAATGAAGTCCTAAGGTATTGAAAGTCATCAAGGTGCCTTTGTGAAGGGGGAAATTTCTGAAGCTTGTTATGTGCAGGTTTATTTCTGGATGTAAGAAACAATCAACCTGATGATGATCAACATTTGTGATACAGAGGGAGTTGAGTTTTGATGAGCATTATGTTTCAGACAGTGTTGGTAATTTATGCCTCCAGAGACATCAGTACCTTATTCTGGCATATGGATTTATATCATAAAGTAAAGTTCAATGTCATTCACAGATATTCACGGCTGCATTGACAGATGTATCCTTAGTATATTAATTTCTACCTCTACAAAAGCTAGCTTGTGGAGACAGAAATGAATATGTGAGGGTATTTTTGTTTATGCAGTTGCAAATATTTGTTGATGACATTGGGCTTTAGTTTATGATATGAATCCATATGCCATAATGGTGTTGTTGTCTCTGCAGGTGTAGGCTAGTGATGGTGTCAGAGATGTGGTAGTCCTCTGAGCATGATCCACTCTGGATCACAAGTGTTGATCATCAGTTTGATTGTCTCTTAAGAAACCACTATAAGTCTGTGAATCACCTGCTGATACATGGAGCGGTAACCCTGCAGATGACCAGCTGTAGTCATTTCCTCTTTCATAAAAGTAGTTTTATGACTTTACATACCTTATGAGTTATTCTCCTAAATTTACAATCTTAATATCTAAATCTTAAAACAAAACTTAATTTTGTCTTGATACTGTGGTGTAGTTCTGTCAGACTTTTATGTTTGTGATTGTTGTAGTAGAGGGGATCAGTTGTGTCGAAATATGTTTGGTTTAGAGATTTTGTGAGTTTATAGATAAGTTGTCATACACTCTGAGCTGATTGTGTTGTTTTTAGATTTTTTTTTTTTTTTGGGGGATGTGCTTTGTCTCCAAGCAAGTCCAGTTTTTCACCTGAAATGTGAAGCTTTGCAGCGGCATGCAAAGTATCTACCAAAACGCTTGCTAAAGAAGAACCCTTTGATCAATAATACACCCAGGACAAATGTTGGTGTTTTAGTGCCATGTTATATGTACATTTGATCATAAAGTAGACAGTTTACAATTGGAATACAACCTTCCCACTGAAAGTCAGTACAATAACTGAAGATGTTTGAATGGTAAAATGAATTAAATCATGTACAAGCACAGTGGATAATATGTAATATAAATAAATGATTAGAAATGATGTATATTATTATTTATTTATTTATCAGAGACAGTGGACAGTGATAAGCATGTCAATTAATAAAGTGAAAAGGCATGTAAATGCACCAGAGTTAAGCATAGATAGTGTTGTGTGTAATCCTAGAGTAGGTTATCAAAAATGGTGTGATCATTCATACAAAATTCATATATGTAAAATACATTGCAATACATATAATACAAATTGAGGTACAAAGGAAATACAAATTAAATATCAAAATGTATTATGAAATTAAATTATGTGACTTGTTATTACAAAAAAGCTGAGAAGCAATTAAAAAAAGAATTTCTGGTACATGTGAAGTGTGTGCTGCATTTCTTTTTGGGTGGAGTTGTCATAGGCTGATCCCTGGAGTAGTGGTGGGTTGAGTGGTTGGTAACACGCTGTAAAGAAGAGACAATATATTAGTTACATGTTTATATAATGAGAATCAATCAACATATAGTTATAACACACTTGCTTAGCATGCATTATTTTTGGCTGGAGTTGATAGTGGCTGATATCTCTTGTGATGGTGGTGTCATGGGATAAATATGTGGGTACATGTTTTGAATAAGACATGACACATCAGTTACATAATCACAGTTAGAATTCATGGTAATTACAATCATATACCACTGTTGTATGCATCTCTTCTGAGGAAGAGACACAATGCGTGTTTACACAAGTAGTATAGTGTGTGAATGAAAATATTTAACTATAAATTGAAATTCACACTTACCAATTGTGTATTGTTTCAGTAATCCATCAGGGTCTCATCTCACCAAAGGTGGAGTAATGATGGGCTTGTCAGTCTTCAGGTGGAGCGATCATAAGATGTATGGTGTATTTGTTGAAACGGTGAGGAGAGGAGAGATCATATCAGTTACATGCTGACAAATGAAGAAGTCATCATATTGGAGAAATAGTAACTAGGCGCATTGCTAATGTTTCATTTTTTGTAGTCAAGTTGTGATGTTCAAAATAATTGCAAGTGTAAATGAAGTGGAGAGGTTATGTATCACATGTTAGTTTGCATACAATCACCATAAATGTCCATCCAAATCATTACTTACAATGTCCTGAAGTGGTCACTTGCGTTGATATATGGTTTGTCCAGGCGTTGTAAATTCATCTTTCTGGCAGCTGTTTGGAAACCTGCTATAACACTTTCAAATCTACTTTTCTCTGAAAAGTATTAATAATATCCAAAACAGCAGTGTACATGATTAATCACGAATTTTAAAGCTGCAGTAAATACCTTCATGGTCGCTAAAATATGAAGGCATTACTTCAGCTTGTATGTGGAAAATGCCCCGTCTCACATAAACATGATCAATCAAAGTGCCTTGCTCTGTGGTAGGCTGGGTGATCACCTGATCATAACCTCTATCTTGGAACAATTTGCAAATTGAAGATGACTTCAATATGTCATTGTTGAAATCTCCCATGACAATTATGTTTTTTCCAAGTTGTTCCAGCCATTGGAGTAGTTTGATAATATTTTGTTTGAATAGTGTCATGGGGTAGGTTGGAGGCCGATATATGACTGTAAGGAAAATGTTAAGGTTTATGCAGTGGTACACCAAACATTCCACGTTGAAACAAGGCACCTTGATGATTGCAAACTGCATAAATTTACCACAATACATTGCAACTCCCCCATGTTCTTTTGCCTGCAAAGAGGCAAAGGGGGCAGTTTGACCATCATATGCCAGAGCTCGTGGACAACTATGCAGAGAGTAGTTGGCTATCTCGAGTGTGTCTGAGGAACAACCTGGATGCAACCACGTCTCAGTCACAGCAATGCACTCTGGCTGCAAATGTTGTGTGTTCTGAGCCAGGTCAGACACATGGCGTCTCAAACCCTGAACATTCATGAGGAACACTGTCACAGTGTCCTTCACTCTCCCTTGCCATGTGACAGGTTCTAGGAATGAAGCCATCGTTGAAGTGGCCTGAGCAATTTCTGGTCGACAATAGATTTTTTTTGGATTGAAATCTTGAATGATCAATCCCATAAGAGTCCTGACACGACTCAAAGCAACATAAACCTGACCAGCAGAAAACACCTTTTTCATACTAACTGTGGCTGTATCAACTGTGAGACCTTGTACTTTGTGTACAGTACAGGCCCAGGCGAGACGAAGCGGGAATTGACGGCGCATACCTCCCTTCTTTGTCACTCTTTCTTCCTCTGGTGCAATAGCTGTGGAAGCAACAAGACGATCTGAAACTGTTCCTGACTGTTTCCTCCTTTCAACACCAACTGCTTCATCATCAAATTTCACCAAAATACACCGAGGAAACTTTTCATTTTCAACACAAACTACATCTGTTACTGTGCCACATGCACCATTAACTAAGCCGTCAGCCAAATCCAAGTTTTTTGTCAACATGACACGTGACCCAGTACCCAACAACAATTCTGCATCTAAACACGTGTTATACGTTAGAGTATGATATCCCTTTTTCAATTCCAGTTTGCCTGTTTTTGAGTTGTTTATATAATCCTGAGCCTGTATTACATGGTAATCTGGACATGTTCTTTGCAGTTGCTCAAAGTTGTGCTCATTGACCTGGCTATTTGTGGCAAATATGTGCAAACCTGAGCACTCTTCGCCAGTTTCTCGCTGTTGCAAAGTGGTGATATCACTTTGCAACATGTCTGAGTCTTTTGGATGGGTTCGAATTCGATTCAGTAGTCCGGCAAAATCATCGTCTGTTTGCCGAATTACTTTTGTCAACTTTACAACCTTAAAATGACTGCTCCAAAGATCAATTCCAAGTGGTTCCATGTATAACGGTTTGCCTTTCACTGGAGGCAACTGATAAAAATCCCCCACTGCCATGACACTCACATTTCCAAATGGAGTGTGAGTGCCTGTCTGTTTAATTTGGCGAAGTCGGCCGTGCACATTAGTGAGCATATTGTGATCCACCATAGAAATTTCATCAATTATCAAGATTTGGAGATCACAATATTTCATTCTCAATGTGTTTAACTTTTCTTCACCTATTGGCACATAAGGGAGGCGAACATCTTTCCCTATGCTAAATGTACTGTGCAGGGTGGTCGCATGCAGATTATATGCAGCAATCCCTGTTGGTGCTGTCAACAAAATACTGATATTGTCAGGTTGTCGACACATTGGTGACAATAACCTTGTGGCCTCGTATTGAATTGCTCTGATTAAATGCGATTTTCCAACGCCAGCACCACCTGTTACAAACACATGAAAGGGGTCTGGGTTTTTACCTGCTGCTTTAACAACACACCACTGATGGACTTTGTTTAACACACGCATCTGGTCATCATTCAAAGACCTGCACAATGCCAATCCCTCACTTCTAGTTAAATTGTTGCACTTAGTTACCTTAGCCTGCTCTACACCCCCAGCCAGATCAGGAATATGTTCCACTGGGTCATTGTCTACCTGTATCTGCTCTGCCCTTTCTTGGATTGACTCCAGTCGTTCAATCTCTTGCTGTGGATACAACTGCCCCCACGCATCTTCTACAGGACCATCAAAATTCACAGAATCAAAAACCTTATCTAAGTCATTGGCATGTATTTCATAATTGCAGCGATTCGAGTCCACAACTGACTTCACTGAACATAGCTGGCCATCAGCAATGATGACACAGCCAGTTTTGTAGAAGTCTTCAAAAGTGACAAATCCGTCTGGCTTTAGCTGTTCTTCTGTCCGATACGGAAGGAACAGCTGCAAAATGCTTTGGTGAAATAATTCTGGACTTTTAGTCTCAGAGAATCTTGCGTACCTTACAACAGCAGGCTGCGTTCGGGTTCTTCTCAACACAAACCCACAGCTGTTATCAAGTTCAATGCGATTTTTTGATTTTTCACCTTTGTAGAGCACACGATACTCAGCAGCAAAATGGACAAGGCACATGGTTTCAAATACATGATCTCTGGGTCTGTTTTTATAACGCTCCACAAAGTTGGTCATCCACATCTGTTCTGTGGATTCAGCAGCCATGTCTTTTAATACAGTCAATGGCTTGCTGATCCTGACAACATTGTCACCTGTTGGTACAAAAACCACCTTCCGAGAGCACTCTTTTAAGTGCATGTTGCTGAGCTTGTAGACTGCCTCCTGAGCTCCAACATCTCGGTTGTGAAGGTAAACACTGCCTAGCTTTTTCAAAGCCTGTTTTGCACTGAGGTTGTCTTCCTTGGATGCTTCACGCTGTGCATTTGCTAACATCAATCCCATCTCTCTTTCTGCTTTAGAGATGTATGAAATGATGTACACTACACAAGCATACGCATCAGTCACATACTGGATGTCCATGTTTGCATTCCAAGCTTTTAACAGAGTCTTGGAATGTGGATTGATCCACGTATCAATAACCTGGCGTCGCATAATGACCTCTGTCTTTTTCCCTAACCTCCTGTATGCTGCCTCAAATGTCTCCTGTCGTATACCTATACTGGCAAATAGCTCATCTGCAGTTGGAATTGTGCAGTTCTTGTCTGACAACGCGTTAGCTATTAATTCAAATACCTTAACAGCGAATTCCCCTTCCTGCTTGTGCTTTTTCTCATTTTCTGCCTTGCCACAAGTGCACTGTTCTACCACGTTATGGATGTTGCGCTGACACACGCACTCCATCTCAACCTCCTTATACGCCCTGGAAATGAAAGTCCTAGCAGACACTGGTTTTGGGAAATTGAAGCGGCACTGTTTTCCACCCTTTTTACAGGTTTTGGAGTGTTGTTTTGAATGCTGCTGCACTGAAGAAACAACCTCATGTAAATCATCAGTGTTGTTAGGCAGTTCACATGAAACATATTTATCAATAAACTGAACAACTTCATCATCTGTATTTACATCAATTACAGGGGCATTCTCAATCCAAAACAGACAATGAACGTGTGGGGAGCCACGCTGCTGGAACTCCACCCTGTAAAAGTAGTCGAGGATTTTGCCAATTGGATTTGCTGGAGACATCAACACCTCTTTCAAAAACAGATGCCAGCGATAATCAAACATGCGAGCGGCGAGTACAGGATTACGACGCAAGAGGTCGCACTTGTCTGCCCACTCCAAATCCTCAAATGTCTGCGTTCGCCCCTCTGCCCTAAGAATGGTCTCTAAGTATTCCTTCCATCTCAAATCTGCTGCAGAAAATGAACAAAACCATGCAGGTTTGCCAAGCTGGCGTAAGCATGCTAACAAATCCTTCTGAATTCCCTGCCAAAATGCTGGAGTACCCCTTACAGGTTTTAAAAAGCGGTACCCATCGTCATGATTTAAAAGATTACGCAGGCTCTCGTCATCTTTCAATACATCACTAATCTTTGTGCTAACCTTACTGGCTTTCCCTTTTCTCAATGCAATTGACACACTGGACATGACTTGATGTAACTCAAGCATGTAACAAGCATAAAAAATAAACTCAATATTCTGCGCAAACCTACCATCAGCATGATATAGCCTGTTGCTCAAATAGCGGAACAGAGTCAGAGAAAATTTTCTGTTATCAAAAAATGTACCACGGCCTTTTGGAAACAACACAGGGAAACACTTGGCCTCGTTCTCCTTTGTTGTCAAAACCTTCACAGGGTTCTGTCCATCAGCTGGAGCCAAGTTCAAAACACCATCAAAATATTGGTCCAGCGCTTCCTGGCCAATATCAACAGGCATTGAGCATGTGTCTTGAAACATGCAATGCTGCTGCCGATCATGCAGAAGTTCTTCCTCAGCCTCAGCTGCCTCAGCTGCAGCCTTTTCAGCTGCAGCGTTCTCAGCTGCAGATGCCTCAGAGCTCTCTGCATTTGATCCTCCCTGTTCATCAACAATACTCTGCTGCTCTTTGTCAGCACTCTCATCCTTGCAGAACTCATTTATCCAGTCATCATTAAATTGCACATCTTTGTAGAAGGGATTGTTCTCTTTCAAATACTGCAGTGCTTTCTTGATATGCATAGGGTCAACATACTCGTATGCATAATGCCCTTTATAAGTAAGTTTACGCTTCAGTTTAACAGGAATAACTGAACCTTCCATGTTTGAATGTGGCAACGCGTTACTAGTTTGGACAATGTTGGCTGGAACACATGCAATTGGACCATGAACACCATTTTGACCCCCTCTAGGAAGAGCTACCATCTTTAAAAAGGGGATATGGAGTGCAATTAAATGTGATTCTAGACGATTTAAACAAGCCAACTCAGGAGGGATTGGATCAACGGTCAGATTGTTGGTTGCACTCTCAGCTGGCACCTGACCTTTACTGAGCTTGCTGTGACAAGAATGACAAATCCACAAACTACCACGAGGGGACGCTTTCAAAACACATGGTTTGGCACAAGAAGGAAGACATTTATGCACAAAGACATCTTGAATACATCCAGCTGCGACAGCAGCTACATTTGTATTGCTACGGTAATTCTCTCTAGTACAAATCAAAACCTGGTGTTTAAACAACAGTCTATGGCACACACTACACACAAAGGCTGGCCCATCTTGGATTTTTTCTAAAAACTGCTCAATTACAAAGTCCATGTGTTCTAGTTTTGCCTTCTTTTGTAATATTTTACGTTTCTTAGATGCAGGGAACTCGTGGTACTTTCTCCTTTGTAAGTGTAATTTGATTTGCCTAAATGCATTATTTCCGTATTTCACTTTACTTTGTTCCCTGCTCTTGTTTTTTACTTTTTGTCTGTGTATGTCATTTTCGTCATAAGTTCTTTTACTTTTCAGTTTAAGATTTCGTTTGTGTATCTCATTAGTTCTGTACTTCACTTTGCTTCTATTTTTAACCGTTTGTCTGTGAATCTCACTTGTTCTGTACTTCACTTTGCTTCTGTTTTTAACCCTTTGTCTGTGGATCTCACTAGTGCTGTACTTCACTTTGCTTCTGTTTTTAACCGTTTCTCTGTGAGTCTCACTAGTTCTGTACTTCACTTTACTTCTGTTTTTAACCGTTTCTCTGTGAGTCTCACTAGTTCTGTACTTCACTTTACTTCTGTTTTTAAGCCTTTGTCTGTGAATCTTACTAGTTCTGTATTTTATTATGCTGCTGCTTTTAACCTTTTGTCTGTGTACATTGTCTTCTAAGTATTTACTTGTACTCAAACTCTTGAGTTTCTGTTGATACAACAGATTGTGCTTATATCTATTCCTAACATTTTGGTTATGTCTGCTGTAAACCAAGAAGTCTTTGTGGTACTTTATTTTCATTTGCAAACACTTCTTCTTTGTACAATATCTTGACAACCTTTTTGCATTATCTGAAGGACTTTGAATGTGATGACTCTGTTGTTTGAAGTCCTGACATCCTTTTCTGAGGTTATAGGGCACAGCTTTGCTCAGTTTTGTCAAAGTGTAGTCAGTACTATGTGCAAAACCAGCTTTACACAAATCACAGCAATCACAGTCCACATTAGGTTGGGGAACACAAAGAACAGCCTCATAATGGATGTTATTACAGTTTTCCAAATACACTGCCTGTTCTGATAACTGTTGACCTTGACAGATGTATTGAAGCCATCGACCGTCAATGTAGGTAAAAATGCTTACCCCGAAGCAATCTGCTGCAGCCTGAATCTCCACCTCTGTGGCCCAACTACCCACATATCGCATTCTGGACATGTTGAGATATTCTTTGACAGAGGTAAATTCACGTCTCAGAATATGCTCATATGATCCAGGATGACATTCAATGCGTTTACAAATCGCTAACCTGACTTTCCTGTGAAACCTCTCACTACCAGACAAAACATGACTCACAGCTCTGAGGAAGCAATTGCCGTCACTGACAATGGGGTGCTTCTTGCATGGAGGTCCTAATATGCCAGCTACAAATCCTTCCACATCAACTTTCTGACATTCTATTCCTAAAGTGGTGCACAAAACTGTTGCAACATCTAACTGAAGGGGGTGAAACACTAAATGTTGTTGGGCTCCATTACCAACACACACCACATCATCGTCACTCTGGCTTATTGCATCATCAATGCACACAACATCGCCATTATTTGCAATGTCGTTGTTCGTGTCTTTAACAATTAATACATCATCACAAAAAATGCTTGTTTTTGCTTTTTTGGCAGCAGGAGCATGCACAAAGCTTTGATGTTTCAAGGCCTGCTTCCTATGTACTGATGTACTGGATGAACATCCCTGCTTGGAGTACAACACTTCCTGATGTACATCTGTATGGACATTTCTAATTCTAGTCAGTGTGTCAGTATTTACTCTTGAGCTGGATGGCAAACACATACTTTGAATAGTTGACATTCTAGGGATTGCACGCACACCAGCAACTTCAAAAGCCTGGTTGCTCACATGCTGTGATGCAGCCAAGGTCAATGCATGTGTATGCATTTCTTGCAAGTTATGGAAATACATGACAACACTTCTGCCATCAGGATCCACCAGGCCTGAAGCGTTTCGGGCATGAGAGTCAACAACAGCGAACACACCATTCTCACGAATGACCACACATGTGCTGCAATGCAATGTCAAAAAGCATGTGTCATATTTAGCGAACACAATTTGGAGACCATGTAGCAATGTTGTCAACCCAGGTGCAAATGGTGACCCATCAGTCTGGTTGATGAGTCCAGACACGTAATCACCATACTCAAAGTCAAACTTTATGCCATCAATTGTGTGTGAAGCAGGCAAATCAGGAATACACAAAAAATCAGTATTGCCACTGATTTTGTCATTGTCTCGCAGATATGTGTACAGTTGATCCCCACAGAGCAAAGCTGTGTCGAGATCATCCACACTCCATGTGAAAACGCTTTTGACACTGTGTTTGGCAATGCTAGCCAGCCCAACTGCCATACACTGTTGCCCAGGATTATTTAAGATATCACTTGCCTGGTGAAACGATCCCAGGACACTGTGTCTTACTTGACCTGGGGTAGACATTTCACCCTCAATTTCAGTGCACAGAAACTCTACTGCCTTGCTCTCCACACTGATAAGCTGCACAGGTGAGTGATCAAAATCACCAAACACAAGAGGGGGGGGAAGAGGAGGCTTACGTATACTTACCTGTTCCACCTGGGTGCCTCTCTCTGGCTGGGGTCCTGACAGGATGGCAGTGGTCTGGAGCTCTGCCACCCTCTCCAAGTCCTCCTTAGGTGAAGTGAGTTCTGCAGGAGGAGGCACCTCAGTAGTCTGGGGCTCAGCTGGGCTCTGCACACGCAAGGTCCTTCCCTGCACATGAAAGTTTGTGCATAAATATATTGTCATTGCTAAAAAAGGCAAATTGTAAAAGTGTGTACATATATAGTTGAAAGTAGAAGCATTTTGATGAAAGCAGCCCATTAACTGATAATACCAAGATGTGAATTGGTATGAATAAAGAGAAATATCTTTTGAACTTAAGGGCCGAGTAAAATTTCTGTATGTTATCATTTCACTTCAGTATGATAAACTTGGTTTAGATGCAAAGCTAGTTCTGTGTAGTTGCATATGAATATACCATGTGTGCTAATGAAGAAACAAACCTGCTTCTTGGAAGGGATCCTCTGAGATGCAACCACAGTCCTGCGTGGTTCCACACGTGGCATCTGATTGAAAAAATATTTATTATAAGCACTGTTGTCGTGTAACAACACATTTTATGAACGAACAGTACAAGCGAAACTGTATTTTCACATTTTTACTGACCTCATCATCTTGTGGAACAGGGTTGGGATTCGGGACGGCGAAATCTTCTCCATGGCATCCAGCAAGTGTGCACTGAAATGGATAGGGTTGAGACGCACAAAGCAATCTCGCAACCCAACTGTTGACAACTAGGATGAGAAGGAGAGAGATAAATCAATATAGAATAAAGCAAGTACTACTTTAGACAACGATGTCTTATCAAAGAAAATGTGTGCAATCAAAACAGCCACTGTGATGACAGTGGTTTTGTATTATGTATAAGTGTGCCATATAAAAAATGACAAACCTGCTGCGTGCATGGAGTAGAGTCCTTCACCTCGTTGTCAGAGAGATTCTGCTGTGATAAGTAAGTTGAAAATTAACATACTGTATTAAATACATGTACTATACGTATATACACACACAGGAATCGTATTTTTACCTTCTGCACCTTTCCACACACTGTCCACTCAAAGGGGTTGGATGGTTGAGGTGCAGGCACCTCTCCCCTCACAACCACCTTTGGTGTGACAGTGCTCAGGGGGGGGGAACGCCTGCGCTGCACTGATCGCAGTGATGCATGGTCCACTGTCTCCAGCTCAGTGTACGCTGTTTGCCAGAGACGCTGCCCCAGAATAGGCGACCCACCGTCATCACTGAGATGGACCTATGTAGCAAACAAGATAATTGTCATGATCACAAATTTACCTGATGCAAAATTGTGTGCATTTATTCTGAAGTCCACATGAATATAACATGAGTAGGGATTGTACTTACAGAATCCGTGCACCACAGCATGCGGTATCTCAGGGGGAAATCGTCAGCAGCATGGCAAACATATCGAATGCCTGTTAATGTAAATTCAGACAAAGTTAAACATTAGTACCTATGTGCATATTTTACTTAAAGCACAAAAGACAGGTATTCTATCACTTTGTCCATGAAATGTATAGAGCTGTGATGTATTCCAAAAAATACATGTATTTTGTATGTGTTTTTTGTAGATGTTTTATATGATTGGTTGTGTGATGATATTATTGTCATGTAGAATTTGGTCATGAAACTGAATTTAAGATGTTGTAAAACCTACCCATACGTGCTGCGACTCGACGGAATTCCTGCCGCAGGATATCCTGGTGGTCTAAAGGATGGTTCAGCCGTGGTGGAAAATCATACACAATTACCTATAAAAATAGCAAGTAGAGCAGAAGGACAAGAAATACAAGAGTTATTACAGAGTGTAACTA